TTGGATGGAAAGGCTACTTACTTCGCACAAGAATTTCGTTCAAGGAACTGCTATATCATTTAAAACCCTAGTAGTATAAACAAACAAACAATAATCAAAGGGCACCTGTGGAATCAGAATGCATGATGAAAGATTGCTATTACGGACACCAAAATTAATGATAGTCCCAGAGGTCTTTGATGTAAAAAAATAGTTCATTGTGTTCTGTTACCTCCTGTCACATCATACTGTAGGATTTACTGTCCCCCATCTGACCATGAGCAAAAATACAGGCATTGTAACCCTCAAACGCTGCCTTATCACATGAGTACCCAAATCTTCAAACATCTGAAGGAATAACAGAGTACGAAGTAAATTTCAAGCTTTCTGGAAATTTTAGTTTACAAAGACCCAAATCCAAAAAACAGCACTTAAAAATAACAAGTTGATTGTTCCTCAATACTTACACTGGAAAGTTTATGAGTATATTGGTGCACATTTTTTCTCTTTCAGCCATAATTTACCTGGCTTGTTTCAACAGATTTGAAGTGTGGACCATTAATAACTTAATTCTAACAACTATTCTATTTAAACAAATGTATTGTCCAAAAGTGTGAGGAAATATACTCTCAAGCTAAAACCACAAAATTCAATTCCATTGCTATGTAGAGTACAAAGATATACTCAATCTCACAATAAACTCTCTTTACCTTGCTTTTTTTACTTAATCATGTCTATGAACTGTGTCACATAATCTAATTAATGCTGGTCATTTGAAAGAAGATTTCAACCAAGTTCAGTTTTACTAATGTAACTATCTTTTTCATTTCATTTATGTTTAACCCCCCAAAACATTTATAATCAAATTTTACATTGACATTGTGTATTCCAGCTCACTGTATTTGTTTCTGTTGTTTAGCACACTATAGAGGGGGACAGGGGGGTCAGAGTCTCCTGCTTCCTGTACCACATTCTCCCACCTCCCATACTTTTTGTGCCCCTTTGTCTCATGACTCACACCCTTCATTGTGTTGCTCCTGTCTTCAGGTTAATCAAGAGGATCAGAAACTCAGGTTTAACTTTCAAATTGTGCCAAAACTTAACATTCTTGTTCATTTTCTGGCCTTTATTTTGGCAGGGGGATCGTTGGGTTCCAATGAAAGTTATTACAAGTTTCACTAAGTTTCACTTTCTTTGCTGGAGATTTTTGACAGCTACAGCTTACCAGACACTGAAGTATAAGTGTACATGTGTCATGCTATCTCATGACTGATGACATAATCGAATTGAAGGGATTTCCAAACTCACCAGCTACAAATTTGCGTTTTCTTGCCTCCAAAATTTTCTTTTAAGCATCGGTGGATGTTAAATGGAAATTTCAAGACTTTGCTGGATATTTTGACTGAATAATACCCAGTAATAAACAACGAACTATTGCCGTCTTTATTTCTGCTCTCACTTCCCACCATCATATAGATACCGCTTCCCACCCCCTATTCTCGCACTTCCCGCCCTCTCCCACCCCCTTTTTCTCCCGGGCTCCCACCCCCCTGTTCCCCTCCACCTCACTTTAATATGCAAAACAAGGAGGACTATTAAATTGAAATCAAAGTCTTTATTCCTAAAAAATAAGTCGCAGTTTTCAACAAGTATTGTCAACAGCGACAGACTTATTTCCCAACGGATACATTTAACGGATATTCAAACCCCAGACATCGATCACCGAGAATTTTTAACCAGCGTTCTATTAGAACGGCCGAATCAAATGCTTTATTTCGGCTTACCTTTTACTGAGAGGCCCCACTCTTACTGCTACCTTGACCGAAGCCATGTTCATTGTATTATCTCCTTTCCCTTTAGTCATTTCAAATATCTTGATCGTTATAAATCAAAGCCTGCAAAATACTGTAGACAATTTATTCCGAATCATAACTATTGTTACACAGTCTCCATCAGTCTCGATTTCTACACACGCGAGCCTGCGCACACTCCACTGACCACTTTGATGTCATTCGATCCTAGATTACCTGACTGTTCTCTCTGATCGAACCTATCGTGAATGAGCCGCGAATGACCACGAACATTGATATGTTGTAGTTTTTTCATGTTATTTCTTTTGTTATTTTTTTCCCGTTGATCACATACCTGTCTAGATTTCGGTGACACTGATAAATTTAGCTGCATTCTAAAAGCTAACGTAGTAACTGGCTCACAAATAACCGATGGTTATATTACAAACAAAAAAAAAAACAAAAAATTAACTGACAGCATTTAACCTTGTATCGTTGACAAAAGTTTTGGAATAAAAAGAGCCATTCAAAATCAGAAACAAAAGTGAAACTTTCCACGTCGTGACTGATCATCATGTAAGTTCTCTTTACAGTTTTGGTACACCGTTATTTAGACTATCAATGAGATTTTAAGGTTTAGAGGTACGAAACTATGTCCGCGTGCGAAAATAGCTAGTTGAAATATGTCTTGTTTATCACTGCCATAAAATTTTGATGAAACGTTAGATTCCGACAAACTTCTCTTCGAGGACAACACCAGTTTAATCATACCTACTGATCAAAATAATACAGGGGTTTTAACAAGTATTTCGAAAAAGTTTAATAGATGGTTGAAAAAAAATCAGTGCTCATACACCCGAAATAAGTAGATCATTCAACGTTTTTCGGGCACTTCTGACGTTATTTCTCATTTTCGACTTAACCAAACCAGTAAATCGCGTTAGAAAATGAAACTTGTCTCCCGTCAAAGTCTTTAAATAACATCTCTGGTATTCAAAGACGTTTTATACCTCGTCACGATTATTTGCAAACAAACATCTACTTGATATCGATATTTGACTTCATTGGCTGATCTTGGCTTTGGCGTTTAGTTTTTGGCTTAAGGTTAGCTGGCAATAATTCTTTTTCAATGTTTTATTTGTCATCAACAGTTTTTTTTACAAAATTATACTTTCTACACAAATTATGGAATGTGTGAATGAAATCGGGTGGTGGCTTCGTTCGTGGAACATATCAACATTTTGAGAAATCATTGTTCTTATACTAATCATTTTTTGTTTTCCAATTTATCTGTTTTCAGGTTATTCTATCACACAGCCCAAAAACTTGAAGGCATCATCTTTGTAGAAAAAGCGTCTCCTCAAAGTAAATACTGATAATTAATCGTGTCACACTCATCGACACGTCAATTATTGTAAGTTGCTGACGGAAACGACCATCCACGTAAGAGAGGAATCGGTTGGAATTGCCCTTTTTAGAGGCATCGAAGACGACACCTGTTTAGTCATTCCTACTGATCAAAATAATACAGGGGTTTTAACAAGTATTTCGAATGAAATCGGGTGGTAACGACTTCGGTTGTGCAACATGTTAACATTTTGAGAAATCATTGTTTCTATACTAATCATTTTTGTTTTCCAATTTATCTGTTTCCAGGTTATTCTATCACACAGCCCATAAACTTTAAGGCATCATCTTTGTCGAACAAGCGTCTCCTGAAAGTAAGTACTAATAATTAATCGTGCCACACTACACGTCAATTACTCTTCTTGATGGTAACTACCATCCATGTAAGAAAGGAATCGGTTGTTATTGCCCTTTTTAGAGGCATTTTCAATTTTTAGTCTCAAAAACTATATGAATAAAATCATACTCCTCTGTGGATGATATTTGAAGAATTGATCACCGCGCTAAAGTAGATTGTGAGCCAAAAAAAATTGAAACCTGTATGGAAACCAACTTGTAAAAAACCGCCAAACGTAATCTAGCAGGCACGCGTTCAAACCCAGTCGGAGCGTGAGTTTTTCAAGTTTCATGACCAGTTTTACAATGATAGAAAATATCACCTTTAGCAACTATCATTCGTGAGATTGAGGGCGCTCGCTGTTGTCATCAAACGTTACATCTCGAGAAGGAAAATTTCAGTTTCTCAGAATCATATGGCAAACGATCGAAGACCATGTGAAAACAAATGTAAACCGCTGTTTTTTTAACTCGTCGTGAGTAACCTTTATGTCATCGGCTTTGATAAAAAAATACACCTTTAGACTGATAATTTTCTTCCTTGCTCACACCTGACAGATTCAGTCATCGTGAGAACTTTTGTGCGAATTTGTTAAATGCGTCTAAAGAACTTATTTCAATTTTTTGATAGACACGTTTCCTATTAAACAAAGGATAGTGATAGCCCCACTATCAACCTTAACATTTTATTCATTCTCCAGCTATCTTGTGAACAATTAGACACTGATGTGAGTGGTTTAACTTAAAAGTAACAAGAAAAATCCACTATGTGATGACAGATATAGAATGAGCGAAACGTTCAAATAATGCACGAGACGAAACGTTGTCAAGAAATTTGAGTTAATTCTACACCCAAAGATTGCTCATGTTTGTCAATAAATCACGAACTAGAGACTGAAAACCAATATGACACTCAAAGTTAGTGTTTTGTGTTGACAAAACAAAGATCTCGAGGGAGCTATGGAAGCGGTGGCAGTTAAAAGCAAAAATATGATTAATTGCTGAATGGACAAACAATAATTTCCCAAGAAATAAGACCTCATGATTCGATGAACTGGCAGTAAAAGACCAAATGAGACGGATCTGATTCAGTGGATCAGTTGCTCAGGGATCAGTAGTTTGGTGGACTTTATGTGGCTGGTGGTTGGTCAAAAGTTTTCTTCACAGCTGTGCTTGAGCTCGTCATGCAAGTAAGAAAATGTGGTGTTGCGTGACGAACCCAGACGAGAGCTCTGAAGAAGACAAGGTGGATATATTTTTGATCAGGAGAATATTACACAAGAATAAAACGATCACAAAAGACATCGTTACATAGTTTCATAGGGAATTTTTAATGGTGTCCCTCTGTGCACGAACATAACTTCCTGTGGTCAGAAGCGAACATTTCCACTATAGCTACAGAAAAAACACCTGGCTTTTTTGCTGCAAAAGAATACAAATTTAGCACAAAAAAAGTCAGCTCATATTTTCCAGTGTTGAGACCGTAAGTTGGTGTGTATATTCTTGTTGTACAGGAACCGTAAAGGAGCCCTACGTCCGGTGAGATGTAAACTCCCAGCAATCATGGCGGAGGGTTCAAGCAAAGCTTTGGATGACGTCACACCACCTGCTGAAGAAAAAGAAGAAGAAGAAGAAGAAATAGTAACTCTTGATTTTGATGACGACACTTTGACAGGTGAGCTTAGTGCGGCTTTCTTTTCAAGATGAGTCTTCGTAATCATGTTTCCTGTGTTATAACCTAGGTAAGTTCTGCTTAATTTGTTTTCTTTAGCTTTTTTCCTTCTCTTTGAAGTTATTTCGGGTAAGATTTCTTTCTTTGATGCGGGCACTTCGTAATGAAAACAGTCTGAAGTGACGAGATTTGTTATTTCGCAATATTTTCAACAGGAGGTTCTTCCACTTCGTGTACCAGAGCCCTTTTGAAAGACAGTTTGTGAAGATAAAGAAGATAAACTTATTTTATCCCGGCCCTTTTGTTTTCAAATACCTTGGCCACAATCGATGGTAGTTTTCAATTTAATGAATGCTGCTTAAATTGTTTTGTTTCAGCGATAGTTGAAGTTTACAAGAATGAAGGTAACGAGGTTTGCTTAAAGGGAGATTTTCTCAATGCCTCTCAGTTTTACACGGAAGGAATTAAAGTGAAATGCGGAAACAAAGAATTGAAGGCCAAACTGTACAACAACAGGGCGACAGTACATTTCAAATTAGGTGAGAATTATGAAGGCTTTAATCTTTTTAGCGTGCTTCGTTTCTCCGCTTAACAGTTAGCCTCACTGAGTCCGTGAGGTAGTTCATGTTCGCAGATACATGTCTGTGTTTAGAATCTGTTCACGGCATCTTTGTCTCGTAATACTCCCATGGAACTTGAGTCAGATTTCGTTGTCCTCACCACCGCTGATATTTATAATCTTTTCTCTGCTTAACATTTCTATTATTTTTTCGCTTTTTCTTGCTGACTCAGATACCCAGACCGACTTCATGATACTCAAAGCAACATAATTTCCACTCGAATAAACTGATCATTTGAGTTTTGGAAACGAATTTTTGGAAGAGTATAGCACATGTTTGTGTGTGGACCTGAAAGGAAAGTGCGCGACCCGTGTTGCAAAATAGTACTTTACACTGTATTTGTTATTTGATATAGTAGCACTTATGAGCATAAATCAAGAGAATAGTTGATATTGTCTTACCCAGATATAATTCCTTCTTTGTGTGACATATTCTGTCAGAGTCAGCCATTTAACACGATTACCGACCTACGCCCTTTTTTCTTCTTTATGTTCAGTTTTTTATAATTGTAGTAAAACCTGTAATTAGCGGTCACCCACAGGGAATAGCGGATGAACGCTTAACACAGCCTCCAAAGAGTGGGGGGTAATGAAAAAGCGATAAAAAATACCATTTTATGCCATAATCTACCATTTAATGTACAAAAACTCACTCAAAAATACTACCAACATTGATTTCGGGAGATATACAGATTGAACTTTACTTGAAAGATTATTCTTAGTTTTATTTGAATAGTTCCGCTTTAAATGACTGCTCAATACAGGTGGAAGACAATAGAAACAGGCCGTTGAGACTAACTCAAAAGTGACCGTGACTGCATAATAAAAGTGAAAATTACAGTGACCAAGAGCAAAAAAATACAGGACTTTGACAACCGACCGCTAACACAGGGTGACTGCCTACGGTGCCGCTCAATATAGGTTCGACAGGACGTTCTGCTATCAGATTACACTTCTCTTATAGGCAACTACCAGGAGTCACTGAGAGATGCAACAGCCGCCTATCGATTACAACCAACATACCTGAAGGCAATTATTAGAGGTATTTTTTTTCTTTCTTTTAAGCCGAAAACTACCCCACACCCCACGGATTGAACTGGCTTTACTGAGTGGGGTCTCTCATGACTAGTGAAAAAGGCATCAGGCGTTGGTTTTTGTAGTTAATTTTCCTTAGTAGCTCGAAATTTCGATTTAAGGGCCAGAAATTGAAGTGAGAAGATTTTAAAACTAAGACTGCTAAGATCTCATTACCAGTCCCCTCCCCAAAGTCGAGAATACCACGCCCATAAGCACCCTTCTGGTATGATTGACAGCTCACTAATACTTATCTTTCGAAGTTAAGTGCATAGGCTAAATTTTCGTCTTTTACAGACAATTTAGGGAATCATCGTAACGTTTACATAAATTTTTGCAAACGTCGGACAACTCTTTCCACAATTTGATAAGTTTCCAAAAACCAACCAAGAGAAAAATTATAAAAATTTATTTTTTATCTTAGCAAAGGAAAATTATTTTCAACAAACGTCATTCGCATAGATCCGATCCAATAATGCTAGCTGTGTTATTTTGAATAGGAGCAAGCGACTGTCTTAAGCTGAATACGCCTGAAGAAGCGCTCAGATGGAGTGTTCAAGGATTAGCAGTATCCTTTTGTCAAATCTAAAATACAAAGAACTTGATCTCTCTTAGTATGCCAATCTACTTCAATCTATCCAATGTATCGGAACATTAAAAACATCTCGCTTTGTCAACAAGTGTTCAAATGAAAAATACTTTCAAGTTTACGGAATAAACTTTAATTTTTTTTGGTTTTCTTTTTTAACGATTACATAGAATACAATAAATCTGAGAGTCTTATTTCCTGACCGGTAGGGCTTCCGTTCTTGAAAAGGACTTTCAGTAAGAATTTGCGGATCCCTAATACAGTCCTATAACAGTATAGTTATTTTTGTCATTATATTTGCATCTTTAACTGCGGATGTGTGAAGATTGAAAGAAACGATATTCTGCGGCAACTGAAATTCAGGTCTCTCTACGAACGTTTAAAGTCAGGCAATGTAAGTCTATGGTCTAGTAAATTTTTTCGCATTCTCCTTCTTAGCATCATGTTAAATGTAACATCAGTGCACTCGATGTTGGGGTATTAGTGTTAATGACATTGAGGACAATGTCAGAGAGAAGAAATGTCTAAGAGGAAAAAAATCAGTCGTGCATTGCTGATGATTAATAGTACTACAATCAAACCTGTATTAGGCGGTCACCCACGGGGAATGGCATGCTAAATACAGGTTCCAAAGAATGGGGGGTGATCAAGAGTTCTGTTTGTCGACTTAAACCTTTACAAAACGAGAATTTAATTGATACTGTTCCATTTAATACCATATTTTGAGAAAAAAAAAAGATTTTGAGCTCAACAATAGCATATTAATAGTTAAACATAATATTTACAAATTCCGTTTTACTTGAAACATAACTGGCAACCCCAAGTCCTTTCAGATGACATAATAGGGGCCAAGAAAAGAAAAATTATATCATAGAAGATACATTGTAGTAGTTCACGATTAAAAAATGCGGGGCTTTCCACTCACAAAACATTTCTCTAACCGCGGATATCGCAAATCTTTCTCAAAGTAAAAAAATTATGAAGTAACAACAACAAGAAATTTGTTCAATTTTCGATTATCACGACCGAAAAAAAACAGCGTTCGCTCGGAGCAAGAAATTAAAAGCGAAATTTTTTTAGAAATTTTGGACTAAAATATAATTTTGAAAAAGATTGAAAGAACTCGATTTTCCCTGACTGTAATGATACGGCATCTTAAGAAAACGTAATTCTTTCCACTGAGATAGCCTTTCGTCTCTTTTAGTAAGCCAATGCAGAGAGGCACCTTTCATTCTTGAATTTAAAGCAGCGGTACAAGTATTAAAATTACGTGACATAAATAAACAAACATTACGACCAAATAAATTACGCAATTTTTAATGCTTTTATCTTTACATTTTTTAAACCTAAGACAAAGAAAGCAATCGAAGTTATGAAGCAAGGCCTACACAATGCAAAAGAACTAGGAAACAGCGAAAACGAGGGAATTGCCTACAACGTTCTTAGCTTGGCTTATTACGAGCTGGGTGATTTCAATCAAGCCATAGAGTACCACAAACAACATCTTAGTATTGCTAAACAACTGGGAGACAGGGCAGGCGAGGGAAGTGCCTACAACAATCTTGGCTCGGCTTATGACGAGCTGGGTGATTTCAATCAAGCCATAGAGTACCACAAACAACATCTTAGTATTGCTAAACAACTGGGAGACAGGGTAGGCGAGGGAAGTGCCTACAACATTCTTGGCTTTGCTTCTTACAAGCTGGGTGATTTCAATCAAGCCATAGAGTACAGCAAACAACATCTTAGTATTGCTGAACAACTAGGAGACAGGGAAGGAATCGCCTACAACAATCTTGGTTCGGCTTATCACAGGCTGAGTGATTTCAATCAAGCCATAGAGTACCACAAACAACATCTTAGTATTGCTAAACAACTGGGAGACAGGGCAGGCGAGGGAAGCGCCTACAGCAATCTTGGCTCGGTTTATTACAAGCTCGGTGATTTCAATAAAGCCATAGAGTACCACAAACAACATCTTAGTATTGCTGAACAACTACGAGACAGGGAAGGCGAGGAAGTTGCCTACAACAATCTTGGCTCGGCTTATCACGGGCTGGGTGATTTTAATCAAGCCATTAAGTACGCCAAGCAATGTCTAAGTATTGCTGGAAAACCGTTAATAAGGTTGGCAGCCTCAATTCTTCTTGGTCATAGTTGGCTTTTAATGGGTAAATTGTTTCAAGCCATGCAGTTTTTCCAGGATTACCTTGATATCGCTAAACACGTAGGGAACAGGAAGAGCGAGGCTCTAGCCTATGCCCTTATTGGAGTTGTTAATGCTCGACGGGATGATTTTAACGAGGCAACCGAGTATCTTGAGAAAGCGCTTAGCATGGCCAAAGAACTGAGAGACCAGAAAACCGAGGCAGTGGTCTATACCGGTTTTGCGCAAATTCTTGTTGAACAGGGTGACTTTGAACGAGCCATCGAGTGCAACAAGAAATGTCTTACCATGGTTCAGCCATCGGGGCAGAAAATAAACGAGGGAACTTATTTAGCCAATATGGGTCATACTTATGAAAGCTCTGGAGACTTGCATCAAGCGGTTGATTATTATCAACGCAGTAATAAAATTTTCAATGACTTGAGAGTTCTGCAAGCTGACGACGCGTCGAAAATAATCTTCCGCAATGCGCGTCAAGACAATTCTCAGTTACTCTGCAGAACTTTGCTCAAGCTGTCAAAATTCGACGAGGCATTGTGTGCTGCGGACCAAGGACGAGCCGAGGCCTTGTTGGATCTCATCAAACGACGATATGGATCCCAACTGGCAGTCTCTGGATCAGTCGAGGGTAAAACAGGGATCTCCGAAATGGTCACTGATATCTCTGGTCCAACGCTTTTTGTTGCACTATCAGGGAACTCAGTTAACCTGTGGGTAATCGGGAAAGACAGAAACATACAGTTTACACAGAAAGAAGTGAAATATCCCCTTGGAGATGCGACCGACTATTTGAATTGCTTAAGGAAGAAGACTTACAAGGAAATTCGAGGAAGATTCAGGGTAATCTGCGAAAACCGCACATTAGACGGGTCTAGTACCGAACAAGAATTGCCACCCGCCGAGGAAAGAGGCGAAGAAACAGGAAACCCATTACAGTCTAACGAGAATCCTCTGCGTCTCTTTCATGAGTGCATCATAAGTCCTATTTCAAATTTGATCGAAGATGGCGAGTTGGTTGTCGTTCCTGATGGTCCACTGTGCCTCGCCCCTTTTGCTGCATTTTTGGATTCCGAATCAAAGTACCTCAGTGAGTCCATGAGGATACGCATTCTTCCGTCATTGATGTGTATGAAACTGATCAACGCTTCTCCCAAAGAATATCACAACAAGAGTGGGGCGTTGCTCGTAGGAGATCCATGTCTAGAGGACTTTACCACCTTTCTCGGAGAGAATAGATTTTCACCCTTGCCTTTCGCCAAAAAGGAAGTGGAGATGATCGGAGCGATGCTTGGTATCCACCCACTCACAAGAAAAGAGCCAACCAAGGCTGAGGTACTAAAGAGAATCGGTTCGGTTGCTTTGGTGCACATTGCTGCGCACGGAAAATTCGAGACTGGGGAAATTGCATTGGCTCCAAATCCAGAACGAAAATACAGAAGACCAGAAGAACAAGATTTCAGGCTAACAATTTCTGATGTTCAAGCAGCGAAGTTGCATGCAAAGCTTGTTGTGTTGAGTTGTTGTCACAGTGCCCAAGGCGAGGTGTCAAGTGAAGGTGTGGTCGGCATTGCACGGGCTTTCCTCGGTGCTGGTGCTCGCTCTGTTCTGGTCACACTCCGGTCAATTAATGACGAGGCCACTATGAAGTTTATGAGAAGCTTTTACCAACATCTGAAGGATGGAAACAGCGCCAGCGTGTCAGTCAACCGGGCGATGAAATGTCTGCGAGAATCAGAAGACTTTAATGCCCCGCGGTTCTGGGCTCCGTTTGTACTCATTGGTGATGACGTCACAATCGATTTTAAAGAAATCAACAATGAATCGTGAGTAGCAATTTATAAATAAGACTTCAATAATTCCACCCTCATGTGAAATACTTTTACTAAACTGAGCAAGAAGGTCGACTAAAACCCTCTCTAAAGGATGGTGGTTACGAGACAGTTTTGCTCTTAGAAGTTGGTGTAGAAGACACAGTTGACGTAAAACATTATAATTAGAGTACGCACACAAAAGAACGAAAAAAAAAAGACAATGAAAATGATAGGTTAATGAGGCGGTGTTTTATCGGCGGCGTCGTCCTTTCTCCTCTACACTGAGAAGGAGCCGGCATTTCAAAGTAAGCTAAATTTAGTAACTCGAGTTATCAGATGTATTTTACTCGTGCATTCTCAGCGTATAAAAAAGGCTTTCAAGAGAAGAGAGCATGCATTTACTTCATACACGGTTCCAAGTGACTTGTTCGGCTCAATGACAGTAATTTCTCTTTAATTTCAGATCACAAGAAGAACAAGTATCACCAACGGAAGTAAAGGATCAAGAAGAACTGGAACAGGCGCCATAAAATGAACACTCTAACTTCCAAGCCCTCGAGACTGGTAGAGTAACTCCACGCAACGAGGACATTGAGAAAATGCTTAATAATCTGTGAACTTTACTCGTGGGTAACTTAACTGAGTCAATTCCGTAAGGATGTCTTAATGATTTGAGACTAAGGCCTGATTTAATTGTAGTGCTTCGCTTTTGTTTAAGCTGAGAATAAGGCATATTATCAATAAGAAAATTTCTGAGTTTTTATCAATATAATTTGTGATACTTTTTAATTTTTCTTATGGAAATTATCCCATGTTACAAACTCGCGATCTGCGCCAATTGTTAATTACCTCGGACCAAACAAGATACCTGTGGCCCGCGAAGATTATGGTTTACTTCTTGACGATTTTTCTGCGCATGTCTCTTCTTTAACCTCAGGTGTTAAACACATGTACATATTTAAAAGTTTCAATCTAAGAAAATTACTGAGTGAGGCAAAACAAAACTAGATAGAAAGACTGAAAGCAAGAGTTTCTGCAAGTTTGCAGACTTTTTTTTTTAATTTTTAACCTTTTTCTTTTGATTCTTTCCCTCGTGGGAAAGGTATGATTGGTTGCACAGCAACATTTTTCACAACAAAGTTATACAAATACACATATTTTACAGTTGTCAGTTTCCTCTTTAAAAAGATTTAGGTTAACTAAGCAAGGACATGTGTAGTTTCAAGTGACTGCCGTAAAAAAGCCAAACAAAGTTTTAGTCAAAAGGAAACAGTCCGAATCAATAGGAAAAACTAGTATGGTAAACTTATTTGTTTTCTACTCATATCTTAAGCCTGGCAGATTGAGATGAAGTACTTTTTTTTATCACTTATATTTAAAAGCATTATATATTAATAAATCGATAATAATAACAATCACATGATAAATTTGTCTGCAATAATTGATCTTTCAGAGACTTGCTGAGCAGGAGGCTGTCACTGTTGTAGTATAATTACTCTTTGTCTTTGATATTTAACCCTTTCCACCCTAACATCAGTATGTATATTCTCCATACTGATCTCCATACATTTCCTAAGGCAGCAACAAGGAGAATTTATCTAAGAATCAAGTGAGCTTCTTAACTTGGTGATCATTTCCTTTTATTCTAGTGACCTAACTTTTTGATTCAGGGGTGATATTGTGAGGAGAAACTGGATGCTGGTCACTCTTAGGAGTCAAAGATGTTAACTGAACACCTGAAACAGGCTCTGTGAGGATTATTTTTATTTTGGTTTGCATGACTCGAGCCTGAAATTCTGATCAAAACATGATTTTTAAGACATGAGTATTTTCTTCAAAGTGAGTGTCAACAAAATCTGAGTTTCATTTCTTTTAAAGGTATATATGGCCTTTGCCTTTGCCTTTGCCCTCCCCCTGACATCCTTTGTGTCCATTATAGCCCAGTGATTCCCTGACTGCTTTGATTATGATGGTGACCATATTCTACCATGACCATCAGGTGTGTTGTATTTGACATCCCACATCCAAGGAGATTCTGTTTTGACAAAACACAAACATGACATGAAATACCAGACTTTCATAGACGAACCATTGATTTTAAGTACCTGACTCTCTGCATGTGCCCAGGGATCACATGGTTTTCAGGGGGAAAGGAGAGGAGATCTGCCGTCACCAACAGAGCATAAAGGCTTGACCATAAAAAACTGACTGCCAATTAACCCTTTAACACCCAGATCAAATTTGTAATTCTCCTTATTGTCAACCATACAGTTCTTATCATGTTAGTTCAGAGAACTTAGTATTGAATCAACTAATTATCCCCAAATTGATATTTTTCTTTATTCTCACCACTCGTTTGCTTGATATTGTATTGATATTGTAAGGAGAAATTCTGTTTTGGTCACTCATGGGAGTTAAAGGGTGGAGGGGGATCATAAGAATATTACAGAGTCTTGTTGGGGATCAGGTAAATTTTATTGTGACACAAGAAAAATCCTTGAACCCCCCTACCCCCCTGACCATCCCTGCTCCCCTGACCACCCCCTGCCCCCCTAAGTCTGCCAAGGATAAATAATGACCAGTCCCACAACCATAATTTACAATGAGAAAATTGCTACAAATTATTCACACTCAAAAAATAACAAGGAGGAACTTTTGATTTCAAACAAATTTGGAAATTCATGATGTGAACTGAAAAGAGGATACCTTTATGCTAAATTGCCTGAACACAAGCAAGGAATCTTACCATCTTTGGTGTATGGCAAAGGTGGGACATCAAATGGAAGCTGTACACTATAACTTGACCACTTTTCATTACTTTCCTGTTTTCCTTTCACATGAAAGTATTTGCTTTCAGGATCCTGTTCATAAAATGACAGTTAACTATTGAGTCATAGATGGAATCTGGATCAAAAAGGGTACAGTCACAGGAAAGAATTTTCTTTCATTTGTCCAACTGAAACGCTGGAGATATAACTAAACAAAATACCTGGTCTTTGGGTAGAAACAAAACTCCAATCTCATACGAGCGAATCATAAGTTGTTGACCACTTTTTTCCAAAGTTCCCCAGGCTGCTTTAGACAAATTTGCACTGAAAATAATTAAATGTAAATGAGGAAGAGAAAAAATGCAAAAACTTTGCATAAATTTCAAGACAACATCTATCCTTTTTAAGACTCCAACCATCTTTCATTTTCAAAACATTGCCTTTTCAAAATAACTGGCTTGACATTCTGTTTTGGCCAATCAGAAATAGCCCACAGATAGACAGGGGAAATCCAAAGTTTGCTCTTGTTCTAGCCAAATTAGATAGACTATAAACACCATGAGGGTAAACCCAAGGGGTTTCGAAAGGAGAACAGACAATTTTTGGATTCTTTTAATCATATCAGTAATGCCCTTAGACGACAACGAAGGCAAACCTGAAAAGATTCTGCTGTTATACTGAAATAATCTTTGAACAAACTTTAAACAGCCCCAAAGATAAAGATGTGTGGAAGTTCCACCTTCTAAATTTTCTAGAGCAGCATAACTAAATAAAGATAAATTGCAGAGAGGACTCAGTTTTTAACACCTTGTCACAAGAAACCAGCTCATTCGGCTCCAATCTGGGGATACCCTGGTGTATGCTTTAATGTGAGGAGAGGTGCGACTTCTACCACAGGAATGAGACTTCCAAGAGCTGAAAAAACCAAAAGCAAGAAAAGCAAAAATCCATCAGATCTGTCAAGAATGTAAGAAGAGCTATCACTATGAACTCAAAACCCATGAAAATCTTGTGAAATAATTCATTGTAAATTCACAGATTTTTCACAGGATTTTCATGGTTAAATCAATGACATTTTCATGGTCTCAGTGCCATGAAAAAGACCTGAAAAATCCCATGAAAAACCTGTGAAAATTTCCATATTCACGACCCATGAAATATTGAGTAAAGTGACCTAGAAGCCATGAAATACCCATGAAAATGGCATTTCATGGCCTTTTCAAAGGTACTGAGAAACCCATGAATTTCAAGCCCAAAATTTCATGGTGTCAAAGTTCACTAGTTTTTAATGGGTTGCAGCAAATCATGACCCATGAATATCCTGTGAATATGTAAAAAATTCATAGACCATGAAAATTTTCCTTGAATTTTCATGGCCTCTACATGGTTTTTTCATGGCACATGAAAGTTAATTGCCAGTTGCTTGACTAATCTGTTCAGCTGCCGGTTGATATGGTTTGCTATCACCCTCACTGAGAAGCGAGGTAACTTCCTGTAGAAGTTTAATTGCTTTAGCACTTTTGCATTTGTTTCGATTTTCTTGGTTTTTTTTTCTGGTTTCCTCTTCCACGTTTGTTGTCCGCCATGTTCGACAGAACAGTACACGAACACTGGTAATAATTAGAATAAATTATAGAGAGCGCGGGAAATGTTTCTCGCCCCGGGACTCCTCGTGAATTTCTTATCGTGAGGCTACCAGTCTACTTGCCGAACATAATTCGGAGGAGCCGAACAAAATTGGAATAAACTCAAAAAAAACTGCCAGCCTAGTTATAAGTGAAATACTCCCAACACAAGTTAAAAGAGCCGAACATAATTCCATGCAACGCTGGAACATAATTCTGTAGTTCGGCCGAATGAAATATCAAACACCATAACATAATTTGTTTTCTAAATTTGACCCTAATAACGCTCCATAAGTTTTCATGGGGTTGTTAGGAATATGCAAGCACCATGAAAATTCTTTGGAAACCCTATGAATTTGGAATTAAAAATTCTTCACTTTTCTTGTACCAAAGACTGTACTACAGTGTATAGCTTGCAGTACACCACAACTGTAATACATACACTATCACTTAAATTATACACTGAAGAACTAACCTATCTGTGAAACTTCTTGGTCCTGTTGTACAAGCACACACACATGAAAGACATGACCAGAAGTCTGGATTCTCTGATAGTTTATTTTGTTTCACCAGCTGTACATAAATATTATTTTAGGATTCTAAAATTGTGATAATTCAGTTTACACTTTCTTAAATAAAAAAAGTTGGTATGAAATTTTCTGCATAAAATTAAGATGTTAATGATTTTTAGCTCTATTTTGATATCACTGATTTTCTTGTGGAGACAGATTCTGCTCCTATATTTCTGTTTATTTAAACTATTTTGAAGGTATATTATAAATAAATTTGATGTGAAAAATATTTGGACGAAATTATTGAAAATATACTCACTGGTTTGATGTATTTTTGTCTAAACTTCAAATATCATTTCCTTCGTCTAAAATCATGTGTAAAATGTTATGGACAGTTATTATGTCTATTTATGTAACAGCATTCATGTAAATTTCTTGATATGTTTTACACTTGTGATCAATACTCTCAAGGTAACTAACAACAAAACAATTACCAACTTTCTGCACTCTTGCATGTGTGAAGATATATCTATGGCTGACTATGTCAGTGTCTCTCTGTTTTGGCCACCTGAATGTGCCATCCTTCTTTCGGTTATCATTACTATTTGCATCTTCATCATCATTTGGACCAAGATAGGCTGCTTTAGCAAGTTTGCATTTCCTTTCATCAGTTTTGTAGACCAACACTCTTCACTGTTTGCAAAATAAAGGGAGCACATCATCAGTTATCTAAGAGCCTTTCTTATGTACGTAGTAAACCTAGAAATGGATAACTCGCCAAAACAGGTTCTTTTCAACATAAAGCCGTCAGATATTAAGCGACGCACTGTGGAAGTGAGGTGAGGTATTTCGTATTCAGAATTTGACTGTATTTTTTATTCCTAAGAACGGTCGTAAGTATTTCCATACAAACTCTTGTGATGTTTCGCCAGATGATCACAGAATAAAAATTTTCAAGTTAAATCAATAGTTAGCGTGCGCGCTCCGATGTTTACGCGTAATAAGATGATCAAGCTTGAACTTACCCCTTCACATTGTAATGCATATCGATAACTTCATCTTGAGGAAACCTCTTTGAAAAAAACTTTTCAGACGGTCCATTGCGTTGATCTGGAAAAAAAAGAGACTGCTACACAAACACTACGAGAAATGCAATTGAATGGAACCATTCCGTTCGAGGTACGAAAAACCGCCCGCCACTTCTTCGTAAATCACGTGTACTTTCACGTGGTGACCTTAGGTCATCGCAGCCATCATAGGTCAGCGGTCACATAGTGACCTCACAGGTTATCGTGTTCGACGTTACGAAATGACTCCGAAGAGGTTTCGTTGCTGCGTCTGTAATCTTACAAAAAAAGCAGCACAAAAAGCTGTTCGGTATTTGGAATTTGAAGCAAGTAACAACCGACAGGACATCAGAGTCCAAGAAAGTCAGAGCTGACATCGACAGTGATTCCTGTGAAAGCGACCACGAAATCAACAACGATGTTGTAGAAGGCGATCTCAATGAATACATGAAGGTAACGTTTCATCCCGACTGAGAGGATGGCCTGACTCTGTTAACCGGCGACTCTATGAACGAGGTAAAAATAGCATTTTTTTCAGGTTACATTTGCACACTATTCAAAGTTCCAAATTGAGGTGACAAAGCGATTGATTTTTCATTGTTTTGTTCCACATTTCGTGTAGATGCAATGTGTACCATTGCTGTACAACTTAAGCATCTGTACTCTGCAGGTGCCTTACTGGAAAAGCCCTAGAAGATTCCTCAGCCGTAAGAATGTAAGAGAAGGCCTTGAACAGTTTTCCAGAGTCATGACTAACAATCAAAGCCAGCAGTGAGGCAGAAAAAATTCAACAAAGTCGTCCAGACATGGCGAAGGCAAAAAGGCCCCAAAAAATCAAAGTGAGGATCAAACATCTGGGTCATTGCCTCCAGCCCCATGTGTCTCAACAAAGGAGCAAATTGAAGATCCATTGTTTTTAGTCATTGTTTTGTGATTTCCTGTACATTTTACGTTAACAAAGGCCACTTAAGATGTTTAGGGACATTTTCATTTGACAGTTTTCGCGCTGTACACCAAAATTCCATCAGTGGATAAATTTATAACAAGTCAGTTCCACGGATCATGAAAGTCAGCTCGTTGATAAATCAGTGACTGTGATGAACTCATTAATACCACTTTTAATGGCCTATGGATTCATCAATGAAATTCATGGGCAACAGATTTCAGGAAATATTCATGGCCCATTAATTTTGTTCTCCCAAAACAAATAAATTGTTAGCCCATGAAATACTGTTTGATTGCAATTCATGGGCATGAAATTCATTCTGATGACTTTCTGGGGAAACTAATGGGTCATGAAAGTAGACTTTGAAGAAATTCATGGGTCATGAAAGTAGGCATATAAAGAAATTCATGGGTCATGAAATTAATTCTGGTGACTTTCATGGCAAATCAATGGGTCATAAAAATTGACTTTGAAGAAATTCATGGGTCATGAAAAAAATTCCCCTAATTCATGGAAAATTCATGGCTAAAAATAACCCCATGAAATTTCATTTTGCAGTATTCATGGGCCATGAAATGATCTTCATGGGTTTTTCACATGAAATTCATGGAATTTTCATAAAACTACAGTTCATAGTGTATGCTAACACAACAGAGTTAGCTACTTGGGTAAAGCAGAGATTTCCTGGATGTAACATTTTAATAGATCTAAGGCTTTTGATTATTAGCCTACACCCCAGTATGGTCCAATTGAAAAAAGAAACAGAGAAAAATAGCCATTTTGTCAAGCAGATTGAGGGGAGTGACTGATGTGCTCTACTCCAAATTGAAAGGACTAGAAACATTCCCTGCCTGGGTTTCCTGACAGAACAATTGAAATTAATCTCCACACACAGTGGTGGATACTGATAAAAAGCCACCTGCTAGATGAAAGACTCCATAATTAAAGTTTTGAAGATTTTCCTCAAATTCAGGGAGGGTATGAGTGGTGAAGGGTAAAATTGCAATGCCACACTAGTGGATTTCATGCCATGTGAACTGGGATGAAGCTAAGGTTGATGAAAACCCATCTAATCTGAAAACAAACTAAGGGTGACTTACCAAAAGAAACTTGGAAGATAAGCTGCTTCAAAGCTGTCTTGGAACTGTATGGTATTGAGCCACCAGCTACAGAGAAAGAAAACTATCAGAGATCACATAATTATACTTAGAAATGAAACTTGAACCACTAAGAGTATGCTGTGAAGTGTTTAGAAGAAGAAAATATATATAGAAAGAAATACATAACTCAAACACTGTGGACACTTTATGTGCTTCTACAAACTGCAGTAATTACTTTAAATTTACTCACATGTGCATCCCTAGATTTTTGATGATTAAGATAATAATGATAATAAAAAAATAATAATAATTAAACTAACAATAATAATACTGATAATAATAAATCCAGTGTGTTCCAATTGAAGATGAAGGGATTGATTCCAGCACTCTAACCACTCAGCCACTTGATATCTGCCTCAACAGATGCATATAATTTAAGTTATATTATATACCTGGGTAACCTTCCAAACTGCACCGCACATTGTCCACTGTTGGAAAAACCTGCCAATAAAACATGACAAATCAAGAAGAAAAAAATTTCCACAATATTCTGATCCAGAACAAAAAACTTGCAAACTTGCAAATTAAATCAGTGTTCAGTTTCCAACCATAATAGAGATTGAGAAACATACTGACCAGATGCAGAGGGGGACTGGACATCATGTTACCAGAACTTGTGGACAAGCTTTGTAACCATTCAGAACACAGCCAACCGTCCTTGTCATTCCCAAGGGAACTGATGCTGGAAAACTGACCAATCACAGGCCACGTCATCAGAGCTGGGTCCATGCTGGTGAAGAACCTAAGTTTCAAAGAAGACAATTATCTTATTTTCAGGGTATTGCTAAATAAAATAAAAATTTGTTCAATTCCATTGAGTGAAACTTTAATGCTCTTTTAGACAGGCACCTAACTTTGCTTAAGGGTGATATTTGCTAACAACTCAAAAATATTCCAAATTTTAGACTTCTTAGTTTATACCAATAATTCATGATCACCTTACAAAGTTTAAGGTGGCCCCATTTGGTTTTATTGACTTTAGTGTGTCTCCCAGGAACAGAGGCCATTAGGCGAACCCTAAAATTAATTAAAAGTCTCCCCTATGTTAATACAAACAGAACACATTTTAATTGAAAGTCTCAATTATCACTAAAGAAATCAAAACAACAAATTATGTCAGAAGAAAATATCATAAGGAGGCAACAACAACTCAATAACTTCCTGATAGAATGGTAAAGTGAGACTTGATGTTATTCCTTTCAAATTTGTTTAGAGTAAATGCAAAGCAGGATATGAATTAACAACATATAACTTTCATGTACCCTTGTGTTTTCTGGTCCCAATCCATGGCAATGAGATTTGCTGTGCTGATCACAACTCTTAATCCTTTAACTCCCAAGATCTCATTAACAATTCTCCTTACTGTCTGTCTGCCATATAGTTCTTGTGATGTTAGTTTCAAGAATTTGGTGTTGGATCAACTAATAATCCCATCATTAATGTTTTTCTTGTTTCTCATCACTTGTCTGCTTGATATTGTATTGATATTGTAAGGAGAAATTCTGTGTTGGTCACCCATGAGAGTTAAAGGGTTAAGCCCTCTTTGTACAACAGTAACATCAATTTGTTGGAAAACAAATCATAACTAAACTTTTCAAAAGTCTGAGAAAACAAATCCATTGTGATTGTAAGGAGAGAAGCTCTTAATTCATCATTAAGAATAAAGATCACTCACTGATAACAGTCATTGTTATTTTAACAATGATTTTCTTCATTTTATGAAAGTGCAGCATGTTATCATCTTTTTGTTGTATCTCAGAACTGTTTTAGATACTCAAGTTTTATAGCTACTGGTAAATTGGTTTCTCATAATTTGCAATTCTGTTTGTGCATAGTAATAACGACATCTTCATTCTTCAATGTACCATCACAAGACCAACCTATGATGTGTTGATGTGTTCCAAATGCTTCCAGTCTGGCCTGTCAAAAAAAGACAAACCATTATTATTTTATCAATACTATACTTCACCATTGAGTAATTTGACTGATTTTTTTTTCAATTAAGTGACTGACTGACTGACTAACTAATAAAAAGAAAAATGATTATAGTACTGATAATCTTTGATATGATTAGAAGGAGGATTTATCTGCAGATTTATCAGCTAGATAAGGAAGCGTCACAATCTAAATGCCTCAGTGCTGTCCTTTGGATTATTTCCCTTGAGTGGGGACCTCACCTCCACTTATGTCCAGAAATGCATGCAGTGACAAAAATGGCAAATTTGATGAAATTTCATCAAATCAAGTGAATGTTCATGGTTTTGACAATTTTGACAAATTTGCACCATTCTGGTTACTGTATGCACTTCTGGACATATCTCGATACCAGTAACTGCACAAACATCAAACTTACAGGAGAGTAAGAGTTTAAGGTGGCAGATAAATTTTCATTCTACATGAACCAGCCAAAGAGCTGTAGATAATATTTAGTTCTATATCAATGCATCACTTGAAAAAAAAAATTTGATTTTTAGCAATTTGACAGTTCAATGTAAAAATACATTTGATCTTGACCTTTTATCAGTAGGATACTGCTCCATCAACCAGGGAATATCAAAATTGTGGTTCAACTGGAAAAATTAATGTGCATAATACTATTTTTTTTTCATTCTTGTCACTTGCCAGCTTGATATTGTACTAATATTGTAAAGAGAAATTATGTCTTGATCACTTACATGAATTAATATCTGGCTTATTATCTTAGTTGATAGTATCAACCAACTAGTACTTCTCAGAAGCAGCTGTTCCAATCATGTCACAGCGTCATTTTTCAGGCTTCTTTTTCTTCTATTTCTCTGATTGTAGTTTATAAATGAGATCACTTATTTACTTACATGTATTGTCATTTGCAAGTCAAAATGTGATTTTTGACTCGTAGATCGTAGATAGTATAGAAACGAGTTGTTTTGGGCACTTTGGGATATGCAAATTGGTGTGTACTCCTCGTAATTAGTCGTAATTAGTCGGCTCCCAGCTCTAATCTATCCTTACAAAGAAGTCCAAAGTCCTGGTGCCATTGTGATTGCATTGATCATTGTGATGTTTATTGTCTTTACACAGCTGTTTTGACATTTACTAAATTGAAATGGACTCCAAATGTTTCAGATTAGTGCTATGATCAACTCGAGGACCAAATTTGAAGGGTCTTTTAATTGTCCATGCACTAAACATAATGAGGAGCAGCAAGAATCATGAAAAGTTTGTTGGTGACAGAGCAAGCTGTTAACATGGAAATTCCCACAGAAACATGTACCCATGACTTAAAAAAAAATGTTTATTTACAGCATTATAAAAAAAAAAGAGGAAAAATGTATATAACAAAATAAATTAATGCATAAAAATGTCTCCCACCAAAAATTGAACACAGACACCCTGTCTGCAGAGACTTAAGTTTATCCATATCACCACTATGTCACTAACTAAAAATATTCAGGAAAAGTAAGCTACTTATACCATAAGCTGCATTTGGCATTTGAGAAGTAATCACATTGTCAGCAAAGTTTATCAAATCATTAGCTTATACAGCTGTTTCAACATTTACTAAATAGAAATGGACTTTGAATGTTTCAGATTAGTGCTATGATCAACTTGAAAACTCAATTTAAGGGGTCTTTGAAATGTGAAGGCATCAACATAACGAGGAGCAATGTAAAAGTTTGAGCAACATATTTAATTTTTTCAAGCCAGCTGCTTTGATCAAATTTTGTTTCCCTATTTTTGGATGGAAAGGCTACTTACTCTGCTCAAGAATTTCGTTAAAGGACCCGCTATATCATATAAAAACCTAGCAGAACAAAAATGTTATACATGACACTAAACAATAGTCAAAGGGCGCCTGTGAAATCAGAATGCATGATGAAAGATTGCTATTATGGACACTAAAATTTATGATAGTACCAGGGGTCTTTGATTTCAAAAAAAAAAAAAATACTTAATTGTGTTTTGTTACCTCCTGTCCCATCATACTGTAGGAGTTACTGGCCTCCTTCTGACCACAAGCAAAAATACAGGCATTGCAACACTCAAACACTGCCTTATCACATCAGTACCCAAATCTTCAAACATCTGAAGGAATAACAGGAGAGCACTAAGTAAATTTCAAGCTTTTTTAAGATTTTAGTGAATGAATCATTTATTATTTAACATTTCACCAAATTACTTTACACTTAAAGTTTCAAACTTCCAAAGCTTGCCAGTTTACAAAGACCCAAATTCTCATAACACCAGCACTTAAAAATAACAAGTTGATTCCTCCTCAATACTTACACTGGAAAGTTTATGTGTGTATCTGTGCACATTTTTTCTATGACAGCCATAATTTACCTGGCTTGTTTCCATAGATTTGAAGTGTAGACCATGAATAACTATTCTAACAACTATTCTATTTAAACAAATATATTATCCATTATTTATTCAAAAGTGTGGGGAAATATACTCTCAAGCTAAAACCACACAATTCAATTCTATTGCTATGTAAAGTACAAAGATATACTCAATCTCACAATAAACTCTCTTGATCTCGTTTTCCTTTTTACCTAATCATGTCTATGAACTGTGTCACATAATCTAATTAATGCTGGTCATTTTAAAGAAGATTCTTACCAAGTTCAGTTGTACCAATGTGACTATCTTTTTCATTGGATTTGTTTAACCCCACAAAACATTTATAATCAGATTTTACATTGTTATTGTGTATTTCAGCTCACCGTATTTGTTTCTGTTGTTGCGCTCTGATTGGCCATAAAACCATTTTACATGAGAGTATGTAAACAAGGTTTTCGTTCCTCTTTCATTAGTTATTTTATAAAAGAAATGTAAAATGGTTTCCGTGTTTACATAGCCTGATGTAAACACTTGGGAGGTTGGGAGAACATTCGATAAGCTGGAAAACCACTCCGCTTCGCGTCGTGGTTTCCTACTCTTATCTCGTGTTCTCCCAACCTCCCGCGTGTTTACATCAGGCTATGTAAACACGGAAACCATTTTACATTTCTTCAATGCAAAACAAAGAAGTCTATTAAATTTAAAACAAAGTCTTTAGTTCTAAAAATTTAGTCGCAGTTTTCAACAAGTATCGTCAACAGTGACATACTTATTTGCCAACGGATACATTTCACGGATATTTAAACGCCTGACATCGATCACCGAGAATTTTGAACTAGCGTTCTGCTATAACAGCCGAATCAAATACTTCATTTTGGCTTACCTTTTATTAAGGGGCCTCACTCTTACTGCTACCTTGACTGAAGCCATGTTCATTGTATTATTTCCTTTCCACTTCAAATATCTTGATCGTTATAAATCAACGCCTGCAAAATACTGTTAACAATTTATTCCGAATCATTACTAATAACACAGTCTCGATCAGTCTCAATTTCTTCACACGCGAGCCTGCGCACACTCGACTGACCACTTTGATGTCATTTGATCCCAGATTACCTGACTGTTCTCCTTGGTAGAATGGTAACTAATCGGTCAAACACTACCGTGAATGAGCCGTGTTCAAATGAACATCAACATCGATATGTTGCCGTTTTTCATGTATTTTCTTTTGTTCTTTTTTTCCCGTTGATCACATACCTATGTGGATTTCAGTGACGCTGATAAATTTAGCTGCATTCTAAAAGCTAACGCAGTAACTGGCTCACAAATAACCGATGGTTATATTTCAAACAAAAAAAACATTGTCAAAAAATTAACTGACAGCATTTTAATCTTGTATCATTGACAAAAGTTTTGGAATAAAAAGAGCCATTCAATTTCCACGTCCTGACTGATCATCATGTAAGTTCTCTTTACAGTTTTGATACACCGTTATTCAGACTACCGATGAGATTTTAAGGTTTAGAGGTACGAAACTATGTCAGCGTGTGAAAATAGCTAGTTGAAATATGTCTTGTTTTTCACTGGCACAAAATTTTGATGAAACGTTAGATTCCGACAAACTTCTCTTCGAAGACAACACCAGTTTAATTATTCCTACTGATCAAAATAATTAGCTGCATTCTAAAAGCTAACGCACTAACTGGCTCACAAATAACCGATGGTTATATTTCAAACAAAAAAAACATTGTAAAAAAATTAATTGACAGCATTTTAATCTTGTAACGAATACTAATCATTTATCTGTTTTCAGGTTATTGTATCACACAGCCCAAAAACTTGAAGGCATCATCTTTGTCGAGAAAGCGTCTTCTGAAAGTAAGTACTGATAATCAATAGTGCCACACTCATCGACACGTCAATTATTGTAAGTTGCTGACGGAAACGACCATCCATGTGAGAGAGGAATCGGTTGGAATTGCCCTTTTTAGAGGCATCGAAGACGACACCTGTTTAGTCATTCCTACTGATCAAAATGATTCAGGGGTTTTAACAAGTATTTCGAAAAGTTTAGTAGATGGTTGAAAAAAAAAACTAGTGCTTAAACACCCTACATAAATAGATCATTCTACGTTTTTCAGGCATTTCTGACGTTATTTCTCATTTTCGACTCAGCCAAACCAGTAAATCGCGTTAGAAAATGAAACTTGTCTCTCGTCAAAGTCTTTAAATAACATCTCTGGTATTCAAGGAAGTTTTATGCCTCGTCACGATTATTTGCAAACAAACATCTACTTGATATCGATATTTGACTTGATCGGCTGATCTTGGTTTTGGCGTTTACTTTTGGGCTTGAGGTTAGCTGGCAATAATTGTTTTTCAATGTTTTATTTGTCATCAACAGTTTTTCACAAAATTATACTTTCTACACAAATTATGGAATGTGTAAATGAAATCGGGTGGTGGCTTCGTTCGTGGAACATATCAACATTTTGAGAAATCCTTGTTCCTATACTAATCATTTTTTGTTTTCCAATTTATCCGTTTTCAGGTTATTCTATCACAGATCCCAAAAATTTGAAAGCATTGTCTTTGTCATAAAAGCGTCTCCTTAAAGTAAGTGCTGATAATTAATCGTGCCACACTGATCGACACGTCAATTATTGTAAGTTGCTGACGGAAACGACCATCCATGTAAGAGAGGAATCGGTTGGAATTTCCCTTTTTTAGGGGCATCGAAGACGACAACTGTTTTATCATTCCTACTAATCAAAATAAAACAGGGGTTTTAACAAGTATTTCGAAAAGTTTAGTAGATGGTTGAAAAAAAAAAACAGTGCTTAAACACCCTACATAAATAGATCATTCAACGTTTTTCAGGCATTTCTGACGTTATTTCTCATTTTCGACTTAGCCAAACCAGTAAATCGCGTTAGAAAATGAAACTTGTCTCTCGTCAAAGCCTTTAAATAACATCTCTGGTATTCAAGGAAGTTTTATGCCTCGTCACGATTATTTGCAAACAAACATCTACTTGATATCGATATTTGACTTGATCGGCTGATCTTGGTTTTGACGTTTACTTTTGGGCTTGAGGTTAGTTGGCAATAATTGTTTTTCAATGTTTTACTTGTCATCAACAGTTTTTCAAAAAATTATACTTTCTACACAAATTATGGAATGTGTAAATGAAATCGGGTGGTGGCTTCGTTCGTGGAACATATCAACATTTTGAGAAATCATTGTTCTTATACTAATAATTTTTTGTTTTCCAATTTATCTGTTTTCAGGTTATTCTATCACACAGCCCATAAACTTGAAGGCATCATATTTGTCGAACAAGCGTCTCCTGAAAGTAAGTACTAGTAATTAATCTTGCACACTGATCGACACGTCAATTACTCTTGTTGATGGTAACTACCATCCATGTAAGAAAGGAATCGGTTGTTATTGCCCTTTTTAGAGGCATTTTCAATTTTTAGTCTCAAAAACTATATGAATAAAATCATACTCCTCTGTGGATGATATTTGAAGAATTGATCACCGCGCTAAAGTAGATTGTGAGCCAAAAAAAATTGAAACCTGTATGGAAACCAACTTGTAAATAGCGCCAAACGTAATCTAGCAGGCACGCGTTCAAACCCAGTCGGAGCGTGAGTTTTTCAAGTTTCATGACCAGTTTTACAATGATAGAAAATATCACCTTTAGCAACTATCATTCGTGAGATTGAGGGCGCTCGCTGTTGTCATCAAACGTTACATCTCGAGAAGGAAAATTTCAGTTTCTCAGAATCCTATGGCAAACGATCGAAGACCATGTGAAAACAGACGTAAACCGCTGTTTTTTTAATTCGTCGTGAGTAACCTTTATGTCATCGGCTTTGATAAAAAAAATACACCTTTAGACTGATAATTTTCTTCCTTGCTCACACCTGACAGATTCAGTCACCGTGAGAACTTTTATGCGAACTTGTTAAATGCGTCTAAAGAACTTATTTCAATTTTTTGATAGACACGTTTCCTATTAAACAAAGGATAGTGATAGCCCCACTATCAACCTTAACATTTTATTCATTCTCCAGCTATCTTGTGAACAATTAGACACTGATGTGAGTGGTTTAACTTAAAAGTAACAAGAAAAATCCGCCATGTGATGACAGATATAGAATGAGCGAAACGTTATGGTGTTGCGTGACGAACCCAGACGAGAGCTCTGAAGAAGACAAGGCGGATATATTTTCGATCAGGAGAATATTACACAAGAATAAAACGATCACAAAAGACATCGTTACATAGTTTCACGGGGAATTTTTAATGGTGTCCCTCTGTGCACGATCATGACTTCCCGTCAGAGGCGAACATTTCCACCACAGCTACAGAAAAAACACCTGGTGTTTTTGCTGCAAAAGAAAAGAAATTTAGTACAAAAAGTCAAATCAGATTTTCCAGTGTTGAGACCGTAAGTTGGTGTGTATATTATTGTTATACAGGAACCGTAAAGGAGCCGTACATCCGGTGAGATGTAAACTCCCAGCATTCATGGCGGAGGGTTCAAGCAAAGCTTTGGATGACGTCACATTACCCGCTGAAGGAAAAGAAGAAGAAGAAGAAGAAGACATAGTAACTCTTGATGTTGATGACGACACTTTGACAGGTGAGCTTAGTGCGGCTTTCTTTTCAAGACGAGTCTTCGTAATCATGTTTCCTGTGTTATAACTTGGGTACGTTCTGATTGATTTGTTTTCTTTAGCTTTTTTTCCTTCTCTTTGAAGTTATTTCGGGTAAGATTTCTTTCTGTGATGCGTGCACTTCGTAATGAAAACAGTCTGAAGTGACGAGATTTGTTCTTTAGCAATATATTCAACAGGAGGTCTACCACCTCATGTACCAGAGCCCTTTTGAAAGACAGTTTGTGAAGATAAAGAAGATAAACTTATTTTATTCCGGCTCTTTTGTTTTCAAACACCTTGGCCACAAGCGGTAGTAGTTTTCAATTTAGTGTATGTTGCTTAAATTGTTTTGTTTCAGCGATAGTTGAAGTTTACAAGAATGAAGGTAACAAGGTTTGCCTAAAAGGAGATTTTCTCAACGCCTCTCACTTTTACACGGAAGGAATTAAAGTGAAATGCGGAAACAAAGAATTGAAGGCCAAACTGTACAACAACAGGGCGACAGTACATTTCAAATTAGGTGAGAATTATGAAGACTTTTATCATTTTAGCGTACTTCGTTTCTCCACTTGGCTGTTGGCCTCACTGAGTCTGTGAGGTACTTCATGTAGGCATGTTTGTGTTTAGAATCTGTTCACGGCATCTTTATCTTGTAATACTCCAATGGAACTTGAATCAGATTTCGTTGTCCTCACCACCGCTGATATTTATAATCTTTTCTCTGCTTAACATTTCTATTGTTTTTTCGCTTTTTCTTGCCGACTCAGATACCCAGATCGACTACACAATACTCAAAGCAACATAATTTCCACTCAAATAAACCGATCATTTGAGTTTTGGAAACGAATTTTTGGAAGAGTATAGCACATGTTTGTGACACATCATTTGTTGTGTTTCTAAGATTTCCCAGATATAATTCCTTCTGTGTGTGAAATATTCCGTCGCTTATAGTATCAGCCGTTTAATACGATTACCGACCTACGCCCTTTTTTCTTCTTTATGTTCGGTTTTTTATAACTACAGTCAAAGCTGTAATCAGCGGTCACCCACAGAGAATGGCGGATGACCGCTTAACACAGCCTCCAAAGAATAGGGGGTGATATAAAAAACGATAAAAAATACCATTTTATGCCATAATTTGCCATTTAATGTACAAAAACTCGCCCAAAAATACCACCAAAATTGACTTCGGGAGATATACAGATTGAATTTTACTTGAAAGATTATTCTTAGTTTTATTTGAGTAGAACTTTGAGTGGAACTTTTCGCTTAAAGTGACCGCTCGGTTTCTGCAGGTGGAAGACAATGAGGACAGGTCGTTGGGTCTAACTCAAAAGTGACCACGACTACTTAACCCTTTAACTCCCATGAGTGACCAAGACAGAATTTCTCCTTACAATGTCAATATAATATCAAGCAGACAAGTGATGAGAATGAAGAAAATATCAGTTAGGGTATTATTGTAATTGGTTGATCCAATACCAGATGCTCAGAACTAACATGACAAGAACCATATGGCAGACAGTAAGGAGAATTACTAATGAGATTTTGGGAGTTAAAGTGCTACTAAGGGGGAATTAGAGGACTTTGACAACCGACCCCTAACGGGGTGACCGCTTACGGTGTCGCTTAATACAGGTTCGACTGGATGTTCTGCTATCAGATTACAATTCTCTTGTAGGCAACTACCAGGAGTCACTGAGAGATGCAACAGCTGCCTATCGATTGCAACCAACATATCTGAAGGCAATGATTAGAGGTATTTTTTTTTCTTATTTTTTTGAGCGGAAAACTACCTCGCACTCCACGGTCTGGACTGCACGTTACTGAGTGGGGTCTCACATGACTGGTGAAAGTGGCATTAGGCGCTATTTTTTTGGCAGATACTTTTACTCTGTATCTCGAAATTTCGATTTCAGAGCAAGAAATTGAAATGAGAAGATTTTAAAACTAAGACTGCTAAGATCTCATTGCCAGTCCTCTCCCTAAAGTCGAGAGTACCACGCCCACAGGCACCCTTCTGTTATGATTGACAGCTCACTGATACTCATCTTTCGAAGCCAAGTGCTTAGGATATATTTTTATTTTTTACAGAGAATTAAGGGAATCACCGTAACGTTTACTTAAATTTTTGCAAACATCGCACAACTCTTTCACAATTTGATAAGTTTCCAAAAACCAACGAGGAGAAAAATTACAACAATTTATTTTTTACCTCGGCAAAGGAAAACTGTTTTAGAAAAACCTCTTCCGCATAGATACGATCTAATAATGTTAACTGTGTTATTTTGAATAGGAGCAAGCGCCTGTCTTGAGCTGAATAAGCCTGAAGAAGCTCTCAGATGGAGTGTCCAAGGATTAGCAGTATCCTTTTGACAAATCTAAAATACAAAGAACTTGATCTCTCTTAGTATGCCAACTATGTAAGCTAAAATCGTCAGTGTTCAGAATTATGGCACATAAACACCATTTGGAAGCCTATCGGAATATTGAAAGCATCTTGCTTCTTCAACAAGTGTTCAAATGAAAAAGGCTTTCCAAGTTTCGGAATAAACTTTAATTTTTTTTGTTTTTCTTTTTTACCGATTACATAGAAAACAAGAAATCTGAGAGCCTTATTTCCTGACCGGTAGAGGTTCCGCTGTTTAAAAAGACTGTTATTAAGAATTTGCGGATCCCCAATACAGTTCTATAGCAGTATAGTTATTTTTGGCATTATATTTGCATCTTTAACTGCGGATGTGTGAAGATTGAAAGGAACGATACCCTGCGGCGACTGAGAGACAGGTCTTTCCACGAATGTTTAAAGTCCGGCAATGTAAGTCTATGGTCAAGTAAATTTTTTCGCATTCTCCTTCTTAGCATCATGTTAAATGTAACATCAGTGCACTAGATGTTGGGGTGTTAGCGGTGATGACATTGAGGACAATGTCAGTGAGAAGAAATGTCAAAGAGAAAAAGATCAGTCGTGCATTGCTGATGATTAATAATACTACAGTCAAACGTGTATTAAGCGGTCACCCACGGGAATGGTGACCTTTAATACAGGATCCAAAGAATAGGGGGTAATCAAGAGATCTGTTTTTCGACTTAAACCTTTACAATGAGACTTTTTATTTATTACCACATTTCGAGACAAACAAACATTACAACCGAAACAATTACGCAATTTCTTCGCTTTTGTCTTTACACTTTTGAAACCTAAGATAAAGAAAGCAATTGAGGTCATAAAGCAAGACCTCCACAATGCAAAAGAACTAGGAGACAGCGCGGACGAGGGAAGTACCTACCACAATCTTGCCTCGGCTTATGACAAGCTGGGTGATTTCAATCAAGCCATAGAGTACCACAAACAACATCTTAGTATTGCTAAACAACTGGGAGACAAAGAAGGCGAAAGACGTGCCTACAACCATCTTGTCTGGACTAGTTACGAGTTGGGTGACCTCAATCAAGCCATAGAGTATCTCAGGCAACATCTTAGCATTGCTAAAGAACTGGGAGACAGGGCAGGCGAGAGAAGTGCCTACAACAATCTTGGCTTCGCTTATCACGAGATGGGTGATTTTAATCAAGCCATAGAGTACCACAAACAACATCTTAGTATTGCTAAAGAACTGAGAAACAGGGCAGGCGAGGGAAGTGCCTACAACAAACTTGGCTCCACTTATCAGAAGCTGGGTGATTTCAGTCAAGCCATAAAGTACCACAAACAACATCTCAGTATTGCTAAACAATTGGGAAACAGGGAAGGCGAGGGAAGCGCCTACAACAATCTTGGCTCCGCTTATCACAAGATGGGTGATTTTAATCAAGCCATAGAGTACCACAAACAACATCTTAGTATTGCTAAAGAACTGGGAGACAGGGCAGACGAGGGAAGTGCCTACAACAATCTTGGCTCCGCTTATCACGAGATGGGTGATTTTAATCAAGCCATAGAGTACCACAAACAACATCTTAGTATTGCTAAAGAACTGGGAGACAGGGCAGGCGAGGGAAGTGCCTACAACAATCTTGGCTTCGCTTATCAGAAGCTGGGTGATTTCAGTCAAGCCATAGAGTACCTCAGGCAACATCTTAGTATTGCTAAAGAACTGGGAGACAGGGCAGGCGAGAGAGGTACCTACCACAATCTTGGCTCGGCTTATAATGAGCTGGGTGATTTCAATAAGGCCATAAAGTACCACAAACACCATCTCAGTATTGCTAAAGAACTGGGAGACAGGGCAGACGAGGGAAGTGCCTACAACAATCTTGGCTTCGCTTATCAGAAGCTGGGTGATTTCAGTCAAGCCATAGAGTACCACAAACACCATCTCAATATTGCTAAGGAACTAAGAGATAGGGCAGTCGAGTACTGTGCCTCCCATAATCTTGGCTCGGCTTATCACAAAATGGGTGATTTTAATCAAGCCATAGAGTACCACAAACAACATCTTAGTATTGCTAAAGAACTGGGAGACAGGGTAGGCGAGGGAAGTGCCTACAACAAACTTGGCTTCACTTATCAGAAGCTGGGTGATTTCATTCAAGCCATAGAGTACCTCAGGCAACATCTTAATATTGCTAAAGAACTGGGAGACAGGGCAGACGAAGGAAGTGTCTGTCACAATCTTGGCACCGTTTATCAGAAACTGGGTGACTTCAATCAAGCCATAGAGTACCACAAACAACATCTTAGTATTGCTAAAGAGCTGGGAGACAGGGAAGGCGAGGGAAGTGCCTACAACGATCTTGGCTTCGCTTATCGCAAGATGGGTGATTTTAATCAAGCCATAGAGTACCAAAAACATCATCTTAGTATTGCTAAAGAACTGGGAGACAGGGCAGGCGAGGGAAGTGCCTACAACAATCTTGGCTTCGCTTATCACGAGATGGGTGATTTCAGTCAAGCCATAGAGTACCTCAGGCAACATCTTAGTATTGCTAAAGAACTGGGAGACAAAGCAGGCGAGGGAAGTGCCTACAACGATCTTGGCTTCGCTTATCACAAAATGGGTGATTTTAATCAAGCCATTAAGTACCGCAAACACCATCTCAGTATTGCTAAAGAACTGGGAGATAGGGCAGACGAGTACCATGCCTACCACAATCTTGGCTCGGCTTATGACAAGCTGGGTAATTTCAATCAAGCCATAGAGTACCACAAACAACATCTTAGTATTGCTAAACAACTGGGAGACAAAGAAGGCGAGGGACATGCCTACAACCATCTTTTCTCGACTAGTTACGAGTTGGGTGACCTCAATCAAGCCATAGAGTATCTCAGGCAACATCTTAGCATTGCTAAACAACTGAGAGACAGGGCAGACGAAAAAAGTGTCTGCCACAATCTTGGCACTGTTTATAAGAAGCTGGGTGATTTCAGTCAAGCCATAAAGTACCACAAACAACATCTTAGTATTGCTAAACAACTGGGAGACAAAGAAGGCGAGGGACATGCCTACAACCATCTTTTCTCGATTAGTCACGAGTTGGGTGACCTCAATCAAGCCATAGAGTATCTCAGGCAACATCTTAGCATTGCTAAACAACTGAGAGACAGGGCAGACGAAGAAAGTGTCTGCCACAATCTTGGCACTGTTTATAAGAAGCTGGGTGATTTCAGTCAAGCCATAAAGTACCACAAACAACATCTTAATATTGCTAAAGAACTGGGAGACAGGGAAGGCGAGGGAAGTGCCTACAACGATCTTGGCTTCGCTTATCACGAGATGGGTGATTTTAATCAAGCCATAGAGTACCAAAAACAACATCTTTGTGTTGCTAAAGAACTGGGAGACAGGGCAGGCGAGGGAAGTGCCTACAACAATCTTGGCATAACTTATCACGAGATGGGTGATTTTAATCAAGCCATAGAGTACCACAAACAACATCTTAGTATTGCTAAACAACTGGGAGACAGGGCAGGCGAGGGAAGTGCCTACAACAAACTTGGCTGCGCTTATCAGAAGCTGGGTGATTTCAGTCAAGCCATAGAGTACCTCAGGCAACATCTTAATATTGCTAAAGAACTGGGAGACAGGGCAGGCGAGAGAGGTACCTACCACTATCTTGGCTCGGCTTATAATGAGCTGGGTGATTTCAATAAGGCCATTAAGTACCACAAACACCATCTCAGTATTGCTAAAGAACTGGGAGACAGGGCAGACGAGGGAAGTGCCTACAACAATCTTGGCTTCGCTTATCAGAAGCTGGGTGATTTCAGTGAAGCCATAGAGTACCACAAACACCATCTTAGTATTGCTAAGGAACTAAAAGATAGGGCAGTCGAGTACTGTGCCTCCCATAATCTTGGCTCGGCTTATGACGAGCTGGGTGATTTCAATCAAGCCATAAAGTACCACAAACAACATCTAAGTATTGCTAAACAACTGGGAGACAGGGCAGGCGAGGGAAGTGCCTACAACAAACTTGGCTGCGCTTATCAGAAGCTGGGTGATTTCAGTCAAGCCATAGAGTACCTCAGGCAACATCTTAGTATTGCTAAAGAACTGGGAGACAAAGCAGGCGAGGGAAGTGTCTGCCACAATCTTGGCACCGTTTATAAGAAGCTGGGTGACTTCAATCAAGCCATAGAGTACCACAAACAACATCTTAGTATTGCTAAAGAACTGGGAAACAAGGTATGCGAGGGAAGTGCCTACAACAGTCTTGGCTTCGCTTATCAGAAGCTGGGTGATTTCATTCAAGCCATAGAGTACCTCAGGCAACATCTTAGTATTGCTAAAGAGCTGGGAGACAGGGAAGGCGAGGGAAGTGCTTACAACGATCTTGGCTTCGCTTATCGCAAGATGGGTGATTTTAATCAAGCCATAGAGTACCAAAAACAACATCTTAGTATTGCTAAAGAACTGGGAGACAGGGCAGGCGAGGGAAGTGCCTACAACTATCTTGGCTTCGCTTATCACGAGATGGGTGATTTTAATCAAGCCATAGAGTACCACAAACAACATCTTAGTATTGCTAAAGAACTGGGAGACAGGGCAGGCGAGGGAAGTGCCTTCAACAATCTTGGCTTCGCTTATCACGAGATGGGTGATTTTAATCAAGCCATAGAGTACCACAAACAACATCTTAGTATTGCTAAAGAACTGGGAAACAGGGCAGGCGAGGGAAGTGCCTACAACAAACTTGGCTGCGCTTATCAGAAGCTGGGTGATTTCAGTCAAGCCATAGAGTACCTCAGGCAACATCTTAGTATTGCTAAAGAACTGGGAGACAGGGCAGGTGAGGGAAGTGTCTGCCACAATCTTGGCACCGTTTATCAGAAACTGGGTGACTTCAATCAAGCCATAGAGTACCACAAACAACATCTTAGTATTGCTAAAGAACTGGGAGACAGGGAAGGCGAGGGAAGTGCCTACAACGATCTTGGCTTCGCTTATCGCAAGATGGGTGATTTTAATCAAGCCATAGAGTACCAAAAACAACATCTTAGTATTGCTAAAGAACTGGGAGACAGGGCAGGCGAGGGAAGTGCCTACAATAATCTTGGCTTCGCTTATCACGAGATGGGTGATTTTAATCAAGCCATAGAGTACCACAAACAACATCTTAGTATTGCTAAAGAACTGGGAGACAGGGCAGGCGAGGGAAGTGCCTACAACAATCTTGGCTTCGCTTATCACGAGATGGATGATTTTTATCAAGGCATAGAGTACCACAAACAACATCTTAGTATTGCTAAAGAACTGGGAAACAGGGCAGGCGAGGGAAGTGCCTACAACAAACTATGCTGCGCTTATCAGAAGCTGGGTGATTTCAGTCAAGCCATAGAGTACCTCAGACAACATCTTAGTATTGCTAAAGAACTGGGAGACAGGGCAGGTGAGGGAAGTGTCTGCCACAATCTTGGCACCGTTTATAAGAAGCTGGGTGACTTCAATCAAGCCATAGAGTACCACAAACAACATCTTAGTATTGCTAAAGAGCTGGGAGACAGGGAAGGCGAGGGAAGTGCCTACAACGATCTTGGCTTCGCTTATCGCAAGATAGGTGATTTTAATCCAGCCATAGAGTACCAAAAACAACATCTTAGTATTGCTAAAGAACTGGGAGACCGGGAAGGCGAGGGAAGTGCCTACAACAATCTTGGCTTCGCTTATCACGAGATGGGTGATTTTAATCAAGCCATAGAGTACCACAAACACCATATTAGTATTGCTAAAGAACTGGGAGACAGGGCAGGCGAGGGAAGTGCCTACAACAATCTTGGCTTCGCTTATCAGAAGCTGAGTGATTTCAGTCAAGCCATAGAGTACCACAAACACCATGTCAGTATTGCTAAGGAACTGGGAGATAGGGCAGTCGAGTACCGTGCCTCCCATAATCTTGGCTCGGCTTATGACGCGCTTGGTGATTTCAATCAAGCCATAGAGTACCACAAACAACATCTTAGTATTGCTAAACAACTGGGGGACAAAGAAGGCGAGAGACGTGCCTACCGCCATCTTGTCTCGACTAGTTACGAGTTGGGTGACCTCAATCAAGCCATAGAGTATCTCGGGCAACATCTTAACATTGCTAAACAACTGGGAGACAGGGCAGGTGAGGGAATTGACTGTGATAATCTTGGCTCAGCTTATCAACAGCTGGGTGACTTCAATCAAGCCATAGAGTACCACAAACAACATCTTAGTATTGCTAAACAACTGGGGGACAAAGCAGGTGAAAGACGTGCCTACAACCATCTTGTCTCGACTAGTTACGAGTTGGGTGACCTCAATCAAGCCATAGAGTATCTCAGGCAACATCTTAACATTGCTAAACAACTGTGAGACTGGGCAGGCGAGGGAAGTGCCTGCAACAATCTTGGCTCAGCTTATCACAAGATGGGTGATTTCAATCAAGCCATAGAGTACCACAAACAACATCTCAGTATTGTTAAGGAACTGGGAGACAGGGCAGGCGAGGGAAGTGCCTACAACAATCTTGGCTTTGCTACTTATGAGCTGGGTGACCTCAATCAAGCCATAGAGTACCTCAGGCAACATCTTAATATTGCTAAAGAACTGGGAGACAGGGCAGGCGAGTACCATGCCTACCACAATCTTGGCTCAGCTTATCACCAGATGGGTGATTTCAATCAAGCCATAGAGTACCACAAACAACATCTTAGTATTGCCAAAGAACTGGGAGACAGGGCAGGCGAGGGAAGTGCCTACCGCAATCTTGTCTCCGCTTATCAAGAGATGGGTGGTTTCAATCAAGCCCTAGAGTACCTCAGGAAAGGTCTTAATATTGTTAGAGAGCTGGGATATAAGGTACGCGAGGGAGTGGTCTGTAACAATCTTAGCTTGGCTTATCATAAGCTGGGTGATTTCAATCGAGCCATAGAGTGCCTCAGGCAACATCTTAGTATTGTTAAAGAACCGGAAGACAGGACAGAGGAGGAGTGTGCCCTTTGCCTGCTTGCTGAGGCTTATCACGACTTGGGTGATTTTAATCATGCCATAGAGAACGCCAGCAAATGTCTAAGTATTGCTAGAAAACCGCTAGTAAGGTCAAAGGCTTTAAAAGTTTTTGGTAAAAGTTATATGTCAATTGGTAAATTGTTTCAAGCCATGCAGTTTTTCGAGAAATTCCTTCATATCGCTAAACACATAGGCGACAGGAAAAACGAGGCTAAAGCCTATGTCCTTATTGGAACTGTTAATGCTCGACGGGATGATTTTAACCAGGCAACAGAGTATCTTGAAAAAGCGCTTACCATGGCCAAAGAACTGAGAGACCAGGAAATCGAGGCAATGGTCTACGCCAGTTTTGTGGAAGTTCTTCGTAAACAGGGTGACTTTGAACGAGCCATCGAGTACAACAAGAAATGTCTTAATATGGTTCAGAAATTGGGGCAAGGAATAATCATGGGAAATTGTTTAGCCAATTTAGGTCGTACTTATGAAAGCTCTGGAGACTTACATCAAGCGGTTGATTATTATCAACGCAGTACTAAACTTTTCAATGAATTTAGAGTTCTGCAAGCTGACGATACGTTGAAAGTAATTTTCCGCAATGCACGTCAAGACATTTATCAGTCACTCTGCAGAACTTTGCTCAAGCTGTCAAAATTCGACGAGGCATTGTGTGCTGCGGACCAAGGACGAGCCGAGGCCTTGTTGGATCTCATCAAACTACGATATGGATCCCAACTGGCAGTTTCTGGATCAGTTCAGGCTAAACCAGGCATCTCCGAAGTAGTCACTAATATCTCTGCTACGACGCTTTTTGTTGCACTACAAGGAAACGCAGTTAACCTGTGGGTAATCGGGAAAAACAGGAATGTACAGTTTACAAAGAAAGAAGTGAAATATCTCCTTGGAGATGCGACTGACTATTTGAATTGCTTAAGGAAGAAGGCTTACCAGGAAATTCGAGGAGGATTCAGGGTAATCTGCGAAAACCGCACATTAGACGGGTCAAGTACCGAACAAGAATTGCCACCCGCCGAGGAAAGAGGTGAGGAAACAGGAAACCCATTACAGTCTGACGAGAATCCTCTGCGTCTCTTCTATGAGTGCATCATAAGTCCTATTTCAAATTTGATCGAAGATGGCGAGTTGGTTGTCGTTCCTGATGGTCCACTGTGCCTCGCCCCTTTTGCTGCATTTTTGGATTCCGAATCAAAGTACCTCAGTGAGTCCATGAGGATACGTATTCTTCCGTCATTGATGTGTATGAAACTGATCAACGCTTCTCCGAAAGAATATCACAACAAGAGTGGGGCGTTGCTCGTAGGAGATCCATGTCTAAAAGACTTTACCACCTTGCTCGGAGAGAATAGATATCGGCCCTTGTCCTGCGCCAAAAAGGAAGTGGAGATGATCGGAGCGATGCTTGGTATCCACCCACTCACTGGAAAAGAGGCAACCAAGGCTGAGGTGCTTAAGAGAATCAATTCGGTTGCTTTGGTACATATTGCTGCGCACGGAAAAATCGAGACTGGGGAAATTGCATTGGCTCCAAATCCAGAAAGAAAATACGTCAGACCAGAAGAACAAGATTTCAGGCTAACAATTTCCGATGTGCAAGCAGCGAAGTTACGTGCAAAGCTTGTTGTGTTAAGTTGTTGTCACAGTGCTCAAGGCAAGGTGTCAAGTGAAGGTGTGGTCGGCATTGCACGGGCTTTCATTGGTGCTGGTGCTCGTTCTGTTCTGGTCGCACTCTGGTCAATTGATGACGAGGCTACCATGGAGTTTATGAGAAGCTTTTACCAACATCTGAAGGATGGAAACAGCGCCAGCGTGTCGCTCAACCGGGCGATGAAATGTCTGCGAGAATCAGAAGACTTTAATGCCCCGCGGTTCTGGGCTCCGTTTGTACTCATTGGTGATGACGTCACAATCGATTTTAAAGAAATCAACAATGAATCGTGAGTAGCAATTTATAAATAGGACTTCAATCATTCCACCTTCATGTGAAATACTTTTACTAAACTGAGTAAGAAGGTCGACTAAAACCCTCTCTAAAGGGTGGTGGTTACGAGACAGTTTTGCTCTTAGAAGTTGGTGTAGAAGACACAGTTGACGTAAGACATTATAATTAGAGTACGCACACAAAAGAACGAAAAAAAAAAGACAATGAAAATAATAGGTTAATGAGGCGGTGTTTTATTGGCGGCGTCGTCCTCTCTCCTCTACACTGAGAAGGAGCCGGCATTTCAAAGTAAGCTAAATTTAGTAACTCGAGTTATCAGATGTATTTTACTCGTGCATTCTCAGCGTATAAAAAAAGCTTCCAAGAGAAGAGAGCATGCATTTACTTCATACGCGGTTCCAAGTGACTTGTTCGGCTCAATGACAGTAATTTCTCTTTAATTTCAGATCACAAGAAGAACAAGTATCACCAACAGAAGTAAAGGATCAAGAAGAACTGGAACAGGCGCCATAAAATGAACACTCTAACTTCCAAGCCCTCGAGACTGGTAGAGTAACTCCACGCAACGAGGACATTGAGAAAATGCTTTATAATCTGTGAACTTTACTCGTGGGTAACTTAACTGAGTCAATTCCGTAAGGATGTCTTAATGAATTGAAACTAAGGCCTGATTTAATTGTAGTGCTTCGCTTTTGTTTAAGCTGAGAATAAGGCATATTATCAACAGGAAAATTTCTGAGTTTTTATCAATATAATTTGTGATACTTTTTAATTTTTCTTATGGAAATTATCCCATGTTACAAACTCGCGATCTGCACCAATTGTTAAGTACCTCGGACTGAACAAGATAGCTGTGGCCCGCGAAGATTATGGTTTACTTCTTGACGATTTTTCTGCGTATGTCTCTACTTTAACCTCAGGTGTTAAACACATGTACACATTTAAAAGTTTCAATCTAAGGAAACTACTGAGTAAGGCAAAACAAAACTAGGTATCATCGATAATAAGCTGAAATGAAAGCGAGAGTTTCTGCAAGTTTGCAGACTTTTTAAAAAATTTTTAACCTTTTTCTTTTGATTCTTTCCTTCGTGGGAAAGGTATGATTGGTTGCACAGCAACATTTTTCACAACAAAGTTTTGCAAATACACATATTTTGCAGTTGTCAGTTTCCTCTTTAAAAAGATTTCGGTTATCTAAGCAAGGACATGTGTAGTTTTAAGTGACTGCCGTAAAAAAGCCAAACAAAGTTTTAGTCAAAAGGAAACAGTCCGAGTCAATAGGAAAAACTAGTGTGGTGAATTTATTTGTTTTCTACTCATATCTTAAGCCTGGCAGATTGAGATGAAGTACTTTTTTTATCACTTATATTTAAAAACCATTATATATTAATAAATAGATGATGATAACAATCACATGATAAATTTGTCCGCAATAATTTATCTTTCAGAGACTTGCTGAGCAGGAGGCTGTCACTGTTGTAGTATAATTACTCTTTGTCTTTGATATTTAACCCTTTCCACCCTAACATCAGTATGTATATTCTCCATACTGATCTCCATACATTTCCTCAGGTAGCAACAAGTAGAATTTGTCTAAGAATCAAGTGAGCTTCTTAACTTGGTGATCATTTCCTTTTATTCTAGTGACCTAACTTTTTGATTCAGGGGTGATATTGTGAGGAGAAACTGGATGCTGGTCACTCTTAGGACTCAAAGATGTTAACTGAACACCTGAAACAGGCTCTATGAGGATTATTTTTATTTTGGTTTGCATGACTCAAGCCTGAAATTCTGATCAACACATGATTTTTAAGACATGAATATTTCAAAAATTAACATTTTCTTCAAAGTGAGTGTCAACAAAATCTGAGTTTCATTTCTTTTAGAGGTATATATGGCCTTTGCCTTTACCCTCCCCCTGACATCCTCTGTGTCCATTTTAACCCAGTGATTCCCTGACTGCAGTGATTATGATGGTGACCATATTCTACCATGACAATCAGGTGTGTTGTATTTGACATCCCACATCCAAGGGGATTCTGTTTTGACAAAACACAAACATGACATGAAATACCAGACTTTCATAGATGAACCACTGATTTTAAGTACCTGACTCTATGCATGTGCCCAGGGATCACCTGGTTTTCAGGGGGAAAGGAGAGGAGATCTGCCGTCACCAACAGAGTATAAAGGCTTGACCATAAAAAACTGACTGCCAATTAAGCCTTTAACACCCAGATCAAATTTGTAATTCTCCTTACTGTCAACCATACAGTTCTTATCATGTTAGTTCAGAGAATTTAGTATTGAATCAACTAATTATCCCCAAATTGATATATTTCTTTATTCTCACCACTTGTCTGCTTGATATTGTATTGATACTGTAAGGAGAAATTCTGTTTTGGTCACTCATGGGAGTTAAAGGGTGGAGGGGGATCATAAGAATATTACAGAGTCTTGTTGGGGATCAGGTAAATTTTATTGTGACACAAGAAAAATCCTCAAACCCCCTGCCCCCCCCCCCCCCCCCGGCCCCCCTAAGTCCCACAACCATAATTCACAATGAGAAAATTGCTACAAATTATTCACACTCAAAAAATAACAAGGAAGAACTTTTATTTTCAAACAAATTTGGAAATTCATGATGTGAACTGAAAAGAGGATACCTTTATGCTAAATTGCCTGAACACGTACAAGCAAGGAATCTTACCATCTTTGGTGTATGGCAAAGGTGGGACATCAAATGGAAGCTGTACACTATAACTTGACCACTTTTCATTACTTTCCTGTTTTCCTTTCACATGAAAGTATTTGCTTTCAGGATCCTGTTGATAAAATGACAGTTCACTATTGAGTCATAGATGGAATCTGGATCAAAAAGGGTACAGTCACAGGAAAGAATTTTCTTTCATTTGTCCAACTGAAACGCTGGAGATATAACTAAACAAAATACCTGGTCTTTGGGTAGAAACAAAACTCCAATCTCATACGAGCGAATCATAAGTTGTTGACCATTTTTTTCCAAAGTTCCCCAGGCTGCTTTAGACAAATTTGCACTGAAAATAATTAAATGTAAATGAAGAAGAGAAAAAATGCAAAAACTTTGCATAAATTTCAAGACAACATCTATCCTTTTTAAGACTCCAACCATCTTTCATTTTCAAAACATTGCCTTTTCAAAATAACTGGCTTGACATTCTGTTTTGGCCAATCAGAAATAGTCCACAGATAGACAGGGGAAATCCAAAGTTTGCTCTTGTTCTAGCCAAATTAGATAGACTATAAACACCATGAGGGTAAACCCAAGGGGTTTCGAAAGGAGAAAAGACAATTTTTGGATTCTTTTAATCATATCAGTAATGCCCTTAGACGACAGCGAAGGCAAACCTGAAAAGATTCTGCTGTTATACTGAAATAATCTTTGAACAAACTTTAAACAGCCCCAAAGATAAAGATGTGTGGAAGTTCCACCTTCTAAATTTTCTAGAGCAGCATAACTAAATAAAGATAAATTGCAGAGAGGACTCAGTTTTTTACACCTTGTCACAAGAAACCAGCTCATTCGGCTCCAATCTGGGGATACCCTGGTGTATGTTTTAATGTGAGGAGAGGCACGACTTCTACCACAGGAATGAGACTTCCAAGAGCTGAAAAAACCAAAAGCAAGAAAAGCAAAAATCCATCAGATCTGTCAAGAATGTAAGAAGAGCTAAGCAAACACAACAGAGTTAGCTACTTGGGTAAAGCAGAGATTTCCTGGATGTAACATTTTAATAGATCTAAGGCTTTTGATTATTAGCCTACACCCCAGTATGGTCCAATTGAAAAAAGAAACAGAGAAAAATAGCCATTTTGTCAAGCAGATTGAGGGGAGTGACTGATGTGCTCTACTCCAAATTGAAAGGACTAGAAACATTCCCTGCCTGGGTTTCCTGACAGAACAATTGAAATTAATCTCCCCACACAGTGGTGGACACTGATAAAAAGCCACCTGCTAGATGAAAGACTCCATAATTAAAGTTTTGAAGATTTTTCTCAAATTCAGGGAGGGTATGGGTGGTGAAGGGTAAAATTGCAATGCCACACTAGTGGATTTCATGCCATGTGAACTGGGACGAAGCTAAGGTTGACGAAAACCCATCTAATCTGAAAACAAACTAAGGGTGACTTACCAAAAGAAACTCGGAAGATAAGGCTGCTTCAAAGCTGTCTTGGAACTGTATGGTATTGAGCCACCAGCTACAGAGAAAGAAAACTATCAGAGATCACACATTTATACTTAGAAATGAAACTTGAACCACTAAGAGTATGCTGTGTTTAGAAGAAGAAAATATATATAGAAAGAAATACATAACTCAAACACTGTGGATACTTTTGGTGCTTCTACAAACTGCAGTAATTACTTTAAATTTACTCACATGTGCATCCCTAGATTTTTGGTGATTAAGATAATAATGATGATAAAAAAATAATAATAATTAAACTAACAATAATAATACTGATAATAATAGATCCAGTGTGTTCCAATTGAAGTTGAAGGGATTGATTCCAGGCCATCAGTTTACAAGTCCAGCACTCTAACCACTTAGCCACTCTCCCTCAACAGATACACTCAATTTAGGTTATATCTTATACCTGGGTAACCTTCCAAACTGCACCTCACATTGTCCACTGTTGGAAAAACCTGCCAATAAAACATGATGAATCAAGAAGAAACAAATTTCCACAATATTCTGATCCAGAACAAAAAACTTGCATACTTGCAAATTAAATCAGTGTTCAGTTTCCAACCATAATGGAGATTGAGAAACATACTAACCAGATGCAGAGGGGGACTGGACATCATGTTACCAGAACATGTGGACAAGCTTTGTAACCATTCAGAACACAGCCAACGGTCCTTGTCATTCCCAAGAGAACCTATGCTGGAAAACTGACCAATCACAGGCCACTTGGAGCTGATGTCATCAGAGCTAGGTCCATGCTGGTGAAGAACCTAAGTTTCAAAGACAATTATCTTATTCTTTAGGTATTGCTACAGTAGATGAATTCAAAATTTGTTCAATTCCATTGGGTGAAACTTTAATGCTCTTTTAGACAGGCACCTAACTTTGCTAAAGGGTGATATTTGCTAACAACTCAAACAAATTCCAAATTTTAGACTTCTTAATTCATACCAATAATTCATGATCACCTTACGAAGTTTAAGATGGCCCCATTTGGTTTTATTGACTCCAGTGTGTCTCCCAGGAACAGAGGCTATTAGGCGAACCCTAAAATTAATCAAAAGTCTCCCCTATATTAATACCAACAGAGTGCATTTCAATTGAATGTCTCAACCACAACTAAAGAAATCAAAACAACAAATTAGGATCGACGGAAGAAAATATCATAAGTAGGCAATGACAACTCAATAACTTCCTGAAAAACAAATGATCAAATAAGAAAAAAATATTTAATGAACAATATACCTTAAAGGTACACTAAAAAAGGTACACTATACTTTATTTCATGCAAATCATTTTGCCATCTCCACCCGCAAATAGCAAAAGCTAGACGAGGCAGGCGGAGAGGAAAGGTAAGGTTACAGCAGTCATAACAGATAATATAATAATTGTAAAGTAACTAAATAAACTATCTGGATAAACAAGCTAAAGTTACAAAATATATAGTCTTACAGAATGATATTACAATCAAATTTACTACTAACAGAACTATCAATTATATACATTGAGTCGAGGATGCAGAATTTGCCATTTTTTGTAGGAGAATGGGCACTTCAACATAATACCCATACCTTGCAGATGACATATCATGTTCCTGAATATGTTTCTTCCATTCATCTAGTGCACTACCCCCATATGCTGCCAAATATTCCTGTAATGGTTTTTTTAGACTAATTAAGATGAAGCTTTGCTGTTGGACATCACATCATTGGGGATGCAATGAATTTAAAGAACCTCAAGGTACTTTCCTTGTACAGTGCATCTCTTTAGTAGAGGGTTGCAAAGAGATCAAGCTCAAAATTAACATGTGACTGTACACATGAATTTTACTGAAGGCAAGGTAAGGGAAGACGTGATGTTATTCCTTTCAAATTTGTTTAGAGTAAATGTGAAACAGGATCAGGACCTCCCCCCCTGCAATCCCCCCACTGGCCTTCCTTCTTCAGTTACTGGGTGTTTAAAATTTGGAAAGCTATCTGGCTTAGTTTTCAGAAGGAAGGGAAGTGCCAACAAAAATCTTGGCTCAGCTTATCACAAGATAGGTGAATTCAATCAAGCTATAGAGTACCTCAAACAACATCTTTGTATTGCTAAGGAACTGGGATACAGGGCAGGCGAGGGAAGTGCCTACAACAATCTTGGCTTCGCTTATCAGAAGCTGGGAGATTTCAGTCAAGCCATAAAATGCCACAAACAACATCTCAGTATTGCTAAAGAACTGAAAGACAAGGCAGAAGAGTACCGTGCCTACCACAATCTTGGCTCGGCTTATGACGAGCTGGGTGATTTCAACCAGGCCATAGAGTACCACAAACAACATCTTAGTATTGCTAGAGAACTGGGAGACAAAGCAGGCGAGGGACGGGCCTATAAACATCTTGTCTCAGCTAGTTATGAGCTGGGTGACTTCAATCAAGCCATAGAGTACCTCAGGCAACATCTTAGTATTGCTAAGGAACTGGGAGACAGGGCAGACGAGGGACGTATTTACAACACGATTGGCTTAGCTTATCACCAGCTGGAGGATTTTAATCAAGCCATAGAGTACCACAAACAACATCTTAGTATTGCTAAAGACCTTGGAGACAGGGCAGGCGAGGGAAGTGCCAACAAAAATCTTGGCTCAGCTTATCACAAGATAGGTGAATTCAATCAAGCTATAGAGTACCTCAAACAACATCTTTGTATTTCTAAGGAACTGGGATACAGGGCAGGCGAGGGAAGTGCCTACAACAATCTTGGCTTCGCTTATCAGAAGCTGGGAGATTCCAGTCAAGCCATAAAATGCCACAAACAACATCTCAGTATTGCTAAAGAACTGAAAGACAAGGCAGAAGAGTACCGTGCCTACCACAATCTTGGCTCGGCTTATGACGAGCTGGGTGATTTCAACAAGGCCATAGAGTACCACAAACAACATCTTAGTATTGCTAGAGAACTGGGAGACAAAGCAGGCGAGGGACGTGCCTATAAACATCTTGTCTCAGCTAGTTATGAGCTGGGTGACTTCAATCAAGCCATAGAGTACCTCAGGAAAGATCTTAATATTGCTAGAGAGCGGGGAGATAAGGCATGCGAGGGAGTGGTCTATAACAATCTTAGCTTGGCTTATCAGAAGCTGGGTGATTTCAATCGAGCCATAGAGTTCCTCAAGCAACATTTTAGTATTGCTAAAGAAGCGGAAGACAGGACAGAGGAGGAGTGTGCCTTTTGCCTGCTTGGTGAGGCTTATCACGACTTGGGTGATTTTAATCATGCCATAGAGAACGCCAAAAAATGTCTAAGTGTTGCTAGAAAACCGCTAGTAAGGTCAAAGGCTTCAAAAGTTGTTGGTAAAAGTTATATGTCAATGGGTAAATTGCCTCGAGCCATGCAGTCTTTCGAGGATTACCTTGATATCGCTAAACGCATAGGGGACAGGAAAAACGAGGCTGAAGCCTATTTCCTTATCGGAACTGTTAATGCTCGAGGGGGGTTTTTTAATGAGGCAACAGAGTATCTTGAGAAAGCGCTTACCATGGCCAAAGAACTGAGAGACCAGGAAATCGAGGCAATGGTCTACGCCAGTTTTGGGGAAGTTCTTCGTAAACAGGGTGACTTTGAACGAGCCATCGAGTACAACAAGAAATGTCTTAATATGGTTCAGAAATCGGGGCAGAGAATAATCGTGGGAAATTATTTAGCCAATTTAGGTCGTACTTATGAAAGCTCTGGAGACTTGCATCAAGCGGTTAATTATTTTCAACGCAGTACTAAACTTTTCAATGAGTTGAGAGTTCTGCAAGTTGACGATGCGTTGAAAGTAATCTTCCGCAATGCACGTCAAGACATTTATCAGTCACTCTGCAGAACTTTGCTTAAGCTGTCAAAATTCGACGAGGCATTGTGTGCTGCAGACCAAGGACGAGCCGAGGCCTTGTTGGATCTCATCAAACTACGATATGGATCCCAACTGGCAGTTTCTGAATCAGTTCAGGCTAAACCAGAGATCTCCGAAATGGTCACTAATATCTCTGGTCCGACGCTTTTTGTTGCACTACAAGGAAACGCAGTTAACCTGTGGGTGATCGGGAAAAACAGGAATGTACAGTTTACAAAGAAAGAAGTGAAATATCTCCTTGGAGATGCGACCGACTATTTGAATTGCTTAAGGGAGAAGGCGTACAAGGAAATTCGAGGAAGATTCAGGGTAATCTGCGAAAACCGCACACTAGACGGGTCAAGTACCGAACAAGAATTGCCACCCGCCGAGGAAAGAGGTGAAGAAACAGGAAACCCATTACAGTCTGACGAGAATCCTCTGCGTCTCTTTCATGAGTGCATCATAAGTCCTATTTCAGATTTGATCGAAGATGGCGAGTTGGTTGTCGTTCCTGATGGTCCACTGTGCCTCGCCCCTTTTGCTGCATTTTTGGATTCCGCATCAAAGTACCTCAGTGAGTCCATGAGGATACGCATTCTTCCGTCATTGATGTGTATGAAACTGATCAACGCTTCTCCCAAAGAATATCACAACAAGAGTGGGGCGTTGCTCGTAGGAGATCCATGTCTAAAAGACTTTACCACCTTGCTCGGAGAGAATAGATATCCGCCCTTGCCCTGCGCCAAAAAGGAAGTGGAGATGATCGGAGCGATGCTTGGTATCCACCCACTCACAGGAAAAGAGGCAACCAAGGCTGAGGTGCTTAAGAGAATCGGTTCGGTTGCTTTGGTGCACATTGCTGCGCACGGAAAAATCGAGACTGGGGAAATTGCTTTGGCTCCAAATCCAGAACGAAAATACGTCAGACCAGAAGAACAAGATTTCAGGCTAACAATTTCCGATGTGCAAGCTGCGAAGTTACGTGCAAAGCTTGTTGTGTTAAGTTGTTGTCACAGTGCCCAAGGCAAGGTGTCAAGTGAGGGTGTGGTCGGCATTGCACGGGCTTTCCTTGGTGCTGGTGCTCGTTCGGTTCTGGTCGCACTCTGGTCAATTGATGACGAGGCTACCATGGAGTTTATGAGAAGCTTTTACCAACATCTGAAGGATGGAAACAGCGCCAGCGTGTCACTCAACCGGGCGATGAAATGTCTGCGAGAATCAGAAGACTTTTAGTGCCCCGCGGTTCTGGGCTCCGTTTGTACTCATTGGTGATGACGTCACAATCGATTTTAAAGAAATCAACAATGAATCGTGAGTAGAAATTTCTAAATAGGACTTCAATAATTCCACCTTTATGTGAAATACTTCTACTAAACTGAGCAAGAAGGTCGACTATAACCCTTTCAAAGAATGGTGGTCACGAGACATTTTGGCTCTAACAAGTTGGTGTAGAAGACACCGTTGACGTAAAACATTACAGTACACACATAAAAGAACGAAAAAAAAGAAACAATGAAAACAACAGATTAATGATACGGTGTTTTATTGGCGACGTCGTCCTCTCTACTCTACTGGGGAGGAGCACACATTTAAAAGTAAATTAAATTTCGTTAATCGAGTTATCAGATGTGCTCTGCTCGTGCATTCTCAGCGTAAAAGAAAAAAAGCTTAAAGACAAACGAGGGAGCTAGCATTAACTTCACACTTGGTTCCAAGTGATTTTTTCCGCTCAATGACAGTAATCTCCTTTTAATTTCAGATCACAAGAAGAACAAGTATCACTGGCGGAAGTTAAGGATCAAGAAAAACTGGAACAGGCGCCATAAAATGAACCTTTAACGTCCAAGCCACCGATGAAAACCAGTGGAGTAAGTTCTCGCAACGAGGACATTGTGAGAAGGCTTAATAATCTGTGCACTTTACTCGTGAGTAACTTAACTGGGTCAATTCCTTTAAGTCTAATTGAATTGAAAATAGGATCGCTTAATGAATTGAAACGAAGCCCTGATTTTTCCAGTTGCAAATTCAGTCTTCAGCTTCTAGAGCTTCGCTTTTGTTTAAGCAGAGAATAAGGCATATTTTTAATAAGAAAATCTCTATGAGTTTTGATCAATATAATTTGTGATACTTTTTAATTTTTCTAATGGAAATAGACCCATATTACAACCTCGCGATCCGCGATTACCTCGGCCCGCACAAGATACCCGTGACCCGCGAAGATTGTGGTTCACTTCTTAGCGAGTTTCCTGAGTATGTCTCTACTTTAACCTTAGGTATTAAACAAATTTACATATTTAAAAGTTTCAATCGAAGAAAACTACCGAGTAAGGCAAAAACAAAACTAGGCACCATCGATAATAAGCTGAAATGAAAGCAAGAGTTTCTGCAAGTTTGCAGACTTTTTAAAAAATTTTTAACCTTTTCCTTCTGATTCTTTCCCACGTGGGAAATTATGATGGTTGTTTACACAGCAACATTTTTTACAACAAAGTTTTGCGAATACACATATTCTACAGTTATCAGTTTCCCCTTTGAAAAGATTTCGGTTATCTAAGCAAGGACATGTGTAGTTTTAAGTGACTGCCGTAAAAAAGCCAAACAAAGTTTTAGTCAAAATGAAACAGTCCGAGTCAATAAGAAAAACTAGTATAATGGTACTTATTTGTTTTCTACTCATATCTTAAGCCTGGCAGATTGAGATGAAGTACTTTTTTATCACTCATATTTAAAAGCATTCTATACTAATAAATTGATAATAATAACAATCACATGATAAATTTGTCTGCAATAATTGATCTTTCAGAGACTTGCTGAGCAGGAGGCTGTCACTGTTGTAGTATAATTACTCTTTGTCTTTGATATTTAACCCTTTCCACCCTAACATCAGTATGTATATTCTCCATACTGATCTCCATACATTTCCTAAGGCAGCAACAAGGAGAATTTGTCTAAGAATCAAGTGAGCTTCTTAACTTGGTGATCATTTCCTTTTATTCTAGTGACCTAACTTTTTGATTCAGGGGTGGTATTGTGAGGAGAAACTGGATGCTGGTCACTCTTAGGACTCAAAGATGTTAACTGAACACCTGAAACAGGCTCTGTGAGGATTATTTTTATTTTGGTTTGCATGACTCAACCCTGAAATTCTGATCAAAACATGATTTTTAAGACATGAGTATTCAAAAATTAACATTTTCTTCAAAGTGAGTGTCAACAAAATCTGAGTTTCATTTCTTTTAAAGGTATATATGGCCTTTGCCTTTGCCTTTGCCCTCCCCCTGACATCCTTTGTGTCCATTTTAACCCAGTGATTCCCTGACTGCAGTGGTTATGATGGTGACCATATTCTACCATGACCATCAGGTGTGTTGTATTTGACATCCCACATCCAAGGTGATTCTGTTTTGACAAAACACAAACATGACATGAAATACCAGACTTTCATAGATGAACCACTGATTTTAAGTACCTGACTGCATGTGCCCAGGGATCACCTGGTTTTCAGGGGGAAAGGAGAGGAGATCTGCCGTCACCAACAGAGTATAAAGGCTTGACCATAAAAAAACTGACTGCCAATCAACCCTTTAACACCCAGATCAAATTTGTAATTCTCCTTACTGTCAACCATACAGTTCTTATCATGTTAGTTCAGAGAATTTAGTATTGAATCGACTAATTATCCCCAAATTGATATATTTCTTTATTCTCACCACTTGTCTGCTTGATATCGTATTGATTCTGTAAGGAGAAATTCTGTTTTGGTCACTCATGGGAGTTAAAGGGTGGAGGGGGATCATAAGAATATTACAGAGTCTTGTTGGGGATCAGGTAAATTTTATTGTGACACAAGAAAAAATCCTCGAACCCCCCTGCCCCCCCTGACCCCCCCTGCTCCCCTGACCCCCCCTGCCCCCCTAAGTCTGCCAAGGATAAATAATGACCAGTCCCACAACCATAATTCACAATGAGAAAGTTGCTATGAATTATTCACACTCAAAAAATAACATGGAAGAACCTTTACTTTGAAACAAATTTGGAAATTCATGATGCATACTGAAAAGAGGATACCTTAATACTAAAGTGCCTGAACACAAGCAAGGAATCTTACCATCTTTGGTGTATGGCAAAGGTGGGACATCAAATGAAAGCTGTACACTGTAACTCGACCATTTTTCATTACTTCCCTGTTTTCCTTTCACATGAAAGTATTTGCTTTCAGGATCCTGTTGATAAAATGACAGTTCACTACTTAGTCATAGATGGAATCTGGATCAAAAAGGGTACAGTCACAGGAAAGAATTTTCTTTCTCCTGTCCAACTGAAATGCCAGGGATATAACTAAACAAAATACCTGGTCTTTGGGTAGAAACAAAACTCCAATCTCATATGAGCGAATCAAAAGTTGTTGACCATTTTTTTCCAAAGTCCCCCAGGCTGCTTTAGACAAATTTGCACTGAAAATAATCAAATGTAAATGAGGAAGAGAAAAATTGTAAAAACTTTGCATAATGGTTAAGACAACATCAGCCATTTTTTAAGACTCCAACAACCTTTCATTTTCAAAACATTGTTTTTTCAAAATAACTGGCTTGACACTTTGATTTGGCCAATCAGATATAGCCCAAAGACAGACAGGGGAAATCCAAAGTTTCTGCTCATTCTAGCCAAATTAGAAAGACTACAAACACCACATGGGTATACCCAGGGGGATTCCAAAGGAAAGCAGACAATATTCAGACTCTTTGAATTATATCAGACAACAGTGACAAACCTGAAAAGATTCTGACTGTTATACTGAAATAATTTTTTGAATAAACTTTAAACAGCCCCAAACATAATGAAGCGTGGAAGTTCCAACTTCTAAAATTACTAGAGTAACATAACTAAATAAAGATAAATTACAGAGAGGACTCAGTTTTTGTCACCTTGTCACAAGAAACCAGCTCATCTGGCTCCAATCTGGGGATAGCTCGGCATATGTTTTAAAATGAGGAGAGACACGACTTTTACCACAGGAATGAGACTTCCAAGAGCTGAAAAAACTAAAGCAAAAAAGGCAAAAATCCATCATATTTTTCAAGAATGTGAGAAGAGCTATGCTAACAAAATAGAGTTAGCTACTTGGGTAAAGCTGAAATTTCTTGGATGTAACTTTTAAATAGATCTAAGGCTTTTAATTAAGCCTACACCCCAGTATGGTCCAATTCAAAAAGAAAAAAATTGAGAAGAATTGCCATTTTGTGATGCTTATTGAGACAAATGATGAATGTGCTTGACTCTAAATTGAAAGGATCAGCCGGAACATTCCCTGCCTGGGTTCCCTGACAAGACAAATTAATCTCCCAACACAGCAGTGAATGCTGATGCCATCCGCCAGATAAAAGACTCCATAAGTTCTGCTGATTTCTGTCAAATTCAGGAAGGATGTGGGTAGTGGAGGGTTAGCTATAATAATAATGATAATAACAAATCCAATGTGTTCCAACTGAAGTTGAAGGAATTGAACCCAGGCCATCAGTTTACAAGTCCAGCACTCTAACCACTTAGCCACTCTGCCTCAACAGATGCACTCAATTTAAGTTATATTATATACCTGGGTAACCATCCAAACTGTGCCAGACATTATCCACTGTTGGAAAAACCTGCGAATAAAACAAGATGATTCAAGATGAAAAAATTTCCATAATATACTGATCCAGAACAAAAACTTGTAAATCAGTGTTCAGTTTCCAACCATAATGGAGATTGAGAAACATACTAACCAGATGTAGAGGGGGACTGGACATCATGTTGCCAGAACATGTGGACAAGCTTTGTAACCATTCAGAACACAGCCAATGGTCCTTGTTGTTCCCAAGGGAACCTATGCTGGAAAACTGACCAACCACAGGTCACTTGGAGCTGATGTCATCAAAGCTAGGTCCATGCTGGTAAAGAACCTAAGTTTCAAAGAAGACAATTATCTTATTTTCAAGGTGTTGCTCTAGATGAATTAAAAATTTGTTCAATTTGATTGGGTGAAACTTTAATGCTCTTTTAGACAGGCACCTAACTTTGCTAGAGGGTGATGCATATTAACAATTCAAACATATTCCAAATTTTAGACTTCTTAATTTACACCAATAATTCATGATCACCTTACGAAGTTTAAGATGGTCCCATTTGGTTTTATTGACTCCAGTGTGTCTTCCAAGAACAGAGGTTATTAGGTGAACCCTAAAATTAATCAAAAGTCTCCTCTATGTTAATACCAACAGAGCACTTTTCAATTGAATGTCTCAACCACAACTAAAGAAATCAAAACAACAAATTATGTCAGAAGAAAATATCATAAGGAGGCAACAACAACTCAATAACCTCCTGATGGAATGGAAGAACAAATGATCAAATAAGAAAAAAATATTTAATAAACAATATACCTTGCATACCGTGAATTTTACTGAAGGCAAGGTAAGGGAAGACTTCATGTTACTCCTTTCAAATTTGTTTAGAGTAAATGTGAAACAGGATCAGGATTGTGTTTTCTGGTCCAGTCCATGGCAATGAGATTTGCTGTGCTGATCACAACTCTTAATCCTTTAACTCCCAAGATCTCATTAATAATTCTCCTTACTGTCTGCATGCCATATACTTCTTGTGATATTAGTTTTGAGAATTTGATGTTGGATCAACTAATAATCTGCTAATTAATGTTTTTCTTGTTTCTGATTACTTGTCTGCTTGATATTGTATTGATATTGTAAGGAGAAATTCTGTGTTGGTCACCCACGAGAGTTAAAGGGTTAAGCCCTCTTTGAACAACAGTAGCATCATTTGGTTGAAAAAAAAATTATAACTAAACTTTTCAAAAGCCTGAGAAAACAAATCCATTGTGATTGTAAGGAGAGAAGCTCTTAATTCATCATTAAGAATAAAGATCACTCACTAATAACAGTCATTGTTATTTTAACGATGATTTTCTTCATTTTATGAAAGTACAGCATGTTATCATCTTTTTGTTGTATCTCAGAACTGTTTTAGATACTCAAGTTTTGTAGCTACTGGTAAATCGGTTTCTCATAATTTGCAATTTTGTTTGTACATAGTAATAACAACATCTTCATTCTTGAATGTATCATCACAAGACTAACCTATGATGTGTTGATGTGTTCCAAATGCTTTTTCAGTCTGGCCTGTCAAAAAAAGACAAACCATTATTATTTTATCAAAACTATACTTCACCATTGAGTAATTTAACTGATTTCTTTTCAATTAAGTGACTGACTAACTGACGGATAAAAAGAAAACTGATAATACCGTATTTATTCGCCTATAAGCCGAGCGATTTTTCCAACAAATTAAACTGAGAACAGGTAAATTCTCGCCAAGGTAGGGGGTTCGGCTTATAGCCGAGTATTTTCGCCAAAAAAAATTTACAGGTGCTTAACAAGATTCGAAATTTGACAACATGAAAAACTGGCCAATCAGAAGCGGTCATTCCCACGGTTTGTGTAAACATTGCAACACGATCTGACAGATATCAGCTGATCGAAGCTTTTCATTGTTTTAAAGAAACGAAAGACTTACCTTGACTCCTCTGCTCTGAAAACCAGTCTAGTAGTGTTTGACGACGCACCATCGATTCACTGATTCCGTAATCTCTAGCGATCTAGAATGATCTATGTTTATTCATAACCTACTTTTTGGTTGCATGTTTCCCGAGAGGGAAGCTCCTTTTGTTTTCGGTTTATGTTAATTCATCTCAGTTAACGACACGCGTGGAGTACTTTGCAATTATTAGGTCTCGGCTTATAGCCGAATGTTTTGTGTTTATTTTTTATTTCAATGCAACAGCTGCTGACATGAAAAAGTTTAGGGTCTCGGCTTATAGCCGAGATCGGCTTATAGGCGAATAAATACGGTAGTACTGATAATCTTTGATATGATTAGAAGGAGGATTTATCTGCAGATTTATCTGCAGATTTATCTGCTGATTTATCTGCTGATTTATCAGCTAGATAAGGAAGTGTCACAGTCTAAATGCCTCTGTGCTGTCCTTTGGATTATTTCCCTTGAGAGGCCACCCCACCTCCACTTATGTCCAGAAATGTATGCAGTGACAAAAATGGCAAATTTGATGAAATTTCCTCAAATCAAGTGAATGTTCATGGTTTTGACAATTTTGACAAATTTGCACCATTCTGGTTACTGTATGCACTTCTGGACATATCTCGATACCAGTAACTGCACAAACATCAAACTTACAGGAGACAGTTTAACATTTGGATGTGGATGAAGTTGAGCCTTCACCTCTCTTTGATTCCCATGCACGATTAATAAAGGTTAGAAACAGTTTTCATACACAAGAACATATACATCAAAACACCAAAGCCCTTCCCCCTCAAAAATTACCTCTGTGGACCTCTATAGTATTCCCATATGAACTTTCATAACCAAGCAGAGTTTAAGATGGCAGATAAATTTTCATTCTACATGACCCAGCCAAAAAGCTTTAGATAATATTTAGTTCTATAACAATTCATCACCCGAAAAAAAAAAAATTGATTTTTAGCAATTTGACAGTTCAATGTGAAAACATAATTGATCTTGACCTTTTATCTGTAGGATCCTGCTCCATCAACCATGGAACATCAAACATATTAATGTACATAATTATATTTTCTTCATTCTCCTCACTTGCCAGCTTGATATTGTATCAATATTGTAAGGAGAAATTATGTCTTGGTCACTTATAAGAGTTAATATGTAGCTTATTATCTTTGTTGACAGTATCAACAGACTAGTATCCCAGAAGCAGATGTACCAATCATGTCAGCTTTATTTTTCAGGCTTCTTTTTCAGCTATTTCTTCAATTGTGGTTTACAAATGAAATCATTTTCTTACATGTATTGTCATTTGCAAGTCAAAATGTGATTTTTTTAAATTCACATAAGAAGAATCTCTTCAAAAAACTACTAAGAACTGTATGGAAACAACTTTGCCTGTGGCAGAATTTTGACCCCCATATTGCACAAAGTTAAAAAATCTACTGGAAGCATTTGTACATGTGAACAATGAATTAATGGAACTGCTATATCATAAAAAAAGACATTGACACTAAACAATAAAAAACTGGCCCATCTTTTTCATCTACCAAAATGGCAGATTATTGTTATTACTTTGAACAGGAAATGGTTTAAACCAGAAAGTAACATTTTATTATGTAGTCTTCAGATCATTTGCATGAAAGTACATGCAATCGTGAGAAGGACTGTTGTCAACACCAGAGACTAAATTTTCAACAACCTTAGCCAAAAACAATAACAGAGCTTCTCAGACAACGATTTTTGCTGAGGCTGTCAAAACATCCATCACAATCACAAACAACAGTCCTTCTTGGATCATCTCTCATCTATACAATCAGAATGCATGATGAAAGAGTGCTATTATGGACACCAAAATTAACAATAGTCCCACAGGTCTTTGATGTAAAGTAATAGTTAATTGTGTTTTGTTACCTCCTGTCCCATCATACTGTAGGATTTACTGGCTCCCATCTGACCAGAAGCAAAAATACAGGCATTGTAACCCTGAAACGCTGCCTGTATCACATCAGTACCCAAATCTTCACACATCTGAAGGAATAACAGAGAACGAAGTAAATGTCAAGCTTTTTGAAAATTTTTGTTACACTTAAAATTTCAAACTTCCAAAGCTTGCCAGTTTACAAAGACCCAAATCATCATAAAAACAGCACTTAAAAATAACAAGTTGATTGCTCCTCAATACTTACACTGGAAAGTTTATGAGTATATTTGTGCACATTTTTTTCTATATCAGCCATAATTTACCTGGCTTATTTCCACAGATTCAAAGTTTAGACCATGAATAACTATTCTAGCAACTATTCTATTTAAACAAATGTATTATCCATTATTATTCAAAAGTGTGGGGAAATATACTCTCACACTACAATCCCAAAATTCAATTCTATTGCTAGGTTAAGTACAAAGATATACTCAATCTCACAATAAACTCTCTTGATCTCGTTTTTCTTTTAACTTAATCATGTCTATGAACTGTGTCACGTAATCTAATTAATGCTGGTCATTTGAAAGAAGATTCTTACCAAGTTCAGTTGTACCAACGTGACTATCTTTTTCATTGGATTTATGTTTAACCCCACAAAACATTAATTTCATAATCAGATTTTACATCGACATTGTGTATTCCAGCTCACCGGATTTTTTTCTGGCGTTTAGCACACCGATATGCAAAACAAAGAAGTCTATTAAATTTAGATCAAAGTCTTCATTTCTAAAAATTTCGTCGCATTTTTCAACAAGTATTGCCAACAGCGACATACTTATTTCCCAACGGATACATTTAACGGATATTTAAACCCCAGACATCGATCACCGAGAATTTTTAACCAGCGTTCTGCTAGAACGGTCGAATCAAATGCTTCATTTTGGCTTACCTTTTATTAAGGGGGTTTCACTCTTACTGCTACCTTGACCGAAGCCATGTTCATTGTATTATTTCCTTTCCATTTCAAATATTTTGATCGTTATAAATCAAAGCCTGAAAAATACTGTGAACAATTTACTCCGAATCATAACTAACAACACAGTCTCAATCAGTCTCAATTTCTTCTCACGCGAGCCTGCGCACACTCGATTGACCACATTGATGTCATTCGATCCCAGATTACCTGACTGTCCTCCTTGGTAGAATGGTAACTAATCGATCAAGCACTTACCGTGAATGAGCCGCGAATTGACATGAACATTGATATGTTGTACTTTTTCATGTTTTTTCTTTTCTTCTTTTTTTCCCGTTGATCACATACCTGTGTGGATTTCGGTGACGCTGATAAATCTAGTTGCATTCTAAAAACTAAAGCAGTAACTGGCTTACAAATAACCGATGGTTATCTTTCAAACGAAAAAAAAATCAAAACATTGTAAATTAAAAATTTTAACCTTGTATCGTTGACAAAAGTTTTGAAATAAAAAGAGCCATTCAAAATCAGACATAAAGGTGAAATTTTCCACGTCCTGACTGATCATCATGTAAGTTCTCTTTACAGTTTCGATACATCGTTATTCAGACTACCAATGAGATTTTAAGGTTTAGAGGTAGGAAACTGTCCGCGTGCAAAAATAGCTAGTTGAAATATGCCTTGTTTTTCACTGACATAAAATTTTGATGAAACGTTAAATTCTGACAAACTTCTCTTCGGAGAAAACACCAGTTTAATCATTCCTACTGATCAAAGGAGTTAAATTAAAGTTAGAAAATGAAACTTGTCTCCTGTCAAAGTCTTTACATAACATCTCTGGTAAGACGTTTTATACCTCGTCACGATTATTTGCAAACAAACATCTACTCGATATCGACATTTGACTTCATCGGCTGATCTTGGTTTTGGCGTTTATTTTTTGGCTTGAGGTTAGTTGGCAATAATTTTTTTGTGTGTGTTTTACTTGTCATCAACAGTTTTTGACAAAATTATACTTTTTTCACAAATTAGGGAATAAATAAATGAAATGTGGAGGTAGCTTCATTCGTGCAACATGATAACATTTTGAGAAATCATTGTTCCTATACTAATTTTTTGTTTTCCACTTTATCTGTTTTCAGGTTATACAAAACAATCACAAAAACCCAATAAACTTGAAAGCGTCATCTTTGCGGAACAAGCGTCTCCTGAAAGTAAGTACTGATAATTTATCGTACCACACTCATCGACACGTCAATTACTGTTGTTGATGGAAACAACCATCCATGTAAGAAAGGAATCGGTTGCCATTTTCAATTTTAGTCTCAAAAAAAATATGAACAAAATCATATTCAATCTGAGGATAATGCTTGAAGAACTTATCACCGCTCTAAGCAAGATTGTGAGCCAAGAAAAGAATTGAAACCTGCGTGGAAACTCGCTTGGAAATTGCGCCTAGCGTAATCAGTATATATATCAAGCAGGCACGTGTTTAAACCCAGTCGAAGCTTGAATTTTTCAAGTCCGATGAGCAGTTCCAATATAACAAATATCACTTTTAGCAATTATCATTCGTGAGATTGAGGGCGCTTGCTGTTGTCATCAAACGTTACATCTCGAGAAGGAAAATTTCAGTTTCTCAGAATCATATGGCAAACGATCGAAGACCATATGTAAACAAATATAAACCGCTGTTTTTTTAACTCGTTGTGAGTAACCTTTATGTAATCGGCTTGGAGAAAAAATTACACATTCAGACTGACAATTTTCTTCCTTGCTCACCCCTGACAGATTGATCACTGCGAGAACTTTTGTGCGAATTCTTTGAATGCGTCCAGAGAACTTATTTCGATGTTTTGATAAACACGTTTCCTGAAAAATAAAGGCGACTTAAAACTGAATTAATGTAGCCCCCCGTCAATATTACGGTATTATTCATTCTCCAGCTATTTTCTAAACAATTAGACACTGATGACAGATGTAGAATAAGCGAAACGTTCAAATAATGCACGAGGCGTTGCCAAATGTAGCATGAAGAATTTAGAGTTAATTCTACGCCTAAAGAGTGTTTATATTTGTCGAAAAATCACGAACTATAAATCGTAAACTATTATGACAGTCAAAGTTAGTGTTTTGTATTGACTAAACAAGGATCCTGAGAGAGCAACGGAAGCGGTGGCAGTTTAAAAGCAAAAATATAATTGCTCAGTCTGCGGTCAAAGAAAAGGGAATACGAAATAAAGGTGAATTTTAGCCCAGATTACCGTTTACAGTTCTCAAACGTTTGAGAAAAGGTGGACAAGGGAAGGTTTTAACGTATCAAAATCATTGTGTTCAAGTGGCCTTTAACCGCGCCAGTCCATCAGATATTCCTTTATTTCGTAAATAGCTGTTAAATGGACAAACAATAATTTGCCAAGAAATAAGACCTCATGACTCAGTGAACTGGCGGTAAAAGACCAAATGAGACGGATCTGATTCAGTGGATCAATCGCTCAGGAATTAGTAGTTTGGTGGACCTTATGTGGCTGGTGGTTGGATAAAAGTTTTCTTCACAGCTGTGCTTGAGCTCGTCATGCAAGTAAGAAAATATGGTGTTGCGTGACGAACCCAGACGAAAGCCGTGAAGAAGACAAGCCGGATGTATTTTCGATCAGGATAATATTATACAAGAATAAAACGATCACAAGAGACATTGTTACATAGCTTCATAAGGAATTTTCATGGTGTCCTTCTGTGCACGATCATGCCTTCCTGTGGTCAGAGGCGAACATTTCCACCACAGCTACAGAAAAAACTCCTGGTTTTTTCGCTGCAAAAGGATACAAATTTAGAACAAAAGGTCAAAGTCAACTTAGTCCAGTGTTTAGACCGTAAGTTGGTGTGTATATTCTTGTTGTACAGGAACCGTAAAGGAGCCGTACGTCCGGTGAGATGTAAACTCCCAGCAATCATGGCGGAGGGTTCAAGCAAAGCTTTGGATGACGTCACATTACCCGCTGAAGAAAAAGAAGAAGAAGAAGAAATAGTAACTCTTGATTTTGATGACGAAACTTTGACAGGTGAGCTTAGTGCGGCTTTCTTTTCAAGATGAGTCTTCGTAATCATGTTTCCTGTGTTATAACCTGGGTACGTTCTGCTTGATTTGTTTTCTTTAGCGTTTTTTCCTTCCCTTTGAAGTTATTTCGGGTAAGATTTCTTTCTGTGATGCGGGCACTTTGTAATGAAAACTGTCTGAAGTGACGAGATTTGTTATTACGCAATATTTTCAACAGGAGGTTCTACCACTTCGTGTACCAGAGCCCTTTTGAAAGACAGTTTGTGAAGATAAAGAAGATAAACTTATTTTATCCTCTTTTGTTTTCAAATACCTTGGCCACAATCGACAGTAATTTTCAATTTAATGAATGTTGCTTAAATTGTTTTGTTTCAGCGATAGTTGAAGTTTACAAGAATGAAGGTAACGAGGTTTGCTTAAAAGGAGATTTTCTCAACGCCTCTCACTTTTACACGGAAGGAATTAAAGTGAAATGCGGAAACAAAGAATTGAAGGCCAAACTGTACAACAACAGGGCGACAGTACATTTCAAATTAGGTAAGAATTGGTTAGGATTTAATATTTTTAGCGTACTTTGTTTCTTCACTTGGCAGTTGGCCTCACTGAGTGCGTGAGGTAGTTCGTGTAGGCATGTCTGTGTTTAGAATCTATTCACAGCACAGACGTCCCAAGCTCACGTCTCGAGAAAAAGCGAACGATTAATTTATGAAAGCATCACGCTTTGTATGACTCCGTGTTAAGTTTCGAGAGGCGGGAACCGTTGAGAATTTGACACATGTTATAAGGAAAAGTACAGGGAACGAAATATGGTCGATTTATATCGATAAATATTTCGAAATATGTACATTTTATACGTAAAATCATTAGCACTTACTCACATCCTGTGTGTCCGTTGTGGTTTCCGGCGTTCTCTGCCGTTTTAAGCTTGTTGTGCCATCCTGTTATTCCTGTTATAAAACTTCTGATGATTCAAACCTGTATTGAGCGGTGACCGCTTCATACAGGCTCTGAAAAATAGGGGTAATATAAAAAACGATTAAAAAAATGCCATTTCATGCCATTATAATTGACCATTTCATTTACAAAAACCCGGTCAAAAATATTATCAAAATTGATTTAATTCGGGAGATATACAGATTAAATTTTACGTGAAAGATTATTCATAGTTTTGTTTGAGTAGTTCCGCTTTAAATGACCGCTTAATACAGGTGGAAGACAATAGAAACAGGCCGTTGGGATTAACTCAAAAGTGACTGTGACTGCTTATTAAAGGTGGAAATTACAGTGACTAAGAGCAAACACATACAGGACTATGACAATCGACCGCTAACACAGGGTAACCGCTTACGGTGCCGCTTAATACAGGTTCGACTGGACGTTCTGCTATCAGATTTCATTTCTCTTATAGGCAACTACCACGAGTCACTGAGGGATGCAACAGCCGCCTATCGATTACAACCAACATACCTGAAGGCAATTATGAGAGGTATTTTTTTCTCCTATCTTTTAAGCTGAAAACTACCCCACACCCCACGGATTGGACTGTGCTTTATTGAGTGGGGTCTCACATGACTGGTGAAAATGGCATAAGGCGCTGTTTTTTTGTAGATACTTTTCCTCTGTACCTCGCAATTTTGATTTCAGCGCAAGAAATTGAAATGAAAAGATTTTAAAACTAGGACTGCTGAGATCTCGTTACCAGTCCACTCCCTGAAGTCGAGAGTTCCACGCCCATAGGCACTCTTCTGGCATGATTGACAGCTCGCTGATACTCATCTTTCGAAGTGAAGTGCATAAGATACATTTTTATTTTTTTGCAGACAATTTAGGGAATTATTGTTACGTTTACTTAAATTTTTGCAAACGTCGTACAACTCTTTCCACAATTTTGATAAGTTTCCAAAAACCAACAAAGAAAAAATTACAACAATTAATTTTTGACCTTAGCAAAGGAAAACTGTTTTAGAAAAACCTCTTTCGCATACATACGATCTCATAATGTTAACTGTGTTATTTTGAATAGGAGCAAGCGCCTGTCTTGAGCTGAATAAGCCTGAAAAAGCACTCAGATGGAGTATTCAAGGATTAGCAGTATCCTTTTGAGAAATCTAAAATACAAAGAACTTGATCTCTCTTAGTATTCCAAGTATCTAAGTTAAAATAGCCAGTGTTCAGAATTATGGCACAAACCCACCATATGGAAGCCAATGGGAATATTGAGAGCATCTTGCTTCTTCAACAAGTGTTCAAATGAAAAATGCTTTCCAAGTTTACGGAATGAATTTTAATTTTTGTTTTGTTTTTCTTTTTTACCGATTACATAGAAACAATAAATCTGAGAGCCTTATTTCCTGACGGGTAGAACTTCCGCTGTTTAAAAAGACTGTTATTAAGAATTTGCGGATTCCTAATACAGTCCTATAGCGTTACAGTTATTTTTGGCATTAGATTTGCATCTTTAACTGCGGATGTGTGAAGATTGAAAGGAACGATACCCTGCGGCGACTGAGAGAGAAGTCTCTCCACGAATGGTTAAAGTCCGGCAATGTAAGTCTATGGTCTGGTGAATTTTTTCGCATTCTCCTTCTTAGCATCATGTCAAATGTAATATCAGTGCACTAGATGTTAGGGCGTCAGTGGTGATGACATTGAGGACAATGTCAGTGAGAAGAAATGTCAAAGAGAAAAAATCAGTCGTGCATTGCTGATGACTAATAATACTACAGTCAAACGTGTATTTAGCGGTCACCCACAGGGAATGAGGACCGCTTAATACAGGTTTCAAAGAATAGGGGGTGATCAAGAGTTCGGTTTGTCGACTTAAACAATGAGACTTTTTATTGACACTGTTCCACTCAATACCACATTTCGAGAAAAAAAGAAGATTCGGAGTTCAACAAGAACATAATAGTTAAACATAATATTTACAAATTCCGTTTTGCTTGAAACATAATTGGTAACCCCAAGTCCTTTCAGAGGACTTTTGTCTATTATTTTCGTGCTTCTTTACCTTTGAACTGAAAGTGAATTACAATGTTGTTAATGAACGATGGTCATGCGGGGAATACAGTGATACCTTAATGCGCCGTTGAAAGCCAAGTATGGAGCGAACAATATAATAGGGGCCAAGAAAAGAAAAATTATATTATTAAATATACATCGTAGTTTACGATGAAAAAATACAGGGATTACCAGTCACAAAAAAATTATCTCACCACGGATATCGCAAACTTTCCCCAAAGCAAAAAAGAAATCACGACCGAAAAAAGAGCGTTCGTTCGGAACAAGAAGTTGTAAAAGTAATTTTTTTTTGAAATTTTGGACTAAAACAGAATTTTGAAGAAAATTGATAAAACTCGATTTTCCCTGACTGTCATGATACTGAGATAGCCTTTGGTCTCTGTTACTAAACCAATGCACAATGGCACATTTCAATCTTGAAATTAAAGCAGCGGTACAAGTATCAAAATTACGTAACATAAACAAACAAACATAGCAACCGAAACAATTACGCAAATTTTTTATGCATTTATCTTTACATTTTTGAAGCCTAAGACAAAGAAAATAATCGAGATAATAAAGCAAGACCTCCACAATGCAAAAGAATTGGGAGACAGTCCGGACGAGGGAATTGCCTACCTCCTTCTTGGTGTGACTTATCACCAGCTAGGTGATTTCAATCAAGCCATAGAGTACATCCAACAACATCTTAGTATTGCTAAAGAACTGGGAGACAGGGCAAACGAGGGAATTGCCTACACGAATCTTGGCTCGGCTTATTACGAGCTGGGTGATTTCAATCAAGCCATAGAGTACAGCAAACAACATCTTAGTATTGCTAAAAAACTCGGAGATAGGGCAGACGAGGGAACTGCCTACCACAATCTTGGTGTGACTTATCCCCAGCTGGGTGATTTCAATAAAGCCATAGAGTACCACAAACAAGATCTTAGTATTGCTAAAGACCTGGGAGACAGGAATGTAGAAGGACGTGCCTACAAAGGACTTGGCTTGGCCTATTTCAAGATGGGTGATTTCAATAAAGCCATAGAGTACCACAAACAACATCTTAGTATTACTAAAGAACTCGGAGATAGGGCAGACGAGGGAACTGCCTACCACAATCTTGGCGAGGCTTATCACCAGCTGGATGATTTCAGTCAAGCTATAGTGTACCACAAACAATATCTTAGTATTGCTAAAGAACTGGGAGACAGGAAAGTAGAAGGACGTGCCTACAAAGGACTTGGCTTGGCCTATTTCAAGATGGGTGATTTCAATAAAGCCATAGAGTACCATAAACAACATCTTAGTATTGCTAAAGAACTGAGAGACAGGGCAGACGAGGGAACTGCCAACCTCCTTCTTGGTACGACTTATTACCAGCTAGGTGATTTCAATCAAGCCATAGAGTACAGCCAACAACATCTCAGTATTGTAAAAGAACTGGGAGACAAGGCAGACGAGGAACTTGCCTACAAAGCTCTTGGCTCGGCCTATCTCAAGCTGGGTGACTTCAATCAAGCCACAGAGTACAGCAAACAACATCTTAGTATTGCTAAAGAACTGGGAGACAGGGCAGACGAGGGAATTGCCTACAACTATCTTGGCGCGGCCTATCTCAAGCTGGGTGACTTCAATCAAGCCACAGAGTACAGCAAACAACATCTTAGTATTGCTAAAGAACTGGGAGACAGGAAAGAAGAGGGACGTGCCTACAACAACCTTGGCACGACTTATCACCGGCAAGGTGATTACAATCAAGCCATAGAGTACCGAAAACAGAGTCTTAGTATTGCTAAAGAAATGGGAGACAGGGCAGACGAGGGAACTGCCTACCACAATCTTGGCTTGGCTTATCACCGGCTGGGTGATTTCAGTCAAGCAATAGTGTACCACAAACAAGATCTTAGTATTGCTGAAGAACTGGGAGATAGGAAAGTAGAGGGACGTGCCCACAACAGACTTGGCTTGGCTTATTTCCAGATGGGTGATATCAATGAAGCCATAAAGTACCACAAACAAAATCTTAGTATTACTAAAGAACTGGGAGACAGGGAAGACGAGGGAACTGCCTACCACAATCTTGGCTTGGCTTATCACCAGCTGGGTGATTTCAGTCAAGCCATAGTGTACCACAAACAAGATCTTAGTATTGTTGAAGAACTGGGAGACAGGAAAGTAGATGGACGTACCTACAACAGACTTGGCTTGGCTTATTTCCAGATGGGTGATTTCAATAAAGCCATAGAGTACCACAAACAACATCTTAGTATTGCTAAAGAACTGGGAGACAGGGCAGACGAGGGAACTGCCTACCACAATCTTGGCGTGGCTTATCACCAGCTGAATGATTTCAGTCAAGCCATAGTGTACCACAAACAATATCTTAGTATTGCTGAAGAACTGGGAGACAGGAAAGTAGAGGGACGTGCCTACAACATACTTGGCTTGGCTTATTCCCGGATTGGTGATTTCAATAAAGCCATAGAGTACCACAAACAACATCTTAGTATTACTAAAGAACCGGGAGACAGGGCAGTCGAGGGAGCTGCCTACCACAATCTTGATGTGGCTTATCACCGGCTGGGTGATTTCCGTCAAGCCATTGAGTACCACAAACAAGATCTTAGTATTGCTAAAGACCTGGGAGACAGGGCAGGCGAGGGACGTATCTACAATGCTGTTGGCGTGGCTAGTTATAAGCTAGGTGATTTCAATAAACCGGGAGACTGGGCAGTCGAGGGAGATGCCTACTACAATCTTAGCGAGGCTTATTACAAGCTGGGTGATTTCCGTCAAGCCATAGAGTACAGCAAACAACGTCTTAGTATTGCTAAAGAACTGGGAGACAGGGCAGACGAGGGAACTGCCTACCACGATCTTGGCGCGGCTTATCTCAAGCTGGGTGATTTCCGTCAAGCCATAGCGTACACCAAACAACATTGTGGTATTGCTAAAGAACTGGGACACAGGGCAGACGAGGGAAGTGCCTATAATCAGCTTGCCTGGGCTTATCTCGAGTTGGGTGATTTCAATCAAGTCATAGAGTACGGCAAACAACATCTTAGTATTGCTAAAGAACTGGGACACAGGGTAGGCGAGAGAAGCGCCTACAACACGAATTGCCTCGCTTATTATTTCTTGAGGGGGTATTCCAGTCAAATCATACAGTGCCCCGTGACACATCTTAGTATTGCTAAAGAACTGGGAGACCGGAATGGAGAGGGAAGTGCCTATAACAAACTTTGCATCGCTTATTTCCAGCTGGGTGATCTAAATCAAGCCATAGAGTACAGCAAACAACATGTTAGTATTGCTAAAGAACTGGGACACAAGGCAGGCGAGGGACTTGCCTACAACAATCTTGGTGCAGTTTATTTTTGGCTCAATGATTTCAATCAAGCCATAAAGTACTGCAAACAACATCTTAGTATTGCTAACGAACTGGGAGACAGGGTAAGCAAGGCAGTCGCCTACCGCAATCTTGGCTCGTATTATCTCAGGCTGGGTGATTTCAATCAAGCCATAGTGTACGCCGAGCAATGTCTAGATATTGTTGGAGAAACGTCAGTAAGGTTATTAGCTTTAGAAGTTGTTGGTGTGAGTTCTACTTTAATGGGTAAATTTTTTAAAGCCATGCAGTTTTTCCAGGATTACCTTAATGTCGCTAAACACGCAGGGGACAGGAGGAGCGAGGCTCACGCCTTTGCACATATTGGACTTGTCTATGTTCTAGGGGCTGATTTTAAGCAAGCAATGGTGTACCTAAAGAAAGCGCTTACCATGGCCAAAGACCTGAGAGACCCAGCCACAGAGGCACTGGTCTATCAAGGTCTTACGGAAATTTTTTTGCAACAGGGTGACTTTGAACGAGCCATCGAGTACAACAAGAAATTTATTACCACGTATCAGGAATCGATTGGTAAAGAAGCCTTAAGATGGTGTTTAGCCACTTCAGGTTTTACTTATGAACGCTCTGGAGACTTGCATCAAGCGGTTGATTGTTATCAACGCAGTGTTAAATTTTTAAATGAGTTGAGAGTTCTGCAAGCCGACGATGCGTTGAAAATAACCTTCCGCGATGCACATCAAAATATTTATCAGTCACTCTGCAGAACTTTGATCAAGCTGGAAAAATTCGACGAGGCATTGTGTGCTGCGGACCAAGGACGAGCCGAGGCCTTGTTGGATCTCATCAAACTACGATATGGATCCCAACTGGCACTTTCTGGATCAGTTGAGGCTAAACCAGGGATCTCCGAAATGGTCACTGATATCTCTGGTCAAACGCTTTTTGTTGCTCTACTAGGGAACTCAGTTAACCTGTGGGTAATCGGGAAAGACAGGAATGTACAGTTTAGAAAAAAAGAAGTGAAATATCTCCGTAGAGGTGCGACCGACTATTTGAATTACTTAAGGAAGAAGGCTTACGAGGAAATTCGAGGAAGATTCAGGGTAATCTGCGAAAACCGCATATTAGATGGGTCGAGTACCGAACAAGAATTGCCACCCGCCGAGGAAAGAGGTGAAGAAACAGGAAACCCATTACAGTCTGACGAGAATCCTCTGCGTCTCTTTCATGAGTGCATCATAAGTCCTATTTCAGATTTGATCGAAGATGGCGAGTTGGTTGTCGTTCCTGATGGTCCACTGTGTCTCGCCCCTTTTGTTGCATTTTTGGATTCCGAATCAAAGTATCTCAGTGAGTCCATGAGGATACGCATTCTTCCGTCATTGATGTGTATGAAACTGATCGACGCTTCTCCCAAAGAATATCACAACAAGAGTGGGGCGTTGCTCGTAGGAAATCCATGTCTAAAAGACTTTACCACCTTGTTCGGAGAGAATAAATATTTGCCCTTGCCCTGCGCCGAAAAGGAAGTGGAGATTATCGGAAATATGCTTGGAATCCACCCACTCACAGGAAAAGAGGCAACCAAGGCTGAGGTGCTGAAGAGAATCGGTTCAGTTGTTTTAGTGCACATTGCTGCGCACGGAAAAATCGAAACTGGGGAAATTGCTTTGGCTCCAAATCCACAACGAAAATACAGAAGACCAGAAGAACAAGATTTCAGGTTAACAATTTCCGATGTTCAAGCAGCAAAGTTGCGTGCAAAGCTTGTTGTGTTAAGTTGTTGTCATAGTGCTCAAGGCAAGGTTTCTAGTGAGGGTGTGGTCGGCATTGCACGGGCTTTCCTCGGTGCTGGTGCTCGTTCTGTTCTGGTCGCACTCTGGTCAATTGATGACGAGGCTACCATGGAGTTTATGAGAAGCTTTTACCAACATCTGAAGGATGGAAACAGCGCCAGCGTGTCACTCAACCGGGCGATGAAATGTCTGCGAGAATCAGAAGACTTTAATGCCCCGCGGTTCTGGGCTCCGTTTGTACTCATTGGTGATGACGTCACAATCGATTTTAAAGAAATCAACAATGAATCGTGAGTAGCAATTTATAAATAGGACCTCAATCATTCCACCTTCATGTGAAATACTTTTACTAAACTGAGCAAGAAGGTCGACTAAAACCCTCTAAAGGATGGTGGTTACGAGACAGTTTTGCTCTTAGAAGTTGGTGTAGAAGACACAGTTGACGTAAAACACTATAATTAGAGTACGCACACATAAGAACGAAAAAAAAAAGACGATGAAAATAATAGGTTAATGAGGCAGTGTTTTATTGGCGGCATCGTCCTCTCTCCTCTCCACTGAGAAGGAGCCGGCATTTCAAAGTAAGCTAAATTTAGTAACTCGAGTTATCAGATGTGTTTTACTTGTGCATTCTCAGCGTATAAAAAAAAGCTTTCAAGTGAAAGTGACTTGTTCGGATCAATAACAGTAATTTCTCTTTAATTTCAGATCACAAGAAGAACAAGTATCACCAACGGAAGTAAAGGATCAAGAAGAACTGGAACAGGCGCCATAAAATGAACACTCTAACTTCCAAGCCCTCGAGACTGGTAGAGTAACTCCAAGCAACGAGGACATTGAGAAAATGCTTAATAATCTGTGAACTTTACTCGTGGGTAACTTAACTGAGTCAATTCCGTAAGGATGTCTTAATGATTTGAAACTAAGGCCTGATTTAATTGTAGTGCTTCGCTTTTGTTTAAGCTGAGAATAAGGCATATTATCAATAAGAAAATTTCTGAGTTTTTATCAATATAATTTATGAAAATTATCCCATGTTACTAACTCGTGATCTGCGCCAATTGTTAATTACCTCGAACCAAACAACATACCTGTGGCCCGCGAAGATTATGGTTTAGTTCTTGACGATTTTTCTGCGCATGCCTCTACTTTAACCTCAGGTGTTAAACACATGTACATATTTAAAAGTTTCAATCTAAGAAAATTACTGAGTGAGGCAAAACAAAACTAGATCATCGATAAGACTGAAATGAAAGCAAGAGTTTCTGCAAGTTTGCAGACTTTTTTTTTAAAATTTTTAACCTTTTTCTTTTGATTCTTTCCTTCGTGGGAAAGGTATGATTGGTTGCACAGCAACATTTTTCACAACAAAGTTTTGCAAATACACATATTTTGCAGTTGTCAGTTTCCTCTTTAAAAAGATTTCGATTATCTAAGCAAGGACATGTGTAGTTTTAAGTGACTGCCGTAAAAAAGCCAAACAAAGTTTTAGTCAAAAGGAAACAGTCCGAGTCAATAGGAAAAACTAGTGTGGTGAATTTATTTGTTTTCTACTCATATCTTAAGCCTGGCAGATTGAGATGAAGTACTTTTTTTATCACTTATATTTAAAAACCATTATATATTAATAAATAGATGATGATAACAATCACATGATAAATTTGTCCGCAATAATTGATCTTTCAGAGACTTGCTGAGCAGGAGGCTGTCACTGTTGTAGTATAATTAGTCTTTGTCTTTGATATTTAACCCTTTCCACCCTAACATCAGTATGTATATTCTCCATACTGATCTCCATACATTTCCTCAGGTAGCAACAAGTAGAATTTGTCTAAGAATCAAGTGAGCTTCTTAACTTGGTGATCATTTCCTTTTATTTTAGTGACCTAACTTTTTGATTCAGGGGTGGTATTGTCAGGAGAAACTGGATGCTGGTCACTCTTAGGACTCAAAGATGTTAACTGAACACCTGAAACAGGCTCTGTGAGGATTATTTTTATTTTGGTTTGCATGACTCAAGCCTGAAATTCTGATCAACACATGATTTTTGAGACATGAATATTTCAAAAATTAACATTTTCTTTCAAAGTGAGTGTCAACAAAATCTGAGTTTCATTTCTTTTAAAGGTATATATGGCCTTTGCCTTTGCCTTTGCCTTTGCCTTTGCCCTCCCCCTGACATCCTTTGTGTCCATTTTAGCCCAGTGATTCACTGACTGCAGTGATTATGATGGTGACCATATTCTACCATGACCATCAGGTGTGTTGTATTTGACATCCCACATCCAAGGTGATTCTGTTTTGACAAAACACAAAGATGACATGAAATACCAGACTTTCATAGATGAACCACTGATTTTAAGTACCTGACTCTATACATGTGCCCAGGGATCTCCTGGTTTTCAGGGGGAAAGGAGAGGAGATCTGCCATCACCAACAGAGCATAAAGGCTTGACCATAAAAAAATTGACTGCCAATTAAGCCTTTAACACCCAGATCAAATTTGTAATTCTCCCTACTGTCAACCATACAGTTCTTATCATGTTAGTTCAGAGAATTTAGTATTGGATCAACTAATTATCCCCAAATTGATATATTTCTTTATTCTCACCACTCGTCTGCTTGATATTGTATTGATATTGTAAGGAGAAATTCTGTTTTGGTCACTCATGGGAGTTAAAGGGTGGAGGGGGATCATAAGAATATTATAGAGCCTTGTTGGGGATCAGGTAAATTTTATTGTGACACAAGAAAAATCCTCAAACCCCTACCCCTGACCATCCCTGCCCCTGACCCCCCCCCCTAAGTCCAAGGATAAATAATGACCAGTCCCACAACCATAATTCACAATGAGAAAATTGCTACGAATTATTCACACTCAAAAAATAACAAGGAAGAACTTTTACTTTCAAACAAATTTGGAAATTCATGATGTGAACTGAAAAGAGGAGACCTTTATGCTAAATTGCCTGAACACAAGCAAGGAATCTTACCATCTTTGGTGTATGGCAAAGGTGGGACATCAAATGGAAGCTGTACACTATAACTTGACCATTTTTCATTACTTTCCTGTTTTCCTTTCACATGAAAGTATTTCCTTTCAGGATCCTGTTGATAAAATGACAGTTCACTATTGAGTCACAGATGGAATCTGGATCAAAAAGGGTACAGTCACAGGAAAGAATTTCTTTCATTTGTCCAACTGAAACGCTGGAGATATAACTAAACAAAATACCTGGTCTTTGGGTAGAAACAAAACTCCAATCTCATACGAGCGAATCATAAGTTGTTGACCATTTTTTTCCAAAGTTCCCCAGGCTGCTTTAGACAAATTTGCACTGAAAATAATTAAATGTAAATGAGGAAGAGAAAAAATGCAAAAACTTTGCATAAATTTCAAGACAACATCTATCCTTTTTAAGACTCCAACCATCTTTCATTTTCAAAACATTGCCTTTTCAAAATAACTGGCTTGACATTCTGTTTTGGCCAATCAGAAATAGTCCACAGATAGACAGGGGAAATCCAAAGTTTGCTCTTGTTCTAGCCAAATTAGATAGACTATAAACACCATGAGGGTAAACCCAAGGGGTTTCTAAAGGAGAACAGACAATTTTTGGATTCTTTTAATCATATAAGTAATGCCCTTAGACGACAGCGAGGCAAACCTGAAAAGATTCTGCTGTTATACTGAAATAATATTTGAACAAACTTTAAACAGCCCCAAAGATAAAGATGTGTGGAAGTTCCACCTTCTAAATTTTCTAGAGCAGCATAACTAAATAAAGATAAATTGCAGAGAGGACTCAGTTTTTAACACCTTGTCACAAGAAACCAGCTCATTCGGCTCCAATCTGGGGATACCCTGGTGTATGTTTTAATGTGAGGAGAGGCGTGACTTCTACCACAGGAATGAGACTTCCAAGAGCTGAAAAAACCAAAAGCAAGAAAAGCAAAAATCCATCAGATCTGTCAAGAATGTAAGAAGAGCTATGCTAACACAACAGAGTTAGCTATTTGGGTAAAGCAGAGATTTGCTGGATGTAACATTTTAATAGATCTAAGGCTTTTGATTATTAGCCTACACCCCAGTATGGTCCAATTGAAAAAAGAAACAGAGAAAAATAGCCATTTTGTCAAGCAGATTGAGGGGAGTGACTGACGTGCTCTACTCCAAATTGAAAGGACTAGAAACATTCCCTGCCTGGGTTTCCTGACAGAACAATTGAAATTAATCTCCCCACACAGTGGTGGATACTGATAAAAAGCCACCTGCTAGATGAAAGACTCCATAATTAAAGTTTTGAAGATTTTTCTCAAATTCAGGGAGGGTATGGGTGGTGAAGGATAAAATTGCAATGCCACACTAGTGGATTTCATGCCATGTGAACTGGGACGAAGCTAAGGTTGATGAAAACCCATCTAATCTGAAAACAAACTAAGGGTGACTTACCAAAAGAAACTCGGAAGATAAGGCTGCTTCAAAGCTGTCTTGGAACTGTATGGTATTGAGCCACCAGCTACAGAGAAAGAAAACTATCAGAGATCACACATTTATACTTAGAAATGAAACTTGAACCACTAAGAGTATGCTGTGAAGTGTTTAGAAGAAGAAAATAGATATAGAAAGAAATATATAACTCAAACACTGTGGATACTTTTGGTGTTTCTACAAACTGCAGTAATTACTTTAAATTTACTCACATGTGCATCCCTAGATTTTTAGTGATTAAGATAATAATGATAATGAAAAAATAATAATAATTAAACAATAATAATTAAACAATAATAATACTGATAATAATAAATCCAGTGTGTTCCAATTGAAGTTGAAGGATTGAACCCAGGCCATCAGTTTACAAGTCCAGCACTCTAACCACTTAGCCACTCTGCCTCAATAGATACACTTAATTTAAGTTATATCTTATACCTGGGTAACCTTCCAAACTGTGCCGCACATTGTCTACTGTTGGAAAAACCTGCAAATAAAACATGATGAATCAAGAAGAAAAAAATTTCCATTATATTCTAATCCAGAACAAAAAACTTGCATACTTGCAAATTAAATCAGTGTTCAGTTTCCAACCATAATGGAGATTGAGAAACATACTAACCAGATGCAGAGGGGGACTGGACATCATGTTACCAGAACATGTGGACAAGCTCTGTAACCATTCAGAACACAGCCAACGGTCCTTGTCATTCCCAAGGGAACCTATGCTGGAAAACTGACCAATCACAGGCCACTTGGAGCTGATGTCATCAGAGCTAGGTCCATGCTGGTGAAGAACCTAAGTTTCAAAGACAATTATCTTATTCTTCAGGTATTGCTACAGTAGATGAATCCAAAATTTGTTCAATTCCATTGAGTGAAACTTTAATGCTCTTTTAGACAGGCACCTAACTTTGCTAAAGGGTGATATTTGCTAACAACTCAAACAAATTCCAAATTTTAGACTTCTTAATTTATACCAATAATTCATGATCACCTTACGAAGTTTAAGATGGCCCCATTTGGTTTTATTGACTCCAGTGTGTCTCCCAGGAACAGAGGCTATTAGGCGAACCCTAAAATTAATCAAAAGTCTCTCCTATATTAATACCAACAGAGTGCATTTCAATTGAATGTCTCAACCACAACTAAAGAAATCAAAACAACAAATTAAGATCGACGGAAGAAAATATCATAAGGAGACAATGACAACTCAATAACTTCCTGATGGAATGGAAAAACAAATGATCAAATAAGAAAAAAATATTTAATGAACAATATACCTTGCAGATGACATATCATGTTCCTGAATATGTTTCTTCCATTCATCTAGTGCACTACCCCCATATGCTGCCAAATATTCCTGTAATGGTTTTTTTAGACTAATTAAGATGAAGCTTTGCTGTTGGACATCACATCATTGGGGATGCAATGAATTTAAAGAACCTCAAGGTACTTTCCTTGTATGGTGCATCTCTTCAGTAGAGGGTTGCAAAGAGATCAAGCTCAAAATTAATATGTGACTGTACACATGAATTTTACTGAAGGCAAGGTAAGGGAAGACTTGATGTTATTCCTTTCAAATTTGTTTAGAGTAAATGTGAAACAGGATCAGAACCTCCCCCCCCCTCCCAACCCCAACTGGCCTTCCTTCTTCAGTTACTGGGTGTTTAAAATTTGGAAAGCTATCTGGCTTAGTTTTCAGAAGAAATTTGATTTCTTTAGGCAAAAACCCCTCATTTATCACTTCCTTTTCCCTGTTAAAAATTATTATAATCTATATCCCCTCTGACCAAAACTTTTTTTGACTCTCCCTTGACCTGTAAGAATTTTTCTCCCACTGGCCTTTCCTGATCTGAGCTAAAACTGAAAAGTGTCATGTCACACATACCACAACAGAGTACAAAAACTACCATAAGTTGCAGTCTCTGTACAAAGAAAAATGCACAAATGACCTGATCTTACATGCAAATACTCCATGATCAAAGATAAAATCCACATGCCAAACTATTATTAGTTAGTTTGGCAATTTCCTTACCAATAAATCCTCTTTAAAATTAGTTGGTGAATAGTTTGCATATTCTTCACCAGATAACTTGGAAAGTTTAGGAAACACTGGACTCATCCAAACCCTGAAAAAGAAACAAATGAATACGACAAGCCATGTTGTGCAGGAAGAAGGGAAATTGGCTTGTAAGGGGAAAATTTCCTCAAGAATCAAATGAATGCAGTTATTGCACCAACCATTACACTCATGAATCTTCTGCATGAGAGTATATCCTTTAAACTAGGATTTTACTTAAACTAAGCATGATTTTTGTTAATTTTAATTATAAATTAATGCAGTCAGTTCCGCTTACATTTTCAAGTTATTAATCCTGTTTCCATTGTATGGTATGGTTCTCAAAAAAAGGCCAAAAGGGAGAAAAAGTCTGCTCTTCACTTACAGTGTGGTTCCTCTTCATTTGATGACATATTCAAGGGGAATGCACCTTTTTTATTAAAAAATATTCAGAACAAATAATTTTGATGTACCCTTGTGTTTTCTGGTCCCAGTCCATGGCAATGAGATTTGCTGTGGTGATCACAACTTTTAAGCCCTCTTTGTACAACAGTAGCATCATTTTGCTGAGAAAAAAAAATTATGAGAACTAAACTTCTCAAAAACCTGAGAAAATAAATCTATTGTGATCATTAGAAGAGAAGCTCTCAATTGACCATTAATTTTTTATTTCTACTGCAGTGTTGAGGAATGGGTGAACATTTGCCGTCTTCCTTTAGCTTGGCTGGCCGCATAAAACTTCATACAGTGGATTACATGGAAAGTGACGCACTTAGCCTAGTATATAAAATATTTATTCATGCCAGCATTATCATGTGACTTGAGTTTTATTGCTCTTTCAGTTTTCCCCTTTGATCAAGGTACTTTAAGGACTTGCCAGAAAAAGTGAAAAGCTTGTAACTTAATGAATAGAAAATAAAGATCATTCACTACCAACAGTCACTGTTATTTTAACAAGGATTTCCTTCAGTTTTATCATGAGAGTGTAGCATGTTATCATCTTTTTGTTGTATCTCAAAGGTATTGTAAATACTCAAGTTTTGAAGCTGAATTGGTTTCTCATAATTTGCAATTCTGTTTGTGCACAGTAATGATTTCATCTTCATTCTTGGATGTACTATCAAAAGACCAACCTATGATGTGTTCCAAATGCTTCTAGTCTGACCTGTCAAAAAAAGGCAAACCATTATTATTTTATCATTATAATTATACTTCACTAGTGATTTATTTGACTGATTTTTTAAAATTAAATTAAGTTTAATGACTGACTACTAATTATAAAAATGATAACAATTTAATATTGATAATCACTGATTTGATTAGATAGAAGATTTACCTGCAGATTTATCAGCCAGTTAAGAAATTGTCTGAATATAAATGCCTTGGTGTTATCCTTTGGATGATTTGTGTTGTATGGGGATCCTAATTTCACTTATTTCCAGAAATGCATGCAGAAACAAAAATGGCAGATTTGACGATTTTGGCAAATATTCATCAAATTCATCAACCAAGTAAAACTAGCTTAACAGATTTGATGATTTTGAGAAATCCATGCCAGTGACTGCACAAACGTCAAACTTACAGCAAACAGTTTAATATTTGGATATGGTTCTGCTTCTTGATGAAGTTGAGCCTTTGCCTCTCTCTGATTTCCATGAACAATTAATAAAGGTTTGGACCTGAAAACATATTTGAATTGTTAAAAATCTCTTTTATGAATTTTTTGCAACCCCAAAATACACATAAAACCCAAAAACATTCCATACTAAGTCATCAACTACTAATAAGGAATGACCATTGTTTTTACATACTTGAGCATACTAAGCTGGTAATAATCCTTTCAACTACAGTGTTCATTGTAACCTCTTCCATTAGAGCTAAATGTTACCACTTCTGAGAGAAGCTGTGAAAAATTTTTTGGTTAGATGGATGCCTCCGTGATTAGTTCCTTTCAGACTGAAATTATAGTTGGCATTTCAGTTCAGGATAAGACGCCATGTAATCAAGATTGTTCTTTGAATAGAAGACAAGTTAGACCATAATCCTCAATAAAGTAATCGAGACCTACAAATGTTGGTAAACAACAACTTTTGTTTTGTGATTGTTTCCTCATAGTTGTTATTCAAAGTGAAACTTAGTGCTTTGTTTTTACCTTTCTTTTGGTTCTTTTAATTGCCACATGCTCGTTTCCAAAATTTAAATTATTCTTAAGCTATGATCACACAATACTTAATAAGTAATTTCTTCACATAATGATTTCAGTTGACCGCTTTGATATAAGAATTCCCCAAGGAATAAATAAATAAAGGATCCTATATTGGTTTGGTGTTTATCGCACACATGTGCATCAACTTGGGAATCAAGTTTTCAATTCTAGCTTGAAAAGAAACATTAATATTCATGCAGATGTTCACATGCATCAACACACCTCAGCCCTACCCCATAAAAAATTACCTCAGTAGACCTCAACAGTATTCCCATATGAACTTTCATGACCAAGAAGAGTTTTAGTTGGTAGATAAATTTTAATTCTAAATGAACCAGCCAAAAAGCTTTAGATAACAGTTCTGCATCAATGCTTCACTTAAAAAAATATGCTTGATTTTTGGCAATTTGACAGTTCAGTGTCAAAACATAATTAATCTTGACCTTTTATCTGCTGGGTACTGCTCCATCAACCATGGAATATCAAACATGTAGTTGAACTGAAAAAAATCAATGTGCATAATAATAATTATTGTTGAATCTCATCTGATAATTACAATCTAATATTATTAAAAAAGAATACTACTTATTATTAATTAACATCAAGCACTCATTTTTTCACTCATGTACCTGTGCTGATGCCTCCAAGTCCCCCATTGTATTTGAAAGGATATCTAGTTGTATAAGATATATAGTAGAGCAATAAAATTTGGTAAGTACAAATAAAATATCAGTAAATCAAAGCACAACTCTTACATGACCTACAAGATGAGCAACAAACAAACAAACAAACAAATGAACAAGACATATACTTAATTTCACACTATAATTGAATTCAGAGAATTGACTTGATAATAGCTCATTTTAACCCTTTTTTAACCCAAGATCTCATTTATTTAGTGACTCTCTTTATTATCTGCCATATAATTCTTGTGATGTTAGTTCAGAGAATTTGATACTGGATCAACTATTAATCCCCTAATTGATATTATTTATTCTCATCACTTGATATTGTATTGATATTGTGAGGAGAAATTATGTCTTGGTCACTTATGGGAGTTAAAGAGTTAAAGAACATTTTTACATCCCCCCTAAAACCACCTCAAGATGACAATTCAAAAGACAAAGACTAACTGATTGACTGATTGCTTGATACCTTTATCTATATATTATAGTAAAAAGCTCCTGTAGCATAATTTAGAATTAAAACATTCTAATTCTGCTAGGCTAATCTAACTTTTAAAAGAAAAGGGTACCTTTAATGCTAACTGCCATATTTTTGTTATTAAATTCAGAAGGAATTCCTCGAACAGTGGTCAGTAAAAATGGCAAACACTTCATGTCATTCTCAGTGTCTTTTGGTAATGATGATGAAGACGATGAAAATGACGGCTCACTGGTTGTCAAACCACTAGTTAACTTCTGTCTTTTAGCTGGCGGAGACTTCTCCAACTTGTCATCATCATCATCATCAGTGTCAGAGTCATAACCTATGAGGGGTCCATTAGAAAAATAATTATTATCTACTTATTAGCATTTATAAAATTTGTTGTGAAACTAACATACCAGTGTACACACAAAAAAAAATATCTCTAAAATGTTGTTGCCATCAAAAAGTTTAGGGTAGAGCAGTTGGATGTGAGATATATAACTGAAGGCAGTGTAATTTGGTTTTTGGTGATTTTGTTGTCTAGTCAGCTTGAATCTTTATCTTGCAGCTTAATGCAGCTTCATCTACACTGGTCAGAGCATGATCAACATTTTGGAATTATTTCAGGTTTGGAGTTCTCTTGACTTCTCCATAAATAGGCAGTCAACAAAGAGTTATACAAGAAAATTGGCCATAGAAAGTTTGTTGTACTAACTGTTTGCTTTTCTTCCAGTCAGTGATATATGTAATGTAAATTTTATGCCAGTAATAATTTAATTATATATTAATTTATTATAACTAATCTACCGACTGAGATAATGGCATAAAATCTTACAGTATATAGACTGTGTTAGCCACATATTACGCCGTTATATATATTCCCTGCTTTTAAGTCTTACATTTGCTAAATTCGTTTTTCCAGATGGAGAACCAAGGTGAAAATCTGTAATCAATAAACTTAGTAAAATCGCTTCAGTCGATACTGATAATCGAAAAATCAATAAATACTTATCACTCATCATGCACTTAAGGATTTATATTTAGCGTTTACAGATAACTTGATTATCGATTTTTCGATTATCAGTATCGACTGAAACGATTTTACTAAGTTTATTAATTAAAACTGAGTGGAATATCGATTTTATGGATTGCCCAAATCCCGAGGAGTTGAATGTTTGCGTTAGTTATTAACTTCCCAGTAGCTTAGACATCAATGTACGTAAACTTACCTGGGTGTCTATATTCCTTAAAATGAACCGGATTTTTACGGTAACAATCTGTTCCGTATCTGCACATCGGTCTCCTGTCGATCGTTCCAACTCTCTTCTCTTTGTCACCCATGGGGCTACCTCTTTTTGGGCTTTATATGCTCGTTGAATGCCTTAAATTTTTTTTCTCAAGAAACACAGCAAAAGAAGGTTTAGCTCGTCAAAATTGCCTTTACACAAGCAGGATTCACATGAACTAACATCTCCGAGGGAAAAATTTAAACTTTTGCCGCCATCTTTTGTGCTGACGTATTGCGGGCGCAATTTAAGCATGCGTAGTATAGAGCCCGCCATGTTTAGATTTTCTGTCATTTTTCCGTTGCTAAATGTTTTGCTGAGTAAACGGCAATGGCGGAAGTACATGTTATTGGTGAAATCATCGGTGCAAGCGGGTTCCCCTCGCATAATTTATACTGCAAATGGTCTGTCCATGTTGACGGTTTGTGGAAACTTTTAGCTGGACAAAAAGAGGGCCAAACGCAAGTGGACAACCCCCAGAACGAGGATTGTGCGCGATGGTGCCATCCCATAGACTTGCATTTTGCCACCAAAGGACTGAAAGGATGGCCAAAGTTTCATTTCCAAGTTTGGCACCAAGACTCTAATGGACGAAACGAGATTTATGGTTATGGTTACTGCCATGTGCCAACATCACCTGGAACTCACAACGTTGATTGCGTGACATGGCGACCTCTCAGTTCGAGCAAGTCTGAACAGCTTCGTAGCTTTTTTGTCGGCGGTGCACCACAGTTAAAGACTTCAGATGTTATCTACACTGGTGGAGACCGATATAAATTGAGAACGGTTGCCATGGGTTCGATACATTTGCAATTAGGCGTGATAACGAGAAACTTTGATAAATTTGGGGTAGAATGTTAATATAAATATTTTGACACTTGTATTGTTATGTTTTAAAACAAAATAATTGACTTTAAATCTTGCCAAGGTTGGACGAAACTATAAAGATTCAAAGCTTAGCTTCCTCTAGCGGCTGTAGGGCTACTTCAAAATCGCAAGCTGAGGAAAGTGTTTCAACTAAGAGTTAACTTTTGCACACATGCTTCATTGTAGTTGTTGTAAACACAATCTATAAATAAGCCTACCGTGGTCTATCAATCCACCAAGGGTATCTACAAGAAAGATTTATTACTCTCAAAAAGTCGCTGAAAGCCAAACTGTAATCGTGATTTATTTAAACTGTTGCATAGCTGTAATAAATACAGTAGACAGTATGCGCTTCTTTGGTTGAAAACGTTGAAATATTGATGTTGTTTCAGTTTTACCAGTTAATGCTGAATCAAACACTATCCTAAAACCAGTTATGTCCTTGATAAAGGCTAAAAGCCCTAAAGCCCTAAAAATTATAACTGATATTTTACAGTAATATTCTGTTGTATTTAACAACTACTCACCAAAGTGGAGGTCACTTGTGGTGGATATTTTCAGAGGAATAAAGTGACAAAGTAAATATCCACTGCAAAGCACCAACACTGAGGTGAATATTTGTTTCAGTAAATACTATACTTTACTCTTCCTCCAACGATTACACTATTTTCAAATTCTCCTTGTCAGCAACAAAAATGTGTATTGAGAGGAGTATGAAGAATAACTTAGGAATATTGACGTTAAAAGATTGTCCAGGGTTAGTGCTTGAACCAACTACACAGGATGTTTTAGTATATTTTTGTTCTATTTACTAGTGTTGGTATCTTTACATGGAAATTACCTATTATACATTGCACACTCACTTTTCCATTTAAAAGTTTGAATTTAAAAGATAAAACCAAAATGACACTGAATTATATGATAAAGAGAATTTTTCATGAATAATGAAATTATGATAACTATAATAATTTTCTTAAAGAACTAATGCGATGTTTAGTGTATTGTAAACTATTTGACCCTCTTGAGACAAGATTGTGGTATTCACTAGATGAGCTTCTCATTTACAAAGGTAGCCTTTTTCTGAACAGTCTTGATCAACTAAATAATCAATATTTTTAGCTGTCAAGGAGAATTGCCTTTTCAGAACCACCAAGTAAAGAAAGTCAATGGCCAACATGTCTTTTCTTAACTTATGTTTTTTTTTTTTAAAACTTAAAACCAGGTAAATTGTGGGGGAAAACTGGCTTAATTATATATAGTTGTGCAAAGATACTTGGCTATGAGATGCAACCCAGTACTCAAAGACTGTGCAGAGAGGTTTTTACTGAGATAAATGACGTGCCTTATAATAAAAAAAATTCAGTAATCCATCATCTGTTCCTGAATCTCTCAAGACTTTCCGATCCAAAACTTGAAATAAGTAACAGACATTGAGCACATCAATGCTATCAAGGCAATGATTATGACGTCAATTATCACTATCTTACAATTGCTTCACTCCAGACTGAAACACAAGTGGCCTTCTTAATGCAAACTTAAACTCAAATGCCCCCCTTGCATGTTAAAGAAGCAAAGAGGGTTGAATCTGGGACATGTTCATAGTTTACATTTCATCATCTTCAAAGCCTAAATCCTCTTCTGGAAAGTCACCCACAGTGACATCTTTGGGTTTGATAAATCCTCCATATTTGGGTGGACATGTGAAGTATCTTTTTCCAGCAACACTGGAAATGGAGAACAAGCAACAGTTACAGTCATTAGACATGAAAGTATGACATGAATAAAATGAAGCTACAGTACCCTTGCTGTAGCATTTTTAAATAGCTTTGTCTGATATAAGTCTCCCTGCTTGTAGGCAGGTAGAAATGGCATCTAATCTCAAGAAATTTTAAAAGTAAGATCAGCATCGTGCAGCAACAAGTTAACAAAGTCAAAGTTTGATAGTATGTTGCAGGATAACATGGAATTCAGGTTAAAATTATTGACAGTGTAGATGAGAATATTTCTTTTTTTGGTAAGAATTGTGAAGATTTTAATTCATCTAAAATAAAGGAAAATACAAATTTTAAAAAGAAAGTCATATTAAACTACCAAATCTACATTTGACCCTGACATTCCTTTTTTTTTTGGCTCAAACACCTCATGGATTTTGCAGACTTTTTAATTAATATATTGTTAATTTTTTCAAAACCAATTGAAAAGTTTTCAAAACCCACTAAAACAATTATTTTTTTCCTTTCACCTTGATTGATAAACTTAAGATCATAATTTGGCTGAGGACCAAACTTCAAATTAAACTATTTTTGAACTTCACTCAAACTACACCTGCAGACATGTACAGTCTCATTGAAATGTAGCCATGACAGATTTAAATCAAGACAAATAAAAAATTTTAAAAATTAAAGTTCAATACCTGCCATCATTTTTTCCAAAAGGTTCATCATATTTAACCCCAACCCACCAGCCAGGTTTGAAGTTTGTTTGCCCTAAAAAGGAGAAATGAGAATTACAATCTTTGGCCATTGCTGATGAATGGAATTTAAATCACAGCTTAACAACTTCCAAATCTGAACATGTTGAATGGGCATGGCATTGTTCATCACCTTTCATAGCAACTCTTATTCATATTAAATTTGTTTACTGCATTAGATGTTGAGCACTTATAAAAACTATTGAGCCTGAAAAGAGGTTGTTTTGTAATAATCCTGTCTTGAATATTAACCTTTTAACTCCCAAGATCTCGTTAGCAATTCTCCTTACTGTCTGCCATATAATTCTTGTGATGTTAATTTGGAGAATTTGGTATTGGATCAACTAATAATCCCCTAATTAATACTTTTCTTTATTCTCATCACTTGTCTCCTTGATATTGTATGGATAAATTGTAAGGAGAAATTCTGTCTTGGTCACTCACGGGACTCAACCCTTTAACTTCCAGAGGTGATTCACATGAAACTTCTCCCTATAAAATCCATACATTATTCAGTAAACAGGTAATGAGAATATTCAAACTTATCAGGTAGAAGCTGCTATCTTGATCTAGCACCAAGCTCTCATAACTAATTTACAAGGAAATGTGTAGCAGCTAGAGGGGAGAATTAACAATCAGATCTTGGGAGTTGAGGAGTTAAAGGGTTAAACCACTGGGTTTCAAAACAGACTCCTATCAACACATGTCCTGACTTTTTGCACCCTACAAATAACTTGACCCTTTAACTCTTGTGGAAGACCAGGAAAGAATTTCTCCCTACAGCATCAATAAAATGCTAAGCAGACAAGTGATGAGAACAAAGAAAAATATCAGTTAGGGGATTATTAGTCGATAAAATAAAAAATCATCGGAACTAACATTCTAAGAATTGTATGAAAAGCAGTGAAGAGAACTGCTTACGAGACCTTGGCAGTTAAAGCAACCAAACTGAATGACATGACCCAACTTTGTGAGAAATTCAAAAGTGACCACTTCAAACTGAAGAAACCTAGATGAGTCTTAAGATCCTTTCACTCCCAGGATCTCAGTAGTAATTCTCCTTACTGTCAATACGATTCTAATGATATTAGTTTGGATTGGATCAGCTAACAGTCCACTCATTGGTATTTTTATTCATTCAAGTAATTTGTCTGCTTGACATTGCTAGTATTGATATAATAAAGAGTAATTCTGTCTTGGTTACCCCTGAGAGTTCAAGGGCCAAAATGATCCTTAACCCTTTCACTCCCACAAGAGACCAAGACAGAATTTCTCCCTACAATATCAATACAAAATCAAGTACGTAGGTGATGAGAATAGAGAAGAATATCAATCATGGGATTATTAGTTGATCCAATACCAAATTCTCTGAACTAACATCATAAGAATTGTATGGAAGATAGTAAGGAGAATTACTAATTAGATCTTGGGAGTGAAAGGGTTAAAAAACCCCAAGCAATCACTTTCTACAAACCAAACTTGAATCACTTGACTAATCTTAAGACCTCTTCACTCCACTCTGATGATAACAATGGCTCAGGTTGTAAAAACTTGAGGCCCTGTCAGGACTAACCTTTTGCAAAAACATGCATGATACCCGATTCAAAAGTCTTACCTACAAACATGACTACACCCCTTCTAGCAGGAGCATTACTGACTGTGACTTCACATCGAGAACCAACAGTGATTGCTTTTGCAGCAGTTTCTTCTTGTCGTTCTTTCTCTTTCTCTTCTTCAATTTCTTCAGGAGTTTTCTCTTTAAACTGGCCCAACTTGTTTTTTTGTTTGAAGGCTCTTACCGAATCTGAAATACAAATAGTTAATTCTTGGACAGTCAAGAAAAGTTACACCAGTAGGTCTAGTTTATTGGTTATTCTGTACTTACCTTTCATGACTAGCATCTAATTTCTCCTTACAATATCACCCCTGAGGTCACGAGAGTAAAGGAAATGATCACCAACTAAAGCAGATTGTGATTGTTAAACAAATTCTCCTTGTCAACACCTTAAGAAATGCATGAAGAACAGTATGGAGAAAAGGGTGTAAAGGGTTATTCCGACCCATGAAAGGTGCATATACTTGAAAAAGAAATGTCACTGAGTCTAATATCTTCTGCATTTTTAGAGACCATAAGACAATTAAACACCTTTTTTTTTGCCCAAGTCAAATTGACAAGATAATCAAAGGTTTAACAAGGTCTTGAACACAGCCAGCATGACCTATCTTTTTTTTTTTTTAACTGCAGAATTGTTGGTCCATCTAAGGTTCTGCAAACTACTGCTTACCAGCGGTGTATAGAAATGTTTCTATAGTTACTAACAGGTTGTTGGTAAGCTATTATTTAATTTAAGGTTCTGGGCACCAACTTTTAGAAGCTGTGCTTGTTCAACTTACCAGATCTTTTAGAGTAATCTTCTGTGCTCATCTCATACTTTTCCACAGCTGATAAATCTTCAAATTCACCGGCCTTTTTAGTGGGATCTTTATCAACAACCTTGAGAAGGAAAATTCAAGAAAAATCAAGCACTAGTATATATGTATGTACTTGCGACATTAAGACAGGCTGATTGGAGGCCTATGTAAACAATAACAAGGTCAGATCACAACACTGGGAGGTCTGTTCCTTACTCTTGGCCAGATTTGTGTGGGTAAAGAGAATGTCAAGGAGACTGCCATGAACTGTTTGAATGCAACCATGATAGTCAATCAGAGTGAATGAAAGTTGAAACCATCACAACTATCATCAACTATCATGACTGTTTAAACAGTTGTGTTAATCCTCTACACAGTGGCTTAATATTACCAGGGGGCTACTTAGTACAACATCTACAAAAATAATTCAAGTAAATATACCTACATGCAGTCTCATATTGTCATCAACTGGATAGGCACCCAACATAGCATCTTCGTTGTTGAGAATACAAAGAAATTTCCCTTCTTTGTCCAATAATTGAACTTCCATTGTCATTGCAGAGCAGCCAGTGATTAGCTCCAATTTTCCCTGCAAAAAAAAAACAATTCTTATAATAGAAATCCAAAAATGTGTTCAGTATATTTTTTAAACCAAAAATCAAGTCAGAACCTCCAAATGTGATTTATCACATCATTTTCAAGAAATTGTTTATAATTGCATAACGAAATACTTCCATACTGTGTCTAAAATAAAATCAGTTACTTATTTGTGCTGATTTAAAATATTAACTGAAATTATTCATTTCGTTATCTGTTTCCAGCTTCGAAATCGTTTAGAATACAAATAAACATCAACGAAAACCACTGAAGTAACGACGATCCAAAGCAGGGTGACATAAAGGGCGATTTTGTTGGAATTCAAGCGGAGTTTTTGTTCACTAAAAATGAGTAACTTGCGATTTGAACAAACCTTCAGAAGAGAAATTGTTTCGTTTCTCTGAAGCCTCTTTTCCGATGTAAAAGAGGTCACTGAGCTTGTAATCTGAACAAATACGGTATTTGGTGTTTCCATACTAGCCATGTTTGAGAGAGAAATATGAGGGAAAACTAAACTATTCGACCGCAATCATTAAGAATCGAAGGTTTGTGAGAGTTAGTTGGCGACTCTCGAAGCTTATCGCGGGCTCAAGGCTTCCAATTGCTAACAATTGGTCAAAAGTAAGCACGTGATTAGAGTCAAAATATGGCGGCAAGCTGAGGGGAAGGTTGTTGAATGTTATTCTCTTAGAAGTATTTTCATCCGAAAAAACAAGAATGCGTATAAACTGTGAAATATCGATCGTAAATCGTATAGCTGCTTCTCACAACGTGCGAAATGCAAGCAAGCCTGCGCGCGCCTCTTTAGCAATCGGGCGAAAAGATTCTTCGAAACTTGACAATGAGAAAGGAAAGAACTTGTTTCTCTTAGTTTGTACAGCAAAAGAGAGGAATGGAGCTAAATACAAGGTGTGTGGTGTGCGAGTCTGCCAAATTTGAGCATTCTCTTCCCTATAAATTTGACTGCATTTTGTGTGATTTTTAATTTTTTTTTTCGATTATGCACTGAGTTTTTACTTAGTTTTTGATACATGTAGTACATGTATTGTAGCTTGATAGTACATGTACAAGTATTTATCCGATGATTTTTTTATTTGTTATCGATCCTTTGAACTCGTTACAGATCAAAGAAAACCTGCAGCAAGTCTTCTCCAAGTTTCTCGAAAAAGGCAAAGCTACGATTCGCTTTAAAGAACCTCCACACGACCTCTTCATCAACAAGGTATTGACTGCCGAATATGCAAAAAGGAGTCTCTGATTTAGCGCATTGGGTGGATGAGGGGGGGTTACGAGAAGAGAATAAGGAAGGGGGTGTAAAGAAAATGATTGCAGATGTCCTCTTAGATGACTTGATTTTGATCAATCCAACGAATAAGTAGCTTCAGAATGTCTATAACAATGTTTCCTGATGTCGAAAGCATATTGTTCATCAGCTGTTGTGTTGAACAGTAGTTTAATTGTTCTGAAGTTTCTTTTCAAATCTTTTCATTACCCTTCCATCCTCAGCACCAAGAAACTATGGGGAACTACTAAGTTACCTTTTTCATTTTCTCATATCATTTGTTATTTACTTTGTCAACAGGCTGACCCATCAAGTCTGAAAACATTTTTATCTTTACTCAAGCTTGGAGATAAAGCATTAGAAAATGTCAACCTATCCTGTCTGGTTCCTGCAAAGGTCTCTGAAATAGAAAAGCCCAAAACTGAAATGGTGATCAAACGTAGAGCAGATTATCCTCTTGGAAAGCCATTTCCAAGTAAGCTTGACAAGTTGACTGTAAACAACTGTGGAATTGTACGTATTGAGGCACGAATTTTACAAATGAAGAGCTTGTCATGTTTGAATGTTGCTGACAATCAAGTGAGGGCAATCCCTTGCAGACTGGCCAGTTTCTCAACATTATCAGAGCTAATTTTGCATGGCAATCGGATCAGGGAATTTCCATCTTTGTTGTGTTCGGGAAGCTTGGCATCATCCTTGAAGCTCTTAGATCTCAGTCAAAATGAAATCAAGCTTTTACCTGTGACATTCTGTAACTTAAAGAACCTTGTTCACTTAAAACTTGATAAGAACAGTCTTCACATGTTACCAATAAATACTGGAAGTCTTTCACATCTGAGATTCTTCTCTGCCAGTCATAACCAGCTAAAGGTCTTACCTTACAGCCTATCCAAGTTAAAACTGGATTCCATTGATGTATCTGCAAACCCATTTTTAGCTCAGGATAAGTGGTACAACATTAGCAAATTGGCTGTTCCATCATTGAAGGAATGTGCAGGAATTGCTGTCAAGAAGCATAAGTGAGTATTACTAACAAGTGATCTTGAAATTTCATTGAAAATTTCCTGTTATTTTTATTATATGGAAATATAGTTCTGAATTAATACTCAGCATTCTGATAAGTTCTTACCTTGGTCAGGATTTTGCCATATGAACAAACTGTATATCTGGTATAATTTTGTTGGTGAAATTGGAAAATTCAAAAAAATTTATTACTGCTGAGGTTTATGAGACCTCAGGACAGAGTTGCAGGGATTTGCCAGCCATGGGGGTGGTATTCCATAGTTGAAGCCTCAGGATACCCCAGGCAACCACATCCTATTTGGCTCCTTTAAACTACCAAGATCTGACTGTTAATTCTCCCTTCTAACAGCCAAACATTTCCTTGTTAATCAGTTCAGAGAATTTGGTGTTAGATCAAGGTGGCAACTTCTACCTGATAAGTTTGAATATTCCCATTACCTGTTTGCTGTGTAATGTATGGATATTAAAGGAAGAGGTTGCATATTAATCACTTCTGGGAGTTAAAAGGTTTAGTGAGACAGCACTAAAATAAGTCATCGGAACTTTTTCAGACAGAAAAGTTTGTCACAGAAAACAGCCACTGGTCATGTGTCTCCACATTGAAATACAAACTTCTCTTTTGCAGCAACTTTTCTGACTTCAAATCTCTTCTCCTCTTTCGGCAGGTGTGCATACTTCAAAGAACTCATTCCATCCTCTCTCTGTGTATTTCTGGACACAGCAAAACAGTGTTTTTGTGGAAACTACTGCTTCACATCGTGTGTCCACCACATTATAACTATCAATATTCATCAGCTAGCTCATACAGTTGTGTCTGCTTGTCCTACACAAAGCCACATTCCAGCAGAAAGTTTTATTTGTTCTCAAAGATGTCTTCAGAGATTGCAGAATAACAAAAGACCTTTCTGGAGATAGAAACCTTTTGGTCTCCATTTGTCCAAACTGGTGCATGCAAAGGTAAAACTTTACTTTGTCCTAAAGTGTGTAAAATCATTCCAATTCACTAATGACTTGAGAGACATTCCTAGTTTTGACTGATGATAATATAGTGTCACCAAACACATTCTTTCTACACCTCATTTTGTTCTACACTTAAAAAAAACTTGTAACGCTTTCAACGTACTTTATGATATTCGAAGTGAATCAGAAAAAAATTGACATCTAGTCACAATTTTTAGTGAATATTCCATGTAAGCATAAAATAAAGCTTAGAATTTTTTTCCAATAAAATTTTGCCGTTTTTTGACAAATCTGTGTTCTGAACTATCTTCAGTTCAAAGGTGTAAGTTTCTAAAGAGTTGCTGCATCGGTGGGGACATTACAAAGTAATTTGGTTGTATTAACTGATTTGATAATGTAAACTGGCCACTGTAAAAAGTTTTTAAAATTTTTGTTCTAGAATTTTGCAGGACTCTCCATCCCCACGGTATCAATGCATGCTTTCCATTCAACTGCAGTCGACCCTGTATTAAGTGGCAACATATTAAGCAGTCGGTTTTCTAAGTCCCAAAATTTATACCCTTTAACCCTTTAACTCCCATGAGTGACCAAGACAGAATTTCTCCCTACAATATCAAGACAATATCATGTAGACATATGATGAGAATTAAGAAAAATATCAATTATGGGATTACTAATTGATCTGATACCAAATTCTCCAAACTAACATGATGAGAATTGTTTGGCAGACAGTAAGGAGAATTACTGTTGAGATCTTGGGAGTTAATGGGTTAATTCCTGTAATTTTTATTTTATTAAGCGGTCACCTCTATTTAGCAATTTTGGTCAACCTTCACTGAGTCCCAACGGTCTGTTTGTATTGCCCTCTACCTGTACTGAATGGTTACCTAAAGTGGAACCACTCAAATCAAACTAAGAATGATCTTTAAAGTAAAATTATGTTTATATGCTGAAATAAATGTAATTAGTATTTTTGAGCAAGTTGTGGTACAGTAATGACATAAAATGCCGATTTTTATCGTCTTTTACAATACCCCTTTTTCTATGAAACCGGTATTAAGCCGTCAACCTGTATTTAGCGGTCGCTCAGCCGTTCCCCGTGGGTGACCGCCTAAAACAGGCTCGAATGTGATTTATTGTTTTGCTAGTGCGCATATGCAATAACTATCCACATCAGACGCAATAAAAAAACGGATGTATTCTCAGAAAAGAAAACATCGCTTGTTAGATAGTGTTAGTGCTCGAAGATAAAGCAACGTAAGAAAAAGGATTTCAAGAATGATAAATATATATATCTTTTAGATTGTAGCAGCAAGTATTTTGCACCGAAGGCCCTTTTTTCATCAAAGTGGTTCTTTTCATTTTTTGGTAGGCCTTCCGACGGCTAAAACTGACTCGAATTGCTTTTAGCTCTTTGAAGTGCCGCAAGCTTTAAAAAGCTTCCGGCATTCGAAGGCCATCGTGACGCACAAAGCTAATTAATTGCTTAAATGTATTGATGAGGTTTTCAATTAACGCGAGCACATGATTCGAAGTCTGTGCGCGTACCAGCTAAGAAAGCTGACCGACATCTAACATATGGCGAGAAGAACGCGTTTGCAGGACTCATCCACAGACCAAGCAAGATTTAACATTCTGAACCCGGAGGGAGCGTTCTCCTCTTTCGACCCTCAACCAGGCTCCCTCCAACAACACTGCCGCACATTCATTCTACAAGCTGTGGGTTTGAAACGACTAGCGCGCATCGTAGATCTTCCAATTCCAAAGACAATGATCAACTATCTAGCCAATCAGCTCACTGTGGACGATTTCTTTGTAAACCGAAATAACTTGAGCTCAGAGAACATGTTGAATTGCGTTTATCCTGCTAAGTGTCTTCTGGACATGTCAGAGGTATTGCTTAAGTGCGTCATGCCTTGTCTAGTAGATGATCATTTTCAGGCCGCTATGGAAGCTTGGAAAGATGTCAACCATCCAAATATCATGCGTAGTTTTCTGCGCTTTCATCAAGGTGGTACGGAAATAATTGTATTCGAATACCCTCCAGTTTCACTGGAGGATATTATCAGGGAGCGGCGAGAACTACGGAGGCATTTGCCCGAGTACTTGATATGGAAAGCGTTTTGCGAATTGTGCTCCGCTATGAAGTATCTGAATGAGAAAGGCATTTTCTACAAGACTGCTAAAGCGACGAAGCGTATTTCCTTCGACGAACATGGAAACCTCAAATTAGACAGTGGTTTGCTGTACCAATCATCCCCGGAGGATACGATGAATGACCCTGATGTCAGGGTTGATGGAGCGGGGTTCTATTCACCCCCGGAGGTCATGAAAGGACACGCCTTTGGCCCCGAAAGCCAGGTGTGGCTTCTTGGATGTTTACTGTACGAGATCACAGCACTTGAACCCGCCTATCAAGTTGAAGGGAATGACATGTTTACTGCTCTGGCAAACATTATGGAGGGCAGACCGCCTCCAGATATCAATGAAAATTTCTCTGACGAGCTTAAAGCCACGATTCGTGATTGCGTCAAAGGTGACCCCGATCAGCGACCGAGCATGGAGGAGCTTATGAACAGGGTTACCATGGTAAAAGAAAGAATGAAGCACGAATATCAAGGACCTGAAATTGTCGACCTCTAATGCAGGACCAGAGAACTTCTGCCACGTTTATGGGATAGGGGAATGTAACAGCTCTTTATTTGGTCAGGGGCACATTCACAAAGTGACCGAAAGCTTCGACAAAACTACAGGATCCGAAGTAACATAGCATACTCTGGCATCGAATCAACATTACTAACAGTATTTAACATATGGTTGAAGTTATGATACACTTCGGCTATCTTGAGTCAACTTACAATCTTATTGTGCACTTTATAGGGAGCTAAGGAAACAACGTTTTCCGGATCCTTTTTGTTACGTCCAAGTAACTATTTTGTACAAATCACTTCAAAATTACGACAATGTACAAGTTTAATATACGGTGGAAAGCTGATCAAAACAAGATGTTCTGTTCAAATATGTAGAATAAAAGGAAACATCGACGGAAACGAGAAATTAATTCTCTTTTAAAGATGTTGTTCACTGTTCAAGTTCTTGTAACAACTTACAAATTAATACGGTAGATGAACTCGGGTTTGTGTGCAACTTTTTTTCATTGTCATCTTCCCCTCCTCCCCCCTTCCGTCTTTTCCTTATCGCAGTCGCCAAATTTTAAACTTCGCCTGGGTCATGTTTTTGTCACTAACCTTTTGTCACAGTTTTTCGTAGATTGTTCTGTTATTTGTGGTTTGGTTTCGATTATCCTTCTTTACAAAAATGACTTGCTGTTGTAAAGAAAGATCCCTGCTCTGTTCGACTAAATCATGTTACTGTTTTGTGAATGATTTATCACAGTCTTTGTTCTGCAAAATTGCTCCAATAAACTGCCACTTTGTGTTCTATCAAGGCATCTGCCGTCAAATTCCGAATATACAGACAGTTAATAAAACGCGTCAATTGAATTTACAGCTATTAGTTAAGCACCGTTATGATGCTTTGTTCTAATAACACTTTCACCACCTGGCTCTCGGATCAGCTTTTTGATATTAATCATAATATTAACCATAACCATTACTATTTCCTCAAATGTGATTGGTGCATCAGCTTTATATTTCACTAATCATTCTATACAGTTGTAATCGGACAGTTGGTTGTAATCAGGCACCTGTAATCGGACAGCTGAAGTGGCCAATCAAGTCCACTCAGCTAAATCCACCAATCACAAAATTGATCACAATAACCATAGCAACAACAACCTATCCTGGAAAAAAAATGTAAACTGGGGAATTTCCAAAATGGAGGAATTTCTTACTTTAGACATTGTCTTTATAAGAGATGTTTGTCCTAATTGTATTTTTTTCCGGAAATTGTAACGGTTATTAATTTGTAACAGGAATTGATGTCGTCCAATCCTGTCAGTAATCGTACTCGTGATAGACAAATCGACGATTTTGATAATCACTCGTTTGATTACAGTCCGAATTGGACTCCACTTGGTCCTATTACCATTATTAATTGTAAACGGAAGAAAGTTACCAGAACCGTTGAGGTAGTTACTTTTCCTTTCCCATAGATCAGTACTTGCCTCAGTAAAAAAAAAAAAAAAAAAACCAAAAACAAAAACAAAAACAAAAACAAAAACAAAAACAAAAACAAAAGAAAACAGAGAGGGTAAAGACCTGGGTAAGACTTGCTCAGAACGACAGGCACGAAAAGAAATAGCTTACGAGCATGTCCTCATTAGTGTTCCAGAACGCGCGTTTCTCCACACGCGGGAGGATTTGAGACGAGTCGAGATGTGAGTGGAGTCTGGGACTAATAATGGAACCCCCTGCAGACCTCTCATCGCTTTGCGTAGCTCAAGGCCTCATAATTCCTCGCGGGCGAAGGAAAGCTCGTTCCAAAGTACTGACAATAACCGTCTGCTCGTAGGCTTAAAAAAATAATAATAAATAGGCTCGATCATTCGGTATCATGAATCCGCAAGACTTTGACGAGATTCAACTAAGTTTATTTCCTACTTTGTATTCCTTCAACTACAACTAATTGATGGTGTCAAGAGAACTTGTGTTCGGATACACCACGCTGATACAACAGAGAACAAATCATCTAAAGCGAACCCATTAGCTGTACTCTTCACTTGTTTCGGCTTCGTCCTTTTAAAGTCCAAGACAGATTCAGCTGTGTTGGGTGGATTGACCTTCCTGTACAACCCAGCGTCCGATACCACCACCTCCACCTGGAAAATCAATTGATTAGATATTAACTTTTTTCCAAAAAGTTCTGTCTGACGAGCGCTTAGGCGCGAAACTCAGAGTCACAGAGAATCGATGCGTTCTCTTTAACTCTTTAACTTATGTATACTTAGCTCTGCTACCACAACATTGAGCACTCATCAGGGGATATATATACATATTTTTTTTTTTATGCTGTCAAAATATTTTTCACTTATTTTAGATCCACCTCCGCTCATTTCGAAGTTATCTAAAATTGTTTTCTAGATTGTCTTTTATCTCACTCTTTTCCTGAATACGTACTAAGCAGTACTGGCCGACTCTACATACTATTAAAAAACTTGAAATTCCTGTTAAAAAAAACATTTTTTTTCATCTTAAAGAGCCTGATCTCTGGTTCTCTGGAAAGCTCTTATCTTTCCGATCCCGCGGGTTGCGATACCTCATCCCGTACCGTACCCTAAACTCTTATCCCGCACGTTTCTTTGAACCCTAAACCCATCTGCCATGAGATAAGGTTTTTTATCAGAGCGTATAATATGATCAAAAGCTTGGGTAGACCGATATTTTACTGAGCTTCACTAAGCAGTTCTCACGGCATGGTTTGCAAAGGACTTTGTTTGCTTACCACCGCCAGTTCCAAAGGCACATTTTACAGGATCCCCTCCGGAAACGGAAATTTTAGTCTTCGGATCTCCGATGAGTTTCTTGGTAAAGATGACAACACTGCCCCCAGCGCCACTTCCCCCAGGGGCTGATCTGTGACGTTTCCGGTTGAGACATTGTCCAGAGTTTCCTGGTAAAGTGATATTAAAGTATTAGCTCCATAAAACAGCCAGGACGCAGATTTACAATGTGGAACAATTTAATTTTTAGTTACGTCCTGCGCTGCTTTCCTTTACATTATACAGGCATTTGCAGCTCAGAGGGTACAGTTTTTGACCAATAGACTCTTTTATCTTGTTTGTTACTCATTTAGGTCTGAAAAGGGAATCACTTTTTACCATTTAGGTCTGGAATAAGGCATGGTTTGAACATTATCGAAAAACTTGGTCTTTCAACAACTTTTCTCTGAGAAGAAGGATTCTAAGTTTACCCATTAAATTCCCAAGATCTGGTTATTAATTCTTCCCTCTATCTACTACAAATTTCTATGTAAGAAAATTGTAAGAATTTAGTGTTAAATAAAACAGTATTCTCTGTTTACTGGATAATGTATGGAGAGTACATGGAGAGGTTACTTGTTAGTCACTTCTGGGAGTTAAAGGGCGGAGACTTTGGAGGGGAGGGGTAGGTTTTATGCTTTTCTGGATCGTACCTTTCACACTGATGGTCCCTTGTAGTACAAGTTTCCCAACCTGTAAATACACCAGTCCTCCTCCACTTCCGCCTTTCCCTCCAGGGTTGGGGTCATCTCTGAACGCACTTGCTCCTCCCCCTCCACCTCCCCCTCCGTAACTCAAGTGAGTCTTGAAGTTGGTATTGCCAAATTGGAGTCCGCCTAAATATAAACAAAAAAATAGTGGCCCCCGTGGACCCTGAAGGTGTCATTGATGCTCCCAAGTCAGTTGCATATGTGTTATCTAATTATTTCTTTACCTATACAGAGAACGAATCCCTCCAGAACACCTAGGTTTGCGGTAGGTAAGAGATTCAGTTATAGAAGTTTCCTCGCTTGAAAACGTTAAAATTTGTCTTAAAACATCGTCATTTAAGTCCATGAAAGACGTTGACGTAAATAGTCCACTTTGGCAATTAGCCTAACAGCGTACAATTTGGAAGAGAAATAGTACCAGAAATCATATAGGTTTTGTCTTCCCCGCTAGACTACAAGATTGGCTGCATTTTGAGAATCTAAACCTTTCAAAGATTGTCTTTAAATGTGCTGAAAATCTGGCCAAGAGTTATGAAAGTTGTAAGTTATCTGGAGCAAACTTTTATTTCAAGATAATCCGAAATTAAAATGGTCTCCTTTACCGCGCTCTTTAATTGTTCAACAAAACTCGTGCCATTCTCTCAGCCATCAGATTTAAAACTAAAACCAATTGCAATTTGATCATGGGTGTTGTTGTTGTTACGATTGAATGCTATTATTGCTTTTGCTTTTGTTTTGCAACGCTCAATCGTAATGTTCCTTATGGATGCTTGAGCCCAAACCCTTAGTCACATCAGACCTAAAATTCAACATCAAACCAAAAGAGCTGACTGAAGTATCTTAGCTTCAATCACTGAGGAAAAACACAAAAACAATTGTCTACTTACCTCCTCCACCACCTCCACCGTAATGATTGCCACAAGAATCACCTTAAAATCGAATCAAAGATACTAATATTATCCTTTACCTTGATTACAGTTTAGCGATTTAAGCTAAAAATGGCATCAATTTTCATGAGAACCTCCGTTGTTATCTCTTAAAAGGTTTTCCGGTGTGATGGACTACACAACTTAATAATTACCTCCTCCACCTCCAGAGCTAGATGAGCCCGCGTTACCACCTGATGCTGACTTGTCGTAGCAGTGGGGAGCTCGTTTAGGAGGCCATTTCCCTGCACTCCCTCCATTGCCACCATGTCCTCCTGGGCAAGACGACTGACCCCCACCCCCAGCGTGAGTACCGATCTACAAGAAAATGGTGGTAGAAAGCCTTTGAAAAACTCTTGTTTACAATGGATAGACAACTCAGGTTTAATTTTCTTGTCCGTAAAAATTTGACGCACCCTGTAGCTAGATGGAGGTTGAAATAACAAAACACATATTTGCGTCTTCTCAGACGGTCGCAACGGTAACCTAAGCTCTGTCTTCACACGGTTTTCACTCCTATTCATACGAAAATTAATGACTTACGTTTCCAGCTGATCCTCCCTTTCCCCCATCTTTACCACCACACCCACTGCCTCCTCCACCTCCCCCGCCACCGGAGAAATGTCCACCCCCTCCCCCACCGGCCGCACCATCGTCACTGTTGACAGTTGAGTCTCCTCCTCCGCCGCCGGCATTAGTTCCTCCCGGACCTCCTTTAGAACCTGCCGGAAAGTTTTTGTTACAAGGTTAAGAAATACTCTTCCACTCATCATGTGAACTTAGTAAAATGACCTTTTTTCGCCGACAAATTCTTGTTAATTTTGTGGGCTGAGTTTCCTGACCCGAAAACGGAAAGTCTAGCGTTATGGTGCCATCAAAAACTTAAAAGTTTCCTTTTCCATCCAATTACTACAAAAGTTTTAAGAAAAAAACTCACATTCATTGTTGTATATTGAACAGAACGTTTTCTATTCAAATTTCCAAATCTGATTTCGCGACTCTATCCGAGTTTATTTGTCATGAGTTGTCCTTTCACTGGACACTTGTCTGTTTTAATTTGGTTGTTTGGGCGCCTAGTGATTCAATCGACCTTCCTGCTGTTTCCTTACTATTGACTTAAATTTAGACTATACCACAGATTATTTCACGTAGTTTAAGATTTATTTTCAATCATTTGCGTCTTCCAGCGCGTAAAACAGTTAAGGTAATTTCTTTTGAATTCCAACTGGTTTCTAGTGGCATTATCCGCGCTCTGATTAACCCTTGTAATACCTTACGCATGCATACTAACCTACTCTTGTCTTTGGCCCGTCCCCAGCCCCTCCACCACCAATTCCGTCCGTGTTCTTTGCCCAGGGTACGTAAGAAATATCTCCTCCTTTTCCTAGTAACGCGTTTGCCGGACAGTCGAACGTTTCGCCTCCGTACCCTCCACCCCCACGGGAATCACCTCCAAGGCCGCCTGTAAATCCTGAAAATCAACAATACCGCAAGGAGTACTCTATATCAACACTTTGTTCGCAAGTGAGTGCGCCACCCTGCCGCTCCTCCTCCCATTCGATCCTGTTCCCTCACGGCCTGAATACGACATGTAGAGGATATGATAATGGCACATAGAGGGAACAAGCTGTTTAGGTACAGGTGGAGCCAAAGGACTCCAAGGATTGTTAGAGCCAGGATCAGAGTAGTAATTATAATAATTTTACTAGGAAAAAAATGTTTTAGCTTGGACGTAGTCTTCAAAACAGTTATTAGTTTTGCGCAAACACCATAAAATTTGTGGCTCTTTAAGTAAACTGAAGGTGGTCAGATTCAGACAACCTTCGCATGCCCTCATTTTGTTAGAGCTTTCGTTATTTTTTTGGACTATTCTACAATCATACTCTCGATGAATTTAAACTCAACTGTAGACCACCAGCAGTATACCGCACTCGCCGTTCAAGATCAAACTGAAAATCAATCTTTTGTTGTGAAAATTCGAGAAATAATATTCTACTCTGTTATGTTTTAGAAGAAAAATCGCGAATAACTCATTCGCAAATCAGAGCCAATATAATTACTGTTTCAACCTGAGACATAAACAGAGGTGTGAGAAGTTCTAAAATGCTCGTACCTTTTCCAGTCATATCTATTTTAGAAGTACTATCGATCACCAGGTTGTCAGCCTCAAAGGCCAGAATTCCTCCAAGGCCATCTTTCTGTTCATCACATGTCAGGACACATTTGTTACGTAAAGATACTTTGTCAAATGAGGGAAGCCTTTGAGCGATCAAACATGTTAGGTGGTCCTTTTCAAGATTCATCGTAATGGGTTTGTCAAAAACAACTCGGCATTGTGATCTGTAATCATACAAATAGAAGGCACTGATTGATGGACTGATATAGCAAATTACTAATTAACTAAAGAACTAGAATGAAAACATTACTCCAAGGATATTTTTATAGCTGCAACTGTTTGGTCAGTTAGTAAGTTATTCTGTCATTTAGTCATTCAGTCACTTAGTCGGTGAGTCAGTCCGCCGGCTAAACATTCAGTCATCCAATGGTTGCCCAGTTTGTCCATATTACTCTGTCAGAAGCCAGAATCCATTCGGAAAATATATTAGACACTTAGAACGTTTGAGTGTAAATTATTTACAATCAAAATTTTACTATAATAATGTTGAAAATGTTTGCTATATATATAGATATGTAGTTCTCAAAAAAGAGTTGGGCCACAAGTTTCCTATAATTTTCACTCTTACTTTTCGTCTCCAGCTATCGGTGCGACGTCTTGTGCTGTGACCACTTCATATTTGCCATAATTGATCAGTCTTCCTTTGCTAACAAATAGTAAGAGTTTGTCTCCAGCCTCCAGGCCGTCACATGAATACAAATCCATGGTTTCTTCAGTGATAACGGCAACTTTCCACGACTTCGAATGATCAGTCTGACACAAGTTGACCGTTTTTCCATCGCACACAAAGCCATTTGCTATGTTGTAAACATAAAAATTACTCAGGGAAAACTTCATCTCGCCATAAGATACGAGAAGTAGAATTTACCCAGGTAGGCGGTGTAACTTATCAGAGATCTAGTCCTATGTCAATTGCAAGATAGATTCCAAAATATGTCCCACACCTTTCCGTAGACCCACCTATTGTCTTCTCATAAAATATCATACCACAACTCCCTACTATTGTCACCCAATTCCCGCGGGAAAAAACGGCTTTGTGTATTTTCACATCTCTCAGTTTGCTTGCCTAAGTAGTCGTGCTAACTTAACCCAGTCCCTCTCCGTTGTGACCAAAGTCGAGTAAACAGTGAAAATAACTTACTCTCAACATCAGTGCACTCTGAACATCCTAAGACTCCCTACAGACAAAGAAATGGATGTTTTCTCGTTTAGTTTGTGAAAAAGTGTGCACAATATGTGTATGTGTACTTTTAAATATACAACTATCCTGCGAGCAGTAACCGGCATTTCCTAGCTCGCGGGAAATCACGAGGAGACCCTGAGCTACACACACCGACAAGAACACCGGCAAACTTCTCTCCAACTTGTTTCAAATCTTTCCCTGGGGTTGAGAAACGTGCATCATTCAGCGCTGATCGATAATTAGGGGCCGATCGAGAGCTAACATACAACAGTTACAAACTACCACAGTGAGCATGTGCTACACCGTCAACTGCACTTGTGTACGTAACAAGATTTTCCTTTCCGTTTGGTCAATGACTATGTTCGTGTTTAGTACTATTTTCTGTGTTGCACCTTTTCGAAGGTGAGGGAAATTCAAGCCGCTGATTTCTTTTCTTCCTGTTTATCCTCCAAACCCTGGAGGGGATCAATACTTAAATTCTTCTTACGGTTTTATAAGTATCTGAGAAGGCGGCTGCGCTCCCGTTGGTCGACAAGTGTGATTAGATGAAAGCACGTAGACACGGCTGCTATGTAATAAATTACAGTGTAAGCACATGTTTTAGTTTTCTTGAGTCACCTTTTTCCAAATTGATCTACTTAAAACTGCCATACCAACATGAAGAAATACTGACCGAATGGATGGAATATGCCAACCATAAAAACAACAGCAGCAGCAAATGAAGTTTATGGATCATCTCCCCGTCGGCAGAAGAGCAGACTACAATACAACTGGCTTCTATTTGCTTTCAGCCCTACGCGATGAAAAAAGGAAAAGTGCAACAGTCTAAGAAATGAGTCAAAGGACTGCAGTGCATGGGGTGATTCTCAGGTCAAAATCTCCGAAAACATGCAGTTTCTTTTAAGGAGACAGGGCCTTTTAAAAAGGTATCTGGGACTTGAGAAGCGTAACAGCCAGAGGCAATGTCGTGAGAACGTTCTTGAACACGCAGTAGGAGTCATTAGGTATCTCAATTGACATTTACCTGAATAGATTATGTATGAACTCAAGGGTTCACTCTATTGTTATAAATCTACTTCGTCTTTGTTGACGAGTACAAACCATAATGCTTGTGCCAAATAGCAAATCGTTAACCCTCCGTCTGTTTCTTATAAATCAGAAACCAATGGAAAAAATACGCAAAACACTCCTCGGCTCAGCTACTTATCGTAAAAGTGTGCTAATGATGAGTGTCTCGCTTGAAAGGAAGCATGAACAAACTGTTGATTAAAAAATTATAGACCTGATTCGCAACACTAAACATACAATAATATTCATAAGTGGGTCTTAGGAATTATTCTAGCTCTGAGACCGATGACATAATCGATCTTTAAACATTGCTTTCGACTTGAATTTATAAATAGTGACTGAAGGGGAGCGCTAAGAAATAAACTTAGAGCTGTGCAAGGTTTCGTCAATCTTGAATTAAATTTTCCGTGTTCGGGGGCTGGATCGATTTAAAAAAGTTAATTACCTGGTTTAAAGTAAACTATATACATACCAACAAAAAATCGCATCTGAGTAAAAAAAATCAGATACATACTTTAGCCTGACTATGATAGACACTTTTACCTAGACGATTTCTTGCAAGAGAGATGTGTCACATACCTAGTAACGAAGAAATATTATTCTTGACTCTGAGGTTAAACAGATTCGTCTCAGCGCATGTAGAACCCTGCAAGTAATGCAAAATAATAATTTTAAAAAATAACAGGACGTGTCAAGTTATGCAGTGTTGGTTCTGTGATTCGATTGGCTAAAAGTTTGTGACCGATGGCGAAATTTTGCCATACTCTGCGATCTTATTGGTTGGGACTGTTTAGATTGACATAAGGCTTAGAGCTGGGTGTGTCAAACAGTTGCCCATTGAAGTAAAATTAAGATTTCCCGAATATTCTCTGTTTAAATTGATAAGTTCCACTAACTGAAAGAGCCTAAGGAATGAAAGCACCCACGTAGAACGGAAAAGTGTCATGGGTGATTGATACGTTGACCCCTCCACTTAGAACAATGGCTTTCTTAATCAAAACTGAACAAATGATAATTACAACTGAAGCACTTCGTCAACACTTCAGGAGTAAACTCCCCTAACTGTGAGGCTTCATCGAAGCCCTGTTGCAGCATATCCTTCGCCGTCAATCTAGCTGTTAGACAGAACGTTAGCTCGCTTACTGTTAATATTTCCACGAGAAAATATGAAGAGGTGGAAAGTATTAAACTGGACTGTGGAAGATGGAGCTTACAGAAAGTTATTTTTTGGGGAGAGCGGTTATTGAACAGAGTGATATGGTTTTTTTTTATCCTATGGCTTTTTCACGTGGCAACTTATCAACTGCTTTGTATTTTGATTTTCTCTAATTTTTCCTATAAAAAATGCTGTGACCTATTTTTTACGTTTGGTTTCCTCTGAAAGGTTTTTGTAACTTCTTTTATATAGGCTTGATGAACAATTGGTTGAAGTTGTTTTTAAAAGGACTGCAGTGCATTGGGTGATTCTCAGATCAAAATATCCGAAAACAGTTTCTTTTAAAGAGACAGGGCCTTTAAAAAGGTATCTGGGACTTGAGAAGCGTAACAGCCAGAGGCGATGTCGTGAGAACGTTCTTGAACACGCAGTAGGGGTTATTAGGTATTTTAATTGACATTTACCTGAATAGATTATCTATGAACTCAAGGGTTCACTCTATTGTTATAAATGTACTTCGTCTTTGTTGATGAGTACAAACCATGATGCTTGTGCCAAATAGCAAATTGTTAACCCTCCGTCAGTTACTAATAAATCAGAAACCATTGGAAAAAATACTCAAAACACTTCTCGGTTCGGCTACTTATCGTAAAAGTGTGCTAATGATGAGTGTCTCGCTTAAAAGGAAACATTAAAAAACTGTTGATAAAAAAATTGTAGACCTCATTCGCAACATTAAACATACAATAATATTCATAAGTGGGTCTTAGGAATTATTCTAGCCAGTGAGAACGATGATATAATCGATCTTTAAACATTGCTTTCGACTTGAATTTTTAAATAGTGACTGAATGGGAGCGCTAAGAAATAAACTTAAAGCTGTGCAAGGTTTTCCTCAATCTTGAAATAATTTTTTTCGTGTTCGGGGCTACATCGATTTAAAAAGTTTATTATTTGGTGTAAAGTACACTATATACATACCAGCAAAAAATCGCGTCTGAGTAAAAAATCAGATACCTACTTTAGCCTGACTATGATAGACACTTGTACCAACATGATTTCTTGCAAGAGAGATGTGTCACCTACCTAGTAATGAAGAAATATTATTCCTGACTCTCAGGTTAAACAGATTCGTCTCAGCGCATATGCAGAACCCTGCAAGTAATGCAAAATAATAATTAAAAAAAAATAGGACGTGTTAAGTTATGTAGTATTGGTTCTGTGATTCGATTGGTTAAAAGCTTGTGACTGATGGCGAAATTTTGCCATACTCTACGATCTTATTGTTTGGAACTGTTTAGATTGACATAAGGCGTAGAACTGGGTGCGTCAAACAGTTGCCAATTCAAGTCAAATTAAGATTTCCCGAATATTCTCTGTTCAACTTGATAAGCTCCACTAACCGAAGATGGCCTGAGGAATAAAAGTACCCACGTAAAACGGAAAAGTGTTATGGGTATTTGATGCGTTGACCCCTCTACTTAGAAGAATGGCTTTCGTAGTGAAAACTGAACAAACTGTAATTACAACTAAAGCATTTCTTTAACACTTCAAGAGTAAACTCTCCTAATTGTGGGGCTTCATCGAAGCCCTGTTACAGCATATCCTACGCCGTCAATCTAGCTGTTGGACAGAACGTTAGCTCGCTAACTGTTAATTTTTCCACGGGAAAATATGAAGAGGTGCAAAGTGTTAAACTGGACTGTGGAAGATGGAGCTTACGGAAAGTTACTTTTTGGGGAGAGCGGTTAGTGAACAGAGTGATATGGGTTTTTTTATCTTATGGATTTTTCACGTGGCAACTTATCCGTGAACTGCTTTGTATTTTGATTTTCTCCAATTTTGCTTACAAAAAAATGCTGTGACCTATTTTTCACGTTTGGTTTCCTCTGAAAGGTTTTTGTAACCTTCTTTTATATAGGCTTGATGAACAATTGGTTGGATTGTTTTTAAAAGGACTGCAGTGCATTGGGTGATTCTCAGGTCAAAATATCCGAAAACTGTTTATTTTAAAGAGACAGGGCCTTTAAAAAGGAATCTGGGACTTGAGAAGCGTAACAGCCAGAGGCGATGTCGTGAGAACGTTCTTTAACACGCAGTAGGGGTTATTAGGTATTTTAATTGACATTTACCTGAATAGATTATGTATGAACTCAAGGGTTCACTCTATTGTTATAAATCTACTCCGTCTTTGTTGATGATTACTAACCACAATGCTTGTGCCAAATAGCAAATCGTTAACCCTCCGTCTGTTTCTTATAAATCAGAAACCATTGGAAAAAATAGGCAAAACACTTCTCGGCTCAGCTACTTATCGTAAAAATCTGCTAATGATGAGTGTCTCGCTTGAAAGGAAGCATTAAAAAACGGTTGATTAAAAAATCGTAGACCTCATTCGCAACATTAGACATACAATAAGATTCATAAGTGGGTCTTAGGAATTATTCTAGCCACTGAACGATGACATAATCGATCTTTAAACATTGCTTTGGACTTGAATTTTTAAATAGTGACTACAGGGGAGCGCTAAGAAATAAACTAAGAGCGGTGAAAAGTTTTGTCAATCTTGAAATAATTTTTTCGTGTTCGGGGGCTGGATCGATTTAAAAAAGTTAATTACTTGGTGTAAAGTATGCTATATACATACCAGCAAAAAATCGCGTCTGAGTAAAAAAATCAGATACATACTTTAGCCTGACTATGATAGACACTTGTACCTATACGATTTCTTGCAAGAGAGATGTGTCACCTACCTAGTAACGAAGATATATTATTCTTGACTCTAAGGTTAAACAGATTCGTCTCAGCGCATGCAGAACCCTGCAAGTAATGCAAAATAATAATAAAAAAAAAAACAGGACGTGTCAAGTTATGTAGTGTTGGTTCTGTGATTCGATTGGCTAAAAGCTTGTGACCGATGGCGAAATTTTGCCATACTCTGCGATCTTATTGGTTGGGACTGTTTAGATTGACATAAGGCTTAGAGCTGGGTGCGTCAAACAGTTGCCCATTGAAGTAAAATTAAGATTTCCCGAATATTCTCTGTTCAACTTGATAAGCTCTACTAACCGAAAATGGCCTGAGGAATGAAAGCACCCACGTAAAACGGGAAAGTGTTATGGGTGATTGATGCGTTGACCCCTCCACTTAGAACAATGGCTTTCGTAATCGAAACTGAACAAATAATGATTACAACTGAAGCATTTCGTCAACACTTCGGGAGTAAACTCCCCAAATTGTGAGGCTTCATCGAAGCCCTGTTACAGCATATCCTAGGCCGTCAGTCTAGCGGTTAGACAGAACGTTAGCTCGCTAACTGTCAATATTTCCACGGGTAGAAATAAAGCGGTGGAAAGTATTAAACTGGACTGTGCAAGATGGAGCTTACGGAAAGTTACTTTTGGGGAGAGCAGTTAGTGAACAGAGTGATGTAGTTTTTTTTTTTATCCTATGGCTTTTTCACGTGGCAACTTATCAACTGCTTTGTATTTTGATTTTCTCCAACTTTGCTTATAAAAAATGCTGTGACCTATTTTTCACGTTTGGTTTCCTCTGAGAGGTTTTTGTAAC